AGACTTTAAAACACCCTTTGGTTGTGGCTCTATTGGGAGGGACATACGAAGTCAATACATTCTGTCTGCTGGGACCCTTCTGGGAGTTTGCTTGCATCTGTCAGTGAGGACTTCGGTCAGGGTTTGGACTCTTGGATCGGGGAGTGAAGGGGAATGTGTCCATGAGCTGAGCTGTAATGGAAAAAATTTCATTCTTGTGTTTTCCATCCAACATATTTTTCATTGCTGATCGTTGGATGTTACCAGGCAAGTCAATTACACCGTTTATTTTCTTTATATTTCTTTATAGTCCATCTTCTTCTGGATATCCATGGATTTGTAAAATTGTGTTTATCTTCATCTGTTGGCCTTATTAATTCTGATCTATTTATAAATAAATAGGATACAAGTAATGTGCTTGTAACAGTTTTATAGCTCTGATGAAATGATATTTAAATCCATAATGTATGGGCAGTCGTTGGAGCTTTGGGATATGGCCGAGAACAAGACAATGACTTTGTCGGCTCACGAAGGGCTAATTGCTTCCTTGGCAGTCTCAAACGTAACTGGTTTGGTTGCCTCCGCCAGTCATGACAAGTTTGTAAAGCTTTGGAAGTAAGCTGAATGATTCTGTGCCCATCTCCAACTAGCACCACTTCCAACACAGGACTAGGCTTTTAACCAATTTGTCCCTCTTTCTTGCTTCATCAAGCCCACCTTCTTCTTCTCCCTCTTCAGATACAAACCTGTTTTATTGCCATTCCTTGTTATATGCCTGTTTAGCTCTTGCATTGATATTAACATCTGGAAATTCCCTTCCTGCATCAACTGTTCATTAAACTCTCTTTTGGCAGTTAGTTGTTGGTAAATCAATCGGTTTGATAGAATTTTCTGTCCATTCAGCCAAGTTGCTACTGTACGTTCTATACTTCCATGAATATGCTCGTGGGATGTCACTTCATTTTCTCGCGGAAGCCAAAATCACAAACTGGTCACAAAATTAAAAGTGGAGGGAAGGGGGTTTTGAACTGAGGCCTATGTGGCCATTTCAGGTCTTTATTGGATAACACCTTTCTGGTTCACACACGTTAATGTCGTTGACAATGAACCTAGTTTGTTTTTGTCTGTCTCCCAGAAACTTGTACAATTGGCGCAAGTGAAATTTAGACGACAAAACAGTGCCTGTCGTCCTGTCGATTTCATACACAAGTCACCCAATAAACTTATCATTATCAGTACTTCAACCACAACGGCCCACTACTTATTATAAACACTAATAGGGTCTCCACGGAAAATGGACGTAGATGACTTATTAAACATGTATATGATGTTCACCCACCCCGCCCTCCTCTGGCCCTGCTACATGCCTATGAGCTTAAAATGACACAGACAGCGACAAGAACCATATGCCATTACTAAATGAGTGGCCTGTTAAGACTTCTTTCTAGTACAACCATATTCCTCTGAAGCCAGATATGATACCTTTTTCTTAATTACTGTCACCTAATGCTATTCTAAAATATATGTTCTATATTTAACTACAACTAGCAGCAGCAGTATGGGGTGATAAATTATCCAATCTTCATCCCCAAGCTAGCTGGGCAGGTTTGCTATTATGAAGTTATGTGAGGTCATATGTCAGTTTTGGTCCCCGTGATGCAGATCAGGGCCCTTTAGTTCGCTGGAAGTCTCTGGTGTGCTTATCATATATATATGCTGATGCATGTGAAAGAGATAGAGTCTCACAATAACAACGCATGGTTCTGTGTTCATCTGGACCCCTCGAATGAAAAAAACAGAAAATAATAATACTTTGAATGAGTTACTACTATTCTCTACCCTTTTTTTCCTGTGTTTCGCTGAAAAGTACCATCTACCTCTTTATCCTTTTGCATCCAGACAGCCATTGTGCCACTGTCTGATGTTCTGTCCCCTTTTTTCTAATTCAGCAGCAGTCTGGTTGGAAAAATTGGAAAGAGAAAGATGACAGGGGACAGCAAAAAAACAATACAACAAACGCGTTGATGCTTCTAAATCCATAACAGTACAAAGATTCGCTGAATCTTGTTCTGAACTAAAAAATAAACAGAAGGTGATACCTCTGATGCCATTTGTAATATCGTAGTCTGTGAGCAAGTCAGTAGTGTTGAAAGGAGAGGAAGAATTGTTTTGTTGAGTCAGATTAATAGTGTATGGAGGCTGTGAAACGGCATGTGGGATTCTGGGTGATAAAAATCTGAAGGAATTAACGGATATTTATGGAGATATTGATTGATTAAGACCTATGAACAACTGAACTGAATGTAGTGATGTACAGAAGAACAGAACAGCAACACATGGTAGTTGGAAGGAATTGGAAGCTAAATTAAACTGGGGCAATGACCCTAAAAGGGGATAGACATCCAAGAATAAAAGAACTACGTTGGTGGCATGTGACTTTGCCGACTTGTTGAATCTAGCAAAATAAATTGTCTTGTCCCCAAATGTCACTGTCCCTTTATTCTCTGTTTCTTTTTTTGAATTTCTCCCATCTTCCTTCACGTTCATTTCCTGGACTTGCCCTTCACTCCCTTTTGTAGTCAAAACTGTATCATAATTGTATATTATATACGTTTCATATTTTGTTGGCAAATAATCTTGTAGTTTAATGGCATGACACAAATGAAAAGTCGAGAGTTTGATTCTGCTTATAATATCAAACTATTAGTACCTATCACTTTAATTAAAAAAAAAAACAAAACCTTAAATAAGTATAATTTTTGATAAATAACAAACCTCTCTAGCTGATATATTATTAATTTATTGATAAAAGTCAAACAAATATGATTGAGTAATCTTCATCCTCCCTGTTTTCCCTTTCCGTCTTTGCCGCAAACAAAACGCTTGACAAGAATAAACCTTCATGATTTCATATACGTATTGGTATTAGTTGTCAACTTTATATATGTATGTGCGCATGTGACACATTCTCTTCATTTCCGTTTTCATTTAAAGGCAGAGGCTCACACAGCACAAACGTTACAATAATGCAGTTTTATTTGGAAAGTCTAATTTCTTAGAAACCAGTGTGTGTGTGTCTAAAAGGGTGCTTGGATGAGTGTAAAAGTGTTTTTCAAAAGTATTTTTTCACAAATCGAAACAAACCCCTCTATATATTTACTTTGTATATCCTAAAAGTACTTTTAAAATCATGATTTTGTTTCCATCGAAACATCCCCTAAGTTATTTCAACCTCTGCATAAATCCACCGACCACTTTAATTTCATACAAATATAGTATATAGTAGGAACTTATACAGGTAGGTTCACACAAGCTGTCTAATCACAATAAAAGGTCGGAAAACGCTATAAAATATTCAAAGAAAAAAAAAAGCTCATTAAGTGTGTATAGAGATTATAGTCACATGTATTTTTTTGTGTGTATTGTTTATTTATGAAAAATTCAAATTATATATTGTCAAATCCTGACCGAAGAAATTATTGTGAGATGATAGTGAGAACAAATTAACGGTGATAGTAATGATAGGTGTGATCTATATATTCTCTCATATACGAAGACAGGGGGGGACAGCAGAACAGGAATTCAATGGATTTAATTACTCTGCTCGCCAAAATAACAGATATATGCGTTTCTACTTGAAATTTGAAAAATCTCCGTACATTGTGCGTATTTCCAACAAGAGAAACCACTCAAATATCTAGTAAATGTTGTGGAAGCTGTCTATAAAATATTCAATGAATTTTTAACTGTGCTTCAACCAATGCAGGACGCAAAAGTCCTTGGACGAAATTAGGGCCAGCTCCATTTTTAGCTTTTGATCTATATTCATTTATGGGCTTATAAAATTGTTTTCACGTAAGTCTAGCACAAAAGTAGAACTGGAACGGCAAGTTCAATAGGCTTTGCTGCCGCTAGTAAGGAACTGGAATGCAAAATTTAAAACGGGGAGACAACAAATAAGTTAAGATCAATGGAACCCACACATACTTTTAACTCAAAATATTACTAGCTCGAGTTTATAGATCATTCCTTCTCATTATATTTTACTTATTTTCTTCAGATACTTTTAAAAATATTTTATCATCTCTCTTGCCCATTTCTTAGGGTAAGAAAAGGATCATAATATATGCGTGTGGCTATTGCTACGCACACAAATATATGCGTAATCCCGTTCATCCAGCTAGGGTATTCTCTGGCATGGCCGTGCGTCTCTGTACTTTCCAATAAAATTTTTAAAAACAAATTTCTGTCCCTCTCCCTTTCAATTTTAGAAAAACGTAAGCATTTAAAATAGTTATACGTAATTTAAAATAACTCAGATTTTTTCAATAGTAATCAATACATACAGTTTGTGTGTGTGTATAACAAGTACTCCTTCTGGTCCTATTTATAAGTTTCAAATTTGAAGGTGTATGGTCCATTTTATAAGCTTCAATTTAGGTTTGTCTAAAATTTAATTTTTTTTTTTCAAATTGCCTTCAATTTTTTCTCATACATTCTCTTTTATTTTATTTATTTATTAAGAACATATTTGAAAATAAAATTTATTTTTAACCTATTTATTATTTTAAACTAATTATTTATTATTTATAAATTAGCTATTTAAAATTTATAATAAGAAACGGACGAGTTGTAAACTATAAGCCGAGCATGAAACAGAAAATAAAAAAGCAGACGTTACCGTTAGAAAGACGGAAGCAATTAGCGAAGCAGCGTGAGACATTCTGCCTGGCGGATCATGTGGGTGTAATATAGCTGTATACAGACTCATCATGTCCACGTTTTACGTGCTCTCTCTCCACACATAACACCACCCATTTTACCATATCGATATATGAGCCCTCCTTCTCTCTCTCTCCCCCCCCCCCTTCCATAACTGTTCTTTATTTATTTGCTTCCTCGACGTTATTTCATATAATATTTTATTTATTACTATTCCCCTTTCTTCCGGAGCCACGCTAGCTAGCGGACAGTATATAAGAGGCCAAGGCTTCTTCCCAGAATCTACATCAGCCATCCAGATGGGTTCACAGGGAAATACGGGCGAGATGATGATACCGTGTCTGGTTTTCTCGGAGGGAGGGTTGGAGCTAGAAGAAGGGAGTGAGGAATGGAGGGCTATGAGCAGGAGAGTAAGAGAGGCGTGTGAGACTCATGGCTGCTTCTTGCTTCTGCATAACAGAGGCAGTCTGATTAGGTTACAAGAAGAAATGTTGACAGCCATGAAAGCTTTGTTTGATCTTCCTGAAGAGACCAAGATGAAGCACACTAGCCCTAAGCCTTACCGGAGCTACCATGCCAACTGCCCCGTCATTCCTCTCTGTCAAAGCTTCGGCGTCGACGACGCTCCTCTCCCTCACATTGCTCAAGCCTTCACTCGCCTCATGTGGCCTCACGGAGACCCCACTTCTGGTATATATATATATATATATATATGCTTCATCAGATTCCTCTCTCTCTCTCTCTCTCTATATATATATATATCTATATATTGTTCTTCTTCTTCGATGTTTTTGTTTCTTGCGTATGTTCAAATCTGAGTTTGAACATGAACTGGCGGACGCACCAAACTCGCTCACCATCATATCTGCTGTATTAAATACGAGCTTATCCTTTGAACGGACTGCATTTATGGCAGTGCTTATATATAAACGCTGACATGCCATTCAGTACAGAAAGAAACTGCCGTAACGAATAACGACTTAATTCCCTCGAAACCATCGCCATCGATCTCTTTTCTTCTTCTTCTTCCTCTTTTGATGTTTTTAACGTTGCTGATTAATTTGTGGTCGGGATGATGAAAACACAGCGAGACGTTGAAGTCGATGAGCGAGGAGATGCTGGAACTGAACTATGTGCTGTTGAAGATGATAGTGGAGGGTCTGGGCCTCCCGAAACACTACATCTCAGACGCCGAGAAGATGAAGAGCACAAGTAATTTCAGGATGATAAAGTACAGAGCTCCTTCTTCTTCAGGCGTCCAACACCTGGAGACGGGTCTCGTCCCCCACACACGACAAATGCGCCATAACCACTCTGTGTCAGAACGATGTCCAGGGACTCCAGGTCCTCACCAAACAAGGCCACTGGATCGATGTGAACGTGCCCCACGATGGCCTCGTCGTCGTCGTCGGCGATATCCTTAAGGTAACCTATTATATATCATCATTAATTAATAATTCAACCCCGTCCCCTCTCTCTCATCGATCACAGTTATAACGGTGGTCGTGTTTATTGATTGATGAAACGAAGGCCTGGAGCAATGGGAGGCTTCATGCGGTGACGCACAGAGTGATGATGGGCGGCAATAAAGAGAGGTATTCGTTCGCGCAATTTGCACTGCCAAAGGAAGAAGATGAGATTGAGGTGCCTCCTGAGTTGGTTGATTCTGATCATCCTCTTCTTTATCGACCTTTTAATTATGGAAAATACTTCGATTATTATACTTCATCTCTCAAAGAAAACGCACTCGAAGTATTTGCAGGCGTATGATATCAGTTTTTGTGTGTATGTGTATATATAGTTGTGGGTGAACAAGTTATGATAGGGTAGGCTTCTCTGCAGCTGCTGTATGAATTGCCAAATTACTTTGGACTAACTTTATCTTTCAGAATCAACAAAGATTTCTCCCTTTCTGAAGCAAGAAAAAAATGGCGCTTTCTTCTCTTTTCTTCATGCAAGAAATTACCAGAGAAATATTATATTGCCAATGTTAATATTTTGCCCTTGAGTGTGTGTGTGTATAGGTTTCAGCTAGCATAACATAAAAGCCATATAGCACAGTACAGCTCATAATATCATGTTCCATGTAAATGCAAAGAAACGCGTCGAGATAGATATCAGTGAGAACCAAAAAATTGAGCTGGGGGCGTGGTGGTGGGACCTTAGATATGTGTCATTATTTCCAGCACTAAATATAGAGTGACAATATTAATTAATTGCTTCATGAAGAGATTGTTATTGTCAGTCACATCGACATCATTATTTACGAAGTGATTGTTAATCACTTCACAATTTGCACTTTGGCGAACTACTACTACAGTGGAGTTAACAAGTAAATGATGGAGCAGATCTTATGTGTCTAATCAAGGCGCTTAATTTGATGGGAGGAGGTTTAGGAAGACCAATGAAGTGAAAAATGAATGATTTAACATTGACGTAAAATGAACTTGGACTTGTAATAAACAAGGTTCGTGCTTCGGAGTAGTTTTGTGTGGCCAGAGCGTGCCTGGCATATGGGTGTTCTTCTCTTTCCCGTGTCTAGCGGCAGAGAGTTTTTTTTTTTTTTTTGGTTACACGAGAGGCGGGATCGAACCCGCACATTACCACGGTGCCATTCCGCCTAGGCGTTTGCAGCGGCAGAGAATTTGAAGCAAAAGCGTTAGGTTTCGTCAATTGCAGGCAACTCATTATCTGTCATTTTTCCTGCTTCAATTATCAAATATGCCACCTATACTGTATTTTACATTCATATATTCACGTATTTGACAAAAATAATATTAAAAAAATTAATATGACTACGTATAAATTTCATATATCATCATTATACTCGTTATCTATTTTTTTCTTGATATTTTTTCAACAACACAATATATATATTCACTTTTGAAATCTAAATGAACGAAGCAAAATCCGTATATTTAATTTATTATTCATTCACATGGATTCGAAACAATGTAATTGCATGAAAGAAAGCTCCAAATTGCAATGTTCCGATTGCAAATATTCATATCTTTTTTAATTTGAATGCATTTTCAGGTTAGCTGGTGCATACCTTTAATTTTGGCATCCCTTTTATGCATAATAAACATAAAATTTAAAAACATCCTTTGCATATATATACACACACACACACACACACACACACTATATAATATACCCTGCAAATACACACCAGGTCCATTGGCCTGATTTTTGGCAAGTTTGGCATGCATGAATATAATAAAAAGAGTAGCGAGGAGTGATTAAATGCGAGAAAATAATGAGCAAAAGAGAAACACGAGATAGACAAACTCAAATGTCGTCCATATCATGTATCCACCCACTGCTGGCTTCATCATTCCCTCACCATCTTCTGTCTTGCCTTTGTTCAGTATGAAAAGAACACCACCAGATTCTTCTCTCTCTAATATACGGCGCCTAATGCTCTCAACCACCCCATTTATATTCACTTTCCTGCCTCTTGAGTTTCTCTTCTTAGGAGGGAGATTCAGAAACGTAAGAACAAGCTTGAAAACTATTTCAAGCCCTCTCATCCTTCCAACTCATCCATACCAAACCAGAGAATTCAAGCTAAAAATTATATATATATATATATACTCACACACACACACACACTCAAGTTGGTGTCTATGACTTCATCTGTGATTTACTTGTTCGAGAGTGGTTGCCATAATTATCAGTGAAGATACATGAGAGTCGTAAGTATGTGGAAATGTAATGACGCGGAAATTGATGAGTTTCGACCTGAATCTTACAACAAGGTTATGGTGTTTGAGCATAGGCCTTTGTATTAAAGAGTCATTTTCAGTCACACACACGTCACACATATCGCCCGGTATCTTTCTAATGAAAACCATAACCAATGTCGCTCGCTAAATTTGAAAGCCGACCTCCCAGGCACCATCTTTTGTTGCCAGGCAAGGCAAGCCCAAGATCCAGACAAAGTTCTGTTTCTTCTGGGTTTTATTTGGGGGGGAGGCCCGGAGTTGCCTAACATGTTCAGCCCAGGCCCAGTACCCAACAACTCCAGTGTGTTTTTGGGATGCTTTTTTATAATTAAATTCTTCCAAACTTTTATTACAAAAGTTAAATTAAAAAAATGATTTAAACTAATTATTTTTAAAAATATTTTTTTTAAATCCTTATTAATCATATTAGTTAGAACTATTATATAATAAAACTTTTAATATGTGTAAATATTTTAAAAAATAAAATGAATTAAAATTTTTATTTAAAATTAAATTAATTTAAAATAAAACTGAAATAAGTGGTAATTCTCACGAGACCTCATTAGCCAACTAACATGACACGGAAGGGGAAAACGCAGAGAACCGAATCAAACCGTTTTCACTCACGCCATCGGAGACTGCGATGAGCGAAACTGCATATGGAGGAATCGAAGTCGGAAAATAGTCTTGGTCTGATTTTCGATCTCCTCAACGCCGCCGGTTACGGAGACTAGACTGCGAACGCAAGAGATCCTGTCCGATGTCCCGTGTGTTCCGCCGTCTGCTGAGAAGCTCGTTGCCTCGCATGGTGCCTCGCTGCTCTCAACCCCCCTGACCCGAGGCAAGGGAGCTTAATGTAAGTATCTTTTCTTTTTGGGAAAAAAAAATGTTTGTTGTTATTCCTTCCTAAATCCTCAGTTCCAAGATAAAAAGAAAACACTTCGATTTCTTTTCACCAAATTGATGGTTGGTGGTTTATCTGGGTTTTGAGGTGCAGAGGCAATGTAGAATGCATTGAGGAAGCTTTAGGATTAGTGGGATGTCCTTACCCACTTAAACCTTCCCATATTCATCATCTTGACAGTGAATTTATTTTTCCTGTCGTACAATGGCTCGTGGATCGTGTTCAATTGAAACACGAAGACGGGCAATGAGGTAACAGACCTTTCCAAAACCCCGTTGATGTACTGTCGAATTAAATTATGCAGAACCTTCTGAGTTATTTAATGGATGAAAAATGGAAACTTAAGTATGATGATAGAATTCTCTGGGATGGTGTGACTCCTAATTTTTCTTTTCGAGCTTGCTTTTTTTTTTTTTTTGGTTAACGCATTGCTATTTTTTCATATGGAACATTTATGTTTTTCACTCTGAAAATCTAGTCGGAGAGGATGAGCATACAAATCAGCAACACAAGCGGGAAGTGGAAGAAACGGAAATTTCAACAAAGATGTTGAATGGCAACTTAGATGAACTGGTTGGTGAGAGTGGCATATGTTAGATATGAACAACGTGCTCCTTTATCACGAAAAGATGTCTTGATTTCATTTCTTAATAATTGGATCATTGTTTCCTAGCTTTTATCTGAGCTGTTATTTGCCGTTGAAATTGATTCATCATTTTCTTTTCTTTTATATTTTAGTTTCCCCCATCTGTCTGCTATCCTTGTATGTGTCTATCTACGGCTAGTGTATTACTGAATTTGTTTGGTTCACCACTTATTTTGTTGTATTCCAGAAACTCCGAAAGATGAGTGTGGTGAACAAATTGGAGGATCTACGAGAGAGAATCAGTAACAAGGGTGCTGATACTGCAGTACAGAAGCTGGTCATGCTGTTGAGGTCCTTGAAGGTGATTGTTTCTCCCAAATATTTAACAACTCTATTTTCTACGGTGAAAATGTTTTACCAATTAATCCATCTTTCTGTATCAATGATGATATTTACAGTAAATTATTTATCAGTAATCTTGACAACTTGATGATAATGAAGTTTCTCACCTTGTACAAAATTAAATAAACAGATTTTTTCTTAATGATGTCTTCAGTTTAATTCAGACTAATTAACTTTATTTCTCACTATATCAAATTTGTTGCATTTTAAACTTCATGGAAGGATATCATAGGCATAGAAAGATAGGAAACAAACTCGAAGCTGAAAAGAAGTTTAATATTTTTAGTTGGCCTTCAGATGACTAAACATTTGGAAAAGAAATGAACTGAGAGGCGAGGAAAAGCTATGCATTCAATAGTTAACTTACTTAAGATGGAGAAACAGAGGAACATGTAGTTTCACTTATACCATCTACCATGAATTGTCTCCGTGTCATACAAACATACACACTCACACACAGAAACAGAAGCAGAATTGGGTATATGAGATCACTAACCGCCTGAAACTGTGGAGTTGGAGCTTCTGACATCTTTCTAATGTTGAATCAAAGGATTCAATTTGATTCACATCATGACTTGGAAGGCGTACTATTATATTGTTTAAATAATACCAAATTGTAAGATTCAGACGTAAAGTAAAAATACCTTGAAAAATAAAACATATGCATAAACCAACCACAAGTCTCTTTAGAACTTTATTGCAATATCCGAACTAATGTACTCTTGGCTTTCGATTTAGGAGGCATAGTAAGTGATAACAACTAAAACACTTCAATGGCACTCTAAAGGAAAAGAGTTAGAAGTTGAGAGAGGACTCAAATGACACTTGAATCTTGAGACAAAAGGACATTTTCGGGTTTGCTTGCTAGGAAAGTCTCAATCATGTGCACAAAGAAACAGACTGGCATTTCTTATGCTGCGAAGGAGACTGAAATTGTTTATCAAGAAAGCTCCGTAGTTTTGATCTTTCATTATTCTTTTACTAGAATTCTTAATTGTTAGGCATCATTCTGTATCTTCATGGTTTTTTTTTTTTCCCTCTCTAAAAAAATTCATCATGCTTTAGTAGATGGTGGTGTTTGTTGGGACATAAATCTGGCAATAGTTCCCCACCCCCCAAAAAAAAAGCAATGTGACCCACTGCATAACTCTGACATGGGATGAAGTGCCAATTGCGGAAACACGCCATTAATCAATCGTTTCTGGAATAACATCTATTTGTGTGGGCATCGTGATGATTATTCAAGCGCATGAACAATTCCATTACGGATTTGAATTGGTGCCGATATGAATTGGATTGTATTGCATGAATTGACTCATGAGTTGCATGATACTGATTTCCATGCCACAATTTGATTTTGTGGTTTCTCATCTATTTGTTTGTCTGAATAAACAAACTTTGCTTGCATTATGAGCAATGGATGTCATTTGAATCTTTAGGGTCCGAAAATCACGTATTACTAATGCTATTCTCTTTTTGGTTCAGGATCTTGAGAGGCAGGAATATCATTTTCTGTCTAGTCGTGATGCTAAACATTCAGAAATTCAAGCTGAAATAGGTGAATTGGAGGGGAAAATAGCAAATGGCTGTGATAGCAAGATCCTATTAGATGGGCTGCAACATTCTTTAAGTGAATCGCTTGGAAAACTTGATTCAGCTAAAAAGGTAAAATATTTTTAGTTAATGGACATGTCTTCTCCCCTTATTTAATCACTATTAGCATGTTTGGAACCATGTTGGCACCTTGCCAAACGCAAGCAACCCTCTTGTTTCTGTCAAAGCGATGTTTTGACACCCCAAAATTTGATTCCAAGTATGCCGTATAACCTGGCTGCTTTTGCTTCCTAATAGGAACTTGCTGCTAAAATGAGTGATTTCGTAGCAGTAAAGCGGCAGATTGATGACCTACCATGCCAATCAGAGCTCATCCAGTAAGTTAACACCCCCCCCCCCAAACGCATCCATTGAAATTGATTTTCCCTAGCTCAAGGTTAGGTTCAGTTTGAGCTGCATAAGATGGAAACCAAGTAACTAATGCATTGCAGCTTTGTTCGGCTTACAGTTTTAAGGCGTATGAGGAGAATGAAAGAGAACTAGAACCAGAAGGATCAATAGTCAGTGCTAAAATTAAAATCCTTTTTTTGTCCCACATTGTGCATATAACTTGTTTCTTTAAAACAAAAATTTCAATTAGAAACTAATACTATATCTCGAATAAATTTCTTAATCTGCTCTTGAATGCAAAATTTTTTATTGATTTCTCAATATATTCATTTACCGTTTTAATGGAAGAATGATTTGTTCAAACTCAAGGTGGGAGTTATTTATCTAGCATTTGTATGTGTGAGAATGAGACATAGGATGTAGAATATGACAGAATATTCAAGAATGATATTTAGATATATTGTACACGGGAGGGAAGAGAGCTATATAAATTTGTTACACCTTTGACATGATATCTTTAGATACTAACAGGTTCCTGTTTCTGTAGGTATGAACATCGCCTTTCAGAACTGTATGCTCTTATCCAGGTTTGCACTTGCATTTTGGCGATTTACCCTGTACATATTTTTGTGGGCTTTTATTAGTATAAACTTTTTTGCCCATGGCCAATGTGCAGGGAAGACATAGACAAACTCGTAAATGCTATGCCACTTACAATGCTCTTTTGGAAATTAAAGAATTGATGCTAAAGGAAGCATCCCTGTTGAATTCCATCATTTCACAGGTACTCATTGGAGAATGGAGAGTGATGCAAAACCTTTCTTGGACATGTGCCTCAAATCTTATTGAACTTTTCTACTGCAAAAAAGTTATCAAATTTGTTTTGCCTCTTCATCTTGTTTTCTGTTAATCATGTCCTGTTCCTAGTTTTATGTACCTTTTTTTGGCTCTTTGAATCTTTCTCAAGAATTATTCTCTTTACCATAATTTTCTACTACTCAAGATTTATATTATTTGGCATTTTGATGTTTTGGTTTCTTAGAAAATTGCCAATGTGTGTTGTTGTAGATTATTGTTATTTGTGGCCATTATCATGGATTAGATCAGTAGGTTGCTGACAACCTCTTTATTTCATTTTACTGCAGTTTCAAGAGGCCTTTAGTAGCCCTGATGGTCGTCTGAAACTTATTAAATCCATGGAAGGAATTGTCAAGGGCAGCCAGCAGGTAATGCTAAGTTTCTGCCATGAATGAATGATAAATCAGAGAGAACCCCGTATTGAAGCTTTTGAAGTCACGAATCAATTATTGGTTTTTTTTTTGGGCAAAATAATTGTCTTAGATCAACAAAATTATGGTGTGTGTGTGTATTTATATGTGTGTATATATATATATTTTCAATTGCTGATTCCATTGGATATGGTCTATATGATTCCAAGCTTATACTGCTGGCATTCATATTTGTAGAAGCTAGAAAAGGTTCAAGTAGGGCTCCAAGAAGAAGAGAGAAATCTTGATGATGTTAAGAAGCGGTACGCTGCAGCAGTTGGTGCTCAGAAGCGTTGCTATTCTCTGATGAAAGCGTTTCAGGTATGATAATTAGTATCAGCCTTCTAATCTAAGCCTCATGGCAGCTCTTAGTCACACACTTTGTTCCTCCTTCCATATCTCTTCCTTTATGACACTGTGCAGTGATTCTTCTGAGCTATGGCTTCACACTTGAAGAATATTTTTGCAGGAAGAAATCGCCATGAAGGATAAACTTGGGTGTCAAGTTCCGAGCAGAGATTGTTGACATTCTTATGGTCAAGGTGTCCAAATAGTGTTCGCAGGGTCAGACAAGCGTGCTTCCGTAGTTGGCATGTAAAGATGGAAAGTGGAACATTGGAATCTTTGCTACTTCAAGTTGCGGCTTCAATTCTCTCTCTCTCTCTCGCCTCCCCCCCCCCCCCCAAAAAAAAAAAACAACACAAAACACCAAACGAAAGAAAGAAAGACACGTCAAATAGTTAGCTTGTATAAACAGGTAATTGCGTGTCATACGATTGAATGAGGTGCTTTGCTGTTCACTCTAAAATTTGAGTTTCTCGTTTTCTCCTGCATGGGTAGTACTCCCTCTTGGCCCTCTGGCGTGTTATATTTTTAAAGTAATTTTTGGTTTCAAATATTAGTCACCAACAGCCTCATTAATTACTTCTTCTTTTTTTTGTCATTTTTCCCTTGTTATTAATTGAGGTTCAAAATTGAAAAAAAAAAAATTAAATCACATTATTCAGAGAGAGATAAACTTGGAAAAATTATTAATTTAGGACAAATTTAATTATTTAACTGTGATTTCTTATTATGTGAAAATAATTTTGTACATTTTTTAAACGTGAAATTAGTACATTTTATCATAAATTATGAATATTGCCATTCGTTATGAATTTTATATTTGATAACAATACTTAGAAATAAAATATAAAAATTTAAAGAGTTTTTTATTTACATTTAAAAGGTTTAAATTCTTAACTACGACTCAATTTTTTATCCCCTCTTTACCATTTGAACTAGCCTCAAATGGCAAATATTAGAAGAGTTATTATTTAAAAGTTAATCATGAAAAATGTTTACGTACATGTAAGTTAATTAGATTATTATAATTAATACTACTTCTTGTTCTAATTATAAGAACAAGTTGACCAATTTGAGGAGATTAAGGAAAGAAGTTAAGTTTTGTAATAAATAGGTGTTGTCTTTCCTAAAATATCTTTCCTAGTTAAGTGTAGTGGCTAGAACTATCATTGTTAAAAGGACTAGTTTGGAAAAAAAATATAAATATGAGAGACAAAATATATTGGGGGTCTTATATTTAGGATCAAAATAAAAATCAAACAAGATCTTATATTAAAAACTGGAGGTAGTATAATATTAAGTTTTGACAACAGCGTGTTTAAAAAGTCTTGCCAAATTTTTATACATGTTTAATAATAGAGAAAGCCGAAGCATTGGTATCGTACCAAGATGATGTTAACATAGAAAAAAATCAATGACAAATAAAAAGTATAACAGATTCTAATTCTATACAAAATAAGTACGAGAGAATATTGTTAGTGTCAATTAGATGAGCTTTCCATACATTGCATCGTATCAAGAAGGGAATCTTATATTGACTTAAAATGTCTCTATCCTAACATCAAAATAATTAAGTAGGTTGAAAATGCGAGAAGAAAACAAAACAATAGGAACATGACATAAAGGAAGGGGGAAGAGGCACATATTCGCTTGACTGCTTGAAACAATGACGAAGCAGAACCCCAGCTTGGGCTTCGAGCTAGCAAAAGTTTGAATACATTTGTTTATATTAACTTTATATGACATATTAGAGAAATATTATCATAAAATACTGTAAGACTTAATTTAAGAGTTAATATTGATCATATATATATATATATAAGACATATTTTATATTTTTGTTTTTTAATTAATCTTATTCATATTCTCTTAATAATAATAAGTGATTTCCAGTGATGCGTTCCGACCACGACGCCCAAGAACAACAGCCGTCGTTGGGAAAAGCAGCCACCGCCCGCCAATGTGGTGGCAACCTCGCTTCTTGTTTCTCTTCCAACTCCAATGGCAATACACAATCCCTTCCATTTTGACTTTTCAACATCAAAGACCCAATATTTCACAAAAAAAAAAAAAAACGAAATGATGTGGGTCCCATGTCTGCCTAATTTTTATGATTTTGCCTTTCGGATTTGGCATATAGAAATAATAGAAACGTTGGACTGCTCTTCAGCTTTATTTTCCCCGGCAAACAAAAACGAAACATACCACATCTAAATTTAACATTTAATTTAATTTTAAATATGCGTAAAAAGATGTGGGATAATACTACCTCCGGTTCTTAATATAAGACCCCGTTTGACTTTTTGTTTGGTCCTAATTATAAGACCCCAATCCATTTTGCCTCTCATATTTATACATTTTTTTCCAAGATAATCTTTCTAACAATGATAGTTCTAGCCAATATACTTAATTAGTAAGAATATTTTAGGAATGACAAAACTTATTTATTACAAATAACTAATTTAACTTACTTCCTTAATCTTCTCAAATAAGTCAACTGGGTCTTATAATTAGGACCAGAAGTAGTATAAATTATCACAGTCTAATCTTTATCATCCCACATCTTTTCATTTGACAGCCAACACTTTTGTCTTATTCCAAAGCCTCATTCCTAAACTTGTTACATTCATATACAACACAAATCCAACGAATCAAGAAACATGACGCGTACGTCTTTTGATTTGAAAACAAAGGCTCCACAGCGTGGCATATTAGCTATGAAATTAAGTTGCTGAGGATGAAGGATTAAGATAGAAATTTGGTGCAAGCGTGCTTGACGACCCTATCACGGCTTTTAATTCATAACAACTCTTTCCAGCTTGACCAATTTTAATTTGTTGATCCCTCTTCATTATTTATTAACTTAATATAATCTTCCTGCTTTCACTTGTTATTAGATTTGATGGCACCACACGTTGCAATATTCTTTCAACTATCAACTGTTCATCTTTTTGTCTCTTCTAATTATTGTTGCTTGACGTTGTTATCTTGATTTGATGTCATCCGAACTTGTTCTGTCAATATATGTATGTATGTATATGTATATATTATCATATGAAATGGGAAAAATTGATGATTAGACCACATTTTTTTATCCAAAAATTAAATAGCAATAACACGAACATGATAACCATTACGTAGTATAGCTTTTTCTCTTTCATATTATTGTTTATTCAAACATGTGAAATGTGATTTTGATATTAGCCCCAAAAAAAAAAAAGCCTCGAAACTTATCAAGAACTGTAAAGTTTGGCAACATTGTAAAGTTATTTGTCCATGAGTCACTACTTTCGTCTCAGGTTACATTCTAATTTCTCATTCAGCACATAAAATTTGGATTAAATTAAGTGAACTATTCACAGATTATAAATATATTTATTTTCCCAGTATTTTTGTTACCACAGTACACATCCTCTGCTTTTGTACCCCACACACACACATATCTACCAAGAAGCCGCGTACGTAGTTGAATTGATCACGCAATATTAAAAGTAAATTGTCCGTCTCTCATAAATATCGTTTAATTTGATTCATTCTCAATATGTTCATTAATATACCATTTCAAAATACACCTAATTACGTGCACGGCTCAGGAGCTACAATATGAGCTAGCAAGCTTTACTGGAATTCTGGGAATATTTAACTGTTAAATATGCCAAATGTTTTGAAAATTAAAGGCTTGTTAAATGGCACATTATTATTATTTTGGCACTCACACATATACGATCGATATTCTTGCAGAACAATATCACGTAACAAAATTCTCGGATGCTTGCCAGAAACAAATTATAATTCACTTGTGATGTTTTTGATTAAAAGTTCAAAGGTTAAATATTCTTCGTCATCATAACTTTCGACGAAAAGGAGCAAAGTAAAGGGGGAACGTGCTGGGGTCATTCAAACAATCAAACGTACGGCGATATAATTAATCATTAAATAAAACTAAAAGCCAACTTTATTATTTCATATCATTCAAATAAAATGAAAAAATTCCCACCTAAGTGCTAGTGGTTGCTAAAGCTTAATGAAAGCTTTTTTACCACCTTTTTGGTCTCCAAGGTCAGGAACTGGAAATATATATATATATTTATATATATATATATACACTCCTTGTATATATATATCTCTGCATCAACAAACTTTGTAACGCATAAAAGCTAATTTTTGATGACCAAAAATTAAAGGACAGATCACTAACCCTATCCATTAATTGACCTTCATCATCAAATCTCTGTTCTTGATTCCTCTTGCTCCGTACTATATCTACCAGCAATTATGTTTTTATCGCAACAAATCAACTCGAGCTTTGAGAAGATATATAGAAAAATCTAACTTGGCATATCTGATTTTGAACAAACTAAAGTGGATAATAGTCTAAAAGAGAAACCCCATCCAAAGACTACAGAAGTGATGATAGGATTATTAGGAAATGATTATAAAGCTGATGAGAATGAATCTTAATTAGTGCTAATCAAAGACAGTGCTTTCCCTAGATTCTTGGCCTTAATCCCGATATACTCTTTCACTGTGACGCCGCGAAAACGTGCTTCCTCGGCCAAAGGCAACAACACGTAATCCAGAGGTGGCCCATAGAAATAAGCCACAGAGTATCGATGCTCAACCCTGTTCACTATCACTCTGTGAAGAACACAGGGAAACCTGGCGTTTGATATTATGTGAAGCAGGTCGCCGGCGTTCACCACAAGTGCTCGTGGGTCTGGCTGCACCGGAACCCAACCTGCCTGGTCCTTGAAGATTTGCAGGCCTCTGGTCTGGCTCTGGTGGAGTATGGTGAAGAGGGACGTGTCTGTGTGAGGGGCTAGACCCATGGCTCGGTTCGGTTCGGGACAACGCGGGTAGTAGTTCAACTGAACCGCTCCTGTGTTTCCACCTGACCCCAGCCACTTGGCTTCTTCCTCAGAAGTCCCCAGGTATCTCAAGATCATGCCTGTTAGCTTCTCCGCCAACACTTTCATTTGCTTCTGATAATCTTCCATCAATTCACTGCAAGCCAAACAGTTCATTACAACTGGTTTCATTTTTCTGCATGTTCTTTTTGAAATACAAGAATATATAATACTCAAGTTCAATCATTTGAGGGTGTTTGGTTATCAGAACTTGATTAGAAGTTGTAGTTTAACTATAGCTACTCGACATTTATATATTAATCTACCTATTAACTAAGGACAATGATTCAAAAGCAAATATTCTAGCAAATCTCTATCATCAATTCTCACGAGTGTGTATATATACATATATATATATATATATATTTATGGCAGGTTATGTTGATTGGAGCAACAGTTTATTAACTGAAAATTAAAATATTGCTCATAACGACAAAATAAAAAAGTCTTCTTTTCTCCTCTGCATTCATAAATATTATCTTGGTGAGAGAACTGGCGACTGAAGCATTTATTTTAATATGCAAACGCATCGTCCAATGCAGAGAGAACAAAATTCATTTAAAAAGAAAACATCAGGATTCCAAAACACCAAGTTATGCTCTACGTCACAGAAAAACGAAACTCAGAAAACACAATACTCTCCCAAAAACAGAAACTTAAGAACATATTATTTTAAAAAACACGACTTTAGCTTAATTCATCAATCAACCTACGTGCATGAAAGTGCATGACAAGAACATATAATAGATATATGTATATTGTATATACATACCAAAACGGTGCGTAGTCGTGAGGCCAAATCTGCTTGGCATCTTGGAAAGGAGAGCCCATGATAGTGAACCCTTCATGCCACATATACTTGGGAAAGAAAGGCGATATTCTTGCTCGTCCATAACCAGTGGCTCCGTTCGGCGATCTCAAAGCCTTTAGCTTTTGTTTCGCAGGCAAAGCGAAGAGTCTCTTTGCCTCCGCCTCTACCTCTTCCAGAAGCCTCAACGCCACCCCATGGTTCTTCAATTGGAACGCACCCCACTCCTCGCATGCAAGCCCTATCAGCTCCACAGCATTCGGATCCATGAGATCAATCACGGGTATCGACGACGACGGCCCGGATCGGCCGTCGTTGTCGACTGTTTGAGGCCATGCATGCGAATCCGGCAGGCTGCGAACTGAAGAAAAGTCTATGGGCATAATATGATGCAGATATTGCGGGTGGTCTCTGTACGCTTCGGACAGAGTACTGGCCATGTTTGTTGTATAGCTTTGCTAGATTGATTGAGATTAATTGATTAGAGAGCTTCAAGTACGATAGAATATATTTATATGTGTGTGTGGGTGTGTTTGTTTATTGATTAAAAAAATATGAAATGGTTGAGAGAGGAAGGGGAGGGATTAGGTTAAAATGATATAGTAGGGGTGAGGCTGGCTATTTGGAATTTGTGGTGTCGGTTTACGGCCTTGGAATAGAGCAGAGTTCGAATAAGACAAAAGGAAGAACAAGCAATTCAGAAAAAAGTTGGGTGGCATCTTAGAGACTTGTTTCTTTTTTCCATGATGAAGGCTTTTAGGGCAACAAAAGAAAATGATAAAGGATCCCTTTTGTTTTTCTTTTCACCGATCGCTTTTGTGGACACAAATTGGCCTCGCTTTTGTCTTCTAGTATGGGAAAATTTTCCCACAAAAAACAAAAAAAAAAATTAAAAATAGGGGACGATCGATAACGAAGGAATTAATAAGATTAGATTAATTAAAACACAGCAGCCTGATCCATGAGCTTCTATATAGGACAGAAAGCTTACATGTGTTTGATGTTAAGAAAATACACTTGTTCTCATATGCTAACCTGTAACTCACGGTGTCGATCTGAGTTTATATTTGTTGTGTTAATAACAACACTCAAAACTTTGGAAGGATATGTTTCATTTATATAAATATATATATATGTGTCTGAAATTTTTGATGACGGAATCTGTGCTTGGAAAAGTCACAGAGATCTGGGGTAAATCTTGGAAAATTGTGTGAGTGGACCATATTTTGATGTAGTTGTATATATTATTGAAGGATCTGCCACTAGCAGAGCAAATGGAGACATATGATTACCATTTTGCATGAGACGCGGTTAAAAAAGGCTAGTAAAAAGTTGGGGTGGGAATGCTTGCTTTATTTAAGGGTTATTTATTATATACAACATAAAATTTTGTCGAAAAAATAATATTATTTATGAGTTAAATGAAAAAAAATAGTTATTATTTTATTGTATAATGGGTATAAAAACGTCTGCAATAATAAAATAAAATGACAGATATTTGAGGTTGAAAAATGTGTAGGAGTTTCAAGTTGACAAGATTTCTGCAGGTCTAAAAGATGGAAACACGTCGTGAGACTCTGTCAAGCAACGCATCATGAAGACAGAGAATTTCAAATTCTTGTTCAGACTTGTGCATTATGGATATTAAAATATAATTAAGCATTAATCACACATACTCTCATTTTCTATGCCTGACAATACATAAAAAAAATAATTATTGTTTTCATTAAATTAAACTATGTTTAAATCTAATCATTACTCCTTTTGATGAACAAATATTATGGCACATTACATTTCCTTCCCGTAAATATCAGAATATTTTTTCACCACCAGCTCTATTCGAAGGAGGGCGTTTTCATCTTGAAATACATAATACTCATCCGATCTTTAATATAGGACCTAATTATTGAGTTAGTTTTTGTCCTAAATATAAGGCTTATTTCTCATATTTATTAATTTTTTCTAAATTACCCCTATGGATACTTTCTTAACCATAATCAAGTAGAATAGGAAGAGGGGGTATTAAGAAAGATGATTATGGTATTCTAAGAAAAATGTGTCACATTTCTTATAATTAACTAATTTACCTAATTTCTTTGATCTAATCAAATTAGTTAAATGAATCTTATATTAAGGATCGAAAAAGTATAACTTTTAGTTTAAAAAGAGAAAAATACATATTTCAAACATCTCTCTCTGTTTGTGCAAGAGAAACACAACTGAAAGAACCTAAGACCATAATTTCGTAACCCATCAAAGTTGACCATTCAACTATAAATGTTATGAGAGAGAGAGAGCGAGAGAGAGAGGATTCGATTTTGTGGCAGCTGTAATATATTCACATGTACATGTATGAAAAGCATCAAAGCTGTTCATTTAGACTCTTAATGTAGAAATTAGGAAGCACTCTATGATTACAAGACTGAATCCTTTTTTACATATACAAGTGTCTCAAAGTTTGAAATAAGATTAATTGGCACAGAATATATATGTTGAAAAGTCAATTTATACGGGTCGTAGCTTTTGAATATATAGTCGTGATCTTTATAAGAAAATTCTATATGAAATAATTAATTAACAAGCACATAAATAATAAAACACAAAACTTTGTTTTGGTCCAGCACAACCACCAAATATACTCCAGTACTTTGAAGAACTATAAATTTACCGACTAAATTTTGTCAACCCAAACACTTAGGAGATGCAAGCGTTTCAAAAAGGATGAAAATAATAATAATTAAAGTGGTATCCACATTGCATATTGCATATTGGTTTTTATTTATTTATTTATTTTTCCACTGATATTGTACTGGTTTGAAGTTTCCTCATGTTGTGTGGTATTTTTTTTATTTACATTAAAAATATATATAGATATTGACCATATTTTGTTGATTAATTATTATTTAAAAATAATTATTTTATCAACAAAATATAAATAATATCTTTGTCGGAAAAAATCTGTTTGTTTCTTTCTCTCTCTGTTTCTTCTTTTTTTTTCCTGCTAAATAAATTTTACGTCATTCTGGGCATCAAATAATTATACGTGACGAGAATTTAAGAGAAAATGGGGAATGCTGGCAGTGTAAAGTGGAAACGATATTATAGTCGGTGGTTCCTAAAAGAATTTTATAAAAATGAAAGCAATTCCATAGTCAAATAAATTTCAGAATCAAAATGATCAATAATGTGCATATTTTGGGCGTTAATTTCAATGCCATGGGAAAGTAAGAGTACGTCGGTACCGACTATCCCCTCCCCTCCTTCATTCACAACAATTTCATTCCAATATCATTATAATTTGCAAATTTAAATTTTGACTCAATTTTATTTCACCAAATATAGAAGTAGAACGGAGAAAGCAAAGTCCGTGATGTTTTAGCTCTAAAAGAATCAATTAATTGTGAATATATTTACTTGGTATATTTTAATCAAAATTAATAATGAATAACAAAAGGTTGTGCTTAAATGCTTTTATATGAAAACAAACTAGATTATAGAGACGTTAGTCGGCAAGTTACGAATAGGTTTGACAATATTAAACAAAGGAGAATAAAAAATAAATAAAAAGTCACAAGTTACCCTTTCACGAAACAAGTTGAATAATATATATATTTAAAATAAATACTCGAAGTCCATGTTTATATTGTTTGACAGCCTTTTCCTGTGTCTTTCTATCATGGAACCAGATGTTATGAATTAGCAATAAAGAGGATCAGCGGAACCAGGTCATGAGACAATTTAGGGACTCCGGGTTTGTTTAGAAAGACTTATAAATACTTTTTTGATTCTGTTTATAAGTCACTTCTAACATATTTTACATAGATGAAAAAACCTTAAATTTTATTAACTCTCATTTAAAATCCAACAGTTTTTCAATTTTATTCCTGTTTAGTATGCATTATACCTCATGTAAACGTCAACATAATAATAAATAAAAGATAAAATTATATATTCACATAAAAAATTTCTGTCAATACGCTATAAATAAGATAAAAACAAAGTCTTCTCTCTCTACCCTATAAATGGGACCAGAAAAGTAGTTTATAAGCAGAATTATATTCATAATTTATAAAATACAAAGTATGTATGTGAAAAAAAATTTTATTTCGATTTATGTGAACATATTTATTAATCATGAATCCAAACAAATCCGAACTCATTTTTGAGGCGCGCCTACGAACTAGTAATTCTGCCAGAAGCATCGACAAATGAACAAAAGTTGGTATCACACTTCCATATTTTTCCTCTCAATTTTTTATGTGAATAATCCTTTCTAGTAAAATTGATTGAGCAGCATTAACCTAGGAAAGACATTTGCTTGTCCTTTATTATCAGAAAATTACTTAATTGTGCTCAGGTTTGACCTGAGAGAGTCCTTCAAACAGAGTAATTGCCATGTTTCTATTGTATTAATGGCTTCCTTTATCCTAGCGCACTCAGATGAGCAATGAGTTTACATCAACAGACATGGAAATGTCAAGAATAAAAAATTAAGCTCCTTTTAAGTGTATCATTTTTATTTTTTAAAAAATCAAAATATAACTGAAAATAATGACATCCCATATTTTGTATTTTTTAATAAAATAAAACTAGGCAGACCCCACGCATTGGACTGAACATGAGACACGAGTCATGTTCATAACGAGGAGATAACATGACTTAATACACATTTTATATTCTATATTGACATGGCAAAATGGCAAAGGATATCAACAATTAGATACCATCAACTTCATAAGTTTATCTGAGAGTGAATCTGATGTGGCTGTCAAGCCTGTTTAATCTATCATTGGCCCGCCATATACTACTAACAATAGAAAGACTAAACCAACAATAGAGTCGAGCAGAACAAAATCAGACAGCATTCAGAATAAGGGCAATCTCTGTTCTCCTCAAGGCCTATAATCAACGGGAACCGACTACAGCTCAGAATAGAGGCTGAGATTCAATGTGATCGCGTCCTTTTGCCCTCATAACTGGGATCTGATGCTTTAATTGAATTCCTGACGTCTTCATTGGCAACAATCCTCCCCTGATGTGCCCCTACAAACACTTTTAACCAATTACAACAAATCGGACAATTCAAAAGGCGAAAGAGAAGAAGGAAGATTGCGTTTGAAGATTTACCTGCTTGAGTAGACATTCGATTGCCAGGTTTGATGGCAAGATTAGAAGTGCCTGCGAAAGATGATCCCCCTTGAGGCGCCTGCGGGGGTGTAATCTTGCTCACCATACCAGTCTCACTATCTCCACACGGCACGTGGCTGTGATTAGGGAGCTTCACGGCAGGTTTTTGGGAGTATGTTGTGGAACAACACCCACCATTTGACCCAGCTAAAGCCATTATAATTTCTGCCTGCACAAGTCATCATACAACATGAACATGCAACGATTCTGCCTTTGTGGGAAGGCCTAAAATTCATTAAATGCTATTACGTTTGAATTTGTATGCTGAAATTTTGAAATTTAAACCAGCATAAACTTACAGGGATATTAGAAACTACTCGTTGGATTATATTAAATCTAACTATCAAGAACTAACAAGGAAAGCAAAGGCAAGGTCCAAGTGAAATAAGCGATATCAACAAAAATGGCTAAAAAGACGGGGAGATAACGGGTATGTAAAATTACCCAACATTTCATGTAAAGCAATAACTTACTGAAAATGGCTCGCATAATGAACCATGATTATTCATAATTTGCAATTTTTGATACACTTGAACAAAGACCTACAAAGTCCAAGAACTTTAAACAATAAACATAGAATTATGCATCGTAAGAGGAGAACTTGCTGGTTTTATCATGGATAGTAAATTCAGTGGTTCCCTCAATCCGTCACACCTTCATGTTCCTGGGCACGGCGGAAGAGGTCTGGATAATTTGGGCAGAAAGCCTTTTCTGAAGGAGAGAACACCTCAAAAGTCTTCAAAATCAACACTGAGTTGTGGCAAATGAAACAAGATGAGTGATGTAAATGGCTATTACGTGAATATGAAGGTTTGGCTGAACTTTAGGCAAACTTTGAGGAGCGGAAGGTTCATGAATATTGTATTCCTTTCAAGATAGGGATGGAGAGAGAAAGAATGTTTGAATTTTTGGCCAGCCCGAACAGAAGTCTCAATGATGTGAGTGGAAGGAAACTAGCTCAAAGTACCATTCCTTCAACCAGTGAAGCCTTCACTTATGTGAGGCATGAAGAAGCAAGAAGAAAGCCGATGTTGAAGGAAGAAACAAATGCGAATCAGAAGCATTTAATGAGTTGAATAGCAATTTCTATTGAACGAATGGTAACATAAAATTGGTATGAAATGCTAAGAAAGTGCGTTATCAGGTGTCCTGGCTTTCTCGAGCAGCAGTTGTATATTCAGCATAGGCTACATGGTACATAAATCAGCTAAATATAGTCATATCAATAATACCATGACACCAGTTTCCTTAGAGAGCTTAAACCTTTTCATGCTATGGAGCTTAAAAGATATTGTCGCCTTCCAATATTTCACTTATAGAGGAAGAACCACTCACAAAGATGATCTCAAAGTATATTATAAAGCACATTTTTCCTATTATGATTGCAAAGTATAAACCTTTTTGTGGATCATGCAACATTAAACGCAATAAGTATTATATGTCTTGCTAACAACAAAATAGCAGACCTTATTGGGGTGGACATTATCAAAAACGTGAGCTTGACCCCCATAAAAAATAGTCATCTGGCAGCTGGCAGATGCTAAACCCTGTTGACTGCAATCAGTACCAAAAAGCATGTAAACATGCAGCATTTTATTTTAAGGTAAATGGGAGGAAAATGGGAAAGTGCGGCGGACATTAACAAGGCCATGTTGTTTATAAAATTTACCTTGGAGGCATGGAAGATTCTGGGTCTATTATACCGGTCAATGGCTTTGGCCTGCTTCCGCCAAGTGCAGACAGAGATTTCTCATAAGCAGCGGTGGTAGTGTTCATGGAACTCAAGATCCCAGGGCCCTTGATTCCTGTTCTAGATCCTTCATCAGCAGCGGAATGAGAAATAAATGAAGGACCAGCATTAGCATCCCTGCTCTTGTTAGAAGGTATCTGGTGCACAAAGGATGCTAATTGACCGCCATGTGGTGGATGTTGCATGGAAGAACCAGTATTCATGAGAATAGACCGCTCCCATTTATTGACGTCAGTCTTAGCGCCCATGGAAGGCTGATATATGTGAGAAGCAGAAGTCGGCTTCCTTGACTGCATACCAAGAAATATCATCATTAGACCTTCTACGCTGCTCTCCTCCAGCTGCATACTGGAGGATCTGTATATAATAAGCACAACTAAAAAATAATTAAAATAAGATAAGAGCAAAACAATTTTCACTTGTCATAAAATGTTATTGTAGGAGAATAGGAAGCATCTGATAATTCACACCTTCATTAAATGCAAATTTTGAAGAGAGTCAGGAACCATTTGGAAGGCATCTCTGGAGTAACTCATAAAACTGGAATCAGAGTTACTTCTCTTGTTTCCTACTATTCTGTTACTAATCTCAGTGCCAGAAAGATCACTCCTTGAGCTATAGAATGGGACTCCCTCGAGGTGATTTCCTAACTGTCTGTCTACCAAATGGATGAGGGAAATTAAACATCACAGCCAATGTAGACATGTAAAACCCACACAGGATACAGAAGCTTCCATAAATACTTCGCACATCTAAGCACTAAGAGCATCCATTTTACACAGTGAAAAACCAGTGCAAAAGACGATCTAATAACACAAATCATGATGTTGTTTTGGGTTGGGGGGGGGGGTAAATATCATCATCAACAAATGCCCAGGCATTGGAAAGCATGAGAATGACCTTAAAAATCTGTTTCAAATAACAGAGATTCTAAGTAAGCATTCAGTTTCTACTATCCTCAATGGGTATGTGGTTGAAGAGTCTCCAGCCATCTGCAATGCAGCCCCCACAGTTCATGCCCAGGAAAGTTCTCCTATTAACTAAATAAATAGTAGATAGATGACTGAGAATGAAAAGGCAAGAATCAATTGTTTAAGAAAAGAAAGTAAAGCCAGTGAACAAACAAAAAGAGGGGGAAATGTAGAGTTGACGAAAACCAACCGAACCTACCTACCCTAAAATTACTAGACTCCCTAAACAAACCAATCAGAAGGTAAACCACAATGAAATAGTGCAATGGAGAGAAAAGGAAGACAGCACAGCCAATCAGTGGAGGAGAATCGATACAGGAAACAAATTTCAATTGCCCAGCGCTTCTATCGAATTCTCAAGCAGAGCCCGCCCTTCAAAATGCTTGAGAAAGAGTAAATGTACGCAGTACGTGGGTGTGATTTAGCGTGCCTATGGGCATATTTAAAAAGAAAAAAAAAACATCAACTGAAAGGCCATACGAACATCGCATGTTCGCTCACCAGAAGCGGTATCAGAGGTGGTTGAGAGGGGGCCACGGGCAACACCCGAAGGGGCGCCAACAGAGACTGACGCCGACGACGGCGACGCCTCCGCCGGCCTCGTATCAGCGGTTTTGGGGGCCGCAACAAGTGGCGAATCAGTGGGCTTCATGCCCATAAAGTCATGAAAGACTGGTTTCACTGACTGTTGGCTCGAGCTGTGATTGCCATTGCTATGCTGTTCCATTCTCAGCATTGCCATCGGATAGCCATCTCACTCTACAAAGCTAAGCTGCTGCTACACCACCCGCACACTCACACACGCAGGGGAGGAGTGAACGCAAAGCAGAAGAGAACAAGATCTCTGAGAAAGGTCAAAAAAAAAAAAAGGAGGAACCGGGTACCATTGAGGGGGAGAGAGTGAAAGCAATAAAAGCAAAAAGTTGATTTCTTCCGCTCTGTTAAATTTAGGAGACTATTCTTTGTATTCGAATTCTGTGCGCACCTTATCACATTACTGTAATAAATGTTATGGCGTTCTTCGCTTCTTTTTAACAAGGGAAAGAGAAATAAATTGCCCCCAAGGTACAGAGATATTCAACGCGATGGAGAAATTGAGATTCTGCGGTTCATCACTGCTTACTCGGTCCCAAATATTGCAGACTCGAAAATATGTCTGCGGTACTAATTAGTTTTTTTTTCCCATTTATGTCCTTGGCCTGTGGTTGATATAATTAATATGATACTGAAATGTAATGTAGTTAACAAGGGAAAAAAGCTTACATAATTCTAAATAAAATTACTTATTCTCATTAATTATGTTTAAAATCCATTTTTTTTCATGAAATGTCCCTATTAGTGCAATTAAAACTACTCATCTCTTCTATTTGCTCCCTTATGTTTTATAAGATGTTTTCCTTCGAGTGATTTTATTTTTCACAATAAAAAAATAAGATGTTTTGAAAAAAATGATACTACTAAATTAATCGAACTTGTGTCAAAATATATTTTATAATAAAGTGATTGTAATAATTAAGTGTAAGTTAGGGATTAGTATTAATGAGAGATAGTTTTTCAAGTTTATACTCCTTTGTTAAAAAATAATTCCCAACTACATTTTTTAAATAAAAAGTCAATTTTATTCAACATAAGTAAAATGATTACATAAAAAAGCTGATCAGTCCCATTCGGTCAATTTGAGTTAAACCTAAATAAATCAAAAGAAAAGGCCGACATAGAATATTCAAAACAAGAAAATAATAGACAAAACAACGATCAGCAAAATAAAAAACTAACAACAGAAAAACATTAAAAACACGTCCTGCAGCATTGGCCTCCTGATGTAAAGCCAACAAGAGAGACTCGAATACATTTAATTGCTTATCTTTATAGTTTAGATAAAGACATTTTATAAAACATAACCAAGTATTTTTAAATAAAGGGCACAATTAAAAGAGTCTATTAATTGCACTTAGAATTAAATATTTTTGTTCACGATTAAAACCTCTTTCGTAGTATAAATTACACTGCCAAAAAGGTCTTACATTTAGAACCGAATGAGTATTATTTACTTACAATCAAAATGTATGAAAATGTCACTTAAAATAAACTAGCACGCTGAGCATGAAGCTAACTTTTCGATAATTGGAAGCAGGAGAGTATGATACAAGAAACATCCCATTCCTGCGCGCCCAAAAAATGAAATTCCTAGATTGTGATTTATCGCCACCAAATGCTTTCCTAAATTTATAATCTCAATCACATTTTCATTAAAAAAAAAAAAAGAAGCAAAGAACTATAACCCACTCATTTCACCTCCTTATCATATTCCCGAATTGTTAGCATGAACGAGTCACGGTCCCAGGCCCCATCCTAGCATAATTATTACTATCTCGGGTCCTTAATATAAAATCTCATTTGACTTTTATTTTGATCCAAAATATAATATCTTAATTCACTTTATTTTTTATATTTATTTATTTATTCCAAAATAATCTTTCTAATAATAATAGTTCTATCCCATACACTTGATTAATAAGGATATTTTATGAAAGACAACATTTATTTATTACAAATAACTAATGTAACTTATTTTCTTAATCTACTCAAATTAGTCAACTAACTTTTATATTTAAGAGTAGAGGTAGTATTTCATAAATACTTCCTCCGGTCCTATATATAAATTTCATTTTAAAGAGGAGTCTAATTTGTTGGCCAAAAAAAAAAAAGAAGAGTCTGATTTAAAATATGAGCTTTAATTTTGAATTTGTTTGCGCATTTATTACTTTTTTTTTTATCTATTTTATTCTTAATTGACTTTATTTAGTACTTCCTTTCCTCGTTAATATTACTTTTATATATTTTCTTTCATTATTTTTTTTTTATTACTTCTTATTTACTCTCTTAATAAATAAAAAAATTGGAGGAAAAAAAGATATTTTTCTTACTTATTTATTATTTTTAATCAATTTTAATTGCTTGACTATTTAAAGTTTATATATAAGAGAGGGTATTAATAATAAAAAGCCCTTTGCTCACTGCAGATTCCAGATGGCGACAAAGACACCAACCGCTAGCGTAATTTGTAATTCTGATTTCTGAATATGATTTTGTTCCGCCGAAAACACATTCCAAAAAACTCTGATTCTATCTTCGTGCTTTGCTAAAAATCCATCTAAAACATAGAGGGCCTCATTCGGCCAGTAGCCTTTCTTTTAGGTCAAAACCAATGGCAACATAAGAAGAAGCCGCTGACAACAAAGGATTACTCATCGTCATCGAAGGAAATGCAGACCTTAATTGTACTTAGCGTATTTACATATATTAACCTGTTTAACCTACATTACATTATACTATCTCCGATCCTTAATATAAGAGATTTTTAATTTAGTTTTAAATATAAGAACACAATTCTCTTTATTTTTCATATTTATTTATTTTTTTAAAGTAATCCTTATAATAGTTGTACATGTTAAAGTTTCAGCAAATAGTAGTTTTAGTTAATATCCATTATTAATAAAGGTATTTTAAGGAATGACAATAATTTATTACAAATAACTAAAATAACAAACTTTCTTAATCTACTTAAATTAGTTAAGTAGCTGCTACATTAAGTACGGAAGTAATACATTGTAATGACAATTATTGCTTATAATTCTATGCTCACGGGGGAGTAAAATCTGGTTAAATGATAATAAAGGTTCCAAGCTCTACCAAAAAAAAGAACAAGTCTCCACGCGCCTCCCTCACAAAAATCACTTAACCAACCTCACTAGCTAAATAAGAATTAAATTGTTCTGCACTACGACCGCCCCAGTAATATAATATAATAAACAAAAATAATTAAACTTAGTCAGTGTTTAATTGTCCCAACCTGAATAATCCATATGCCAATATGCCATCGTCTCTCGACTGAGTACACCTTGGAAGTCCATTGGTTCAGTGATTTTACCTGTGAAAAGAGAGCCTCATCCGTTGGTCTGCCAGAAGGCTAAAAGCAACTGTTCCGGCCCAATAATGGATTCCCAAACTGTTGAATAAGTGAATATAATAAAATAACTGAGTATGATTCGCCAGATCCATCTGCCTAATATAATTATAAGAGTACACCATAAAGAAAGAAATCAGCATTAGCAGAAAAAGAGGGGGGAGGGGGGGGGAGGCGCATAAGATAGCCAAAGATATTACCGACTCCTCTTACTGATCTACCAAAAGATCACGGCATTTTAGACGAAAAGGACAAGTCAGTGAAGCAACTTACTGCAAACTCTAATGACAAGAAGTCGAGTTCCCGGGGAACAATACCCAATAATCAGTGAGTTTTGGCAATATATCAGCAAAAGAAATCTCGAGAAAGTTCACCTGCAATCACATCCGTCTGGATGATGTTGAGCTCTACCAACTCCAGCTCCAGTCTCAGGCCCAGCAGTGCATTGCCTACATTCGTCGAAAGAAAAGCCAAGAAGATTACTCCACTACGATAATCCATGGATTTAAAATCCTGACTTGAAAACTTCATTTTCTGACTCCACTAGTAAACCAATACAATTTAGCTCATATTGAACTCCTCGCCTCACGTAGACACACGAGTTTGCATTTTTGCACATGCTGTTGTTATAGTGTGAAACAGTTTATTGACCCGCAGACTAACAACAGGATGGCTAGAGTAGAACACGCATCAAGAAAGTAACTAATTACGTTGCGCGGAATAAATTTGAGCTGATTCACAGATATTCAAACTGCCTGTTACTGCTTCTGCCGCTAATAAGATAGCAGAAAATATCCCTTCATGGCTTCTTTATCCTTTTATTAATATTACCCATCAAACACTCAGCGCTGGAGACAGCATTTGCTGACGAGCTTCTATATTTGGCAAGTTCTCTGGGGTCCTTGTGGTTTTTTAGCATATCAGAAAATGCTTTGGCCCTCTGCATTATAGATTGTCTCCGTGCATGTGCTTCATCTCTGTCTTCAACATATTATTTGGCAACTTAGTAGAATGAGGCACAGAAGACATCAAGCTGCATAGTTTTTGTGCCATTTCGGTCATCCCTCGCTTCTTTAATGCACTATTCATTCTCTGAAATGTGAGATACTGAGGGACTATACCCCTCCGTATCATATCCTCAAATTCTGCACAAGCCTCCTCAAACCTATGCATTTTGCAAAGCAAATGAACCAACATAGTACTTGTGGCAAGGTCCATGTCATATCCCTCACGCCTCATTTCCTTGCTAACTTGGACTGCCAAGTTCAATTTCCCCTCTTCACATAGCATCTTCAGTAAAAGATGATAAGTAAGCCGATCAGGGGTATAACCAGATTCAATCATCTTGGTATAAAGGTTGATACCCTCATCAATTTTCCTACATCTTGAAAAGTACCTAAAGAAGTAGTTATAGGTGGTGGGACTGGGGATGAAACCCCTACTTATCATCATCTTAAGAATCTTACTGGCACCAACAAGATCTCCTGCCTTACAAAATCCTTTCACCAAGGAATTGTAAGTCGAGTTAGTTGGGCCTGTTTCTAAAACATGAAAGCGCTCCAGCATACCCAAAGCCTCTTTGAATCTCCCAGCCTCGGCTAATGCATCGATTATTGGGTTATAAACAATTGCATTCGGTTCAATTCCTTGTTTGGTCATATCATTAACCAATTCAATTGCCTTTTCAACACGACGCGTCCGGCAATATCCTTCCACAAGGGTGCCATAAGTCACCACAGTTGGTCTTACATTCTCCTTCCTCATCTCTGCCCAAAATCTCTCAGCATCTTTGAGTTTCCTTGATCGAAACCATCCATTTAGCATAATATTATAAATCCGAACTGATGGGACCCAAGACGGGTCCATCTTCTTTCTCTTAAGGAAATACTCTGAAGCTGCTCTGACAGACCCTTCTTTACAAAGTGAATCCAACAATATCTCAAACAATCTCATTTCTGAATCCGAATCCATAATTGGCTTTAAATTTCTAGCATACTCAAATGTTCGAATTGCAGGTTGTGACATACCTGAAATATGGCGTCACATAAGGAATTCTAATTAATCAAACTTACGCTAGATCATGCAACAATAGAGCACTCTCATCATAAAATTCTCCCTCGCAGACAAAACGAAGAAGAAGAATTTTAAAAATACAAGCTATTTTAAAAACTAGACTTCACAATGAAGGTATATAGATTACAAGCATATAGGAGTTCAAAACTTCTAAGAAAACACGTAAAAGCAGATTGTAAGACTACAAAGTCAGTTGCAAATTAACTTGATGACACGAAAACAGATAGCAAAACGGCTGGTGAAGCTTAAATTTACATTTGAACAATTCTAGAATGGCATGTTACCTGCAAGAGCATACCGTCTGATCATTATAGCAAAGGTATCCCCGGAAACGAATATGGCTTCCTCGTGGCGATCAATCTGTTCAAGAAGCAAAATCCAAGCGGAGTCAAACTCCCTCGATTTGGCAAGAACATTGATCATGGAATTGAAAAGCGTCACGCTAGGCCTGAACCCCGGTCGCTTCAGAGCCCAAAGAAACAGCGAGTGCAGTAACTTTGGGGAAGAATCGAAGTGATCGAATACGGCTTGCAGCAGAGTCGGATCCGGTTCAATTCCGGCCTCATCGAGTGCGTTATCTAGAGCTGGACCCTGAGAGATGGAAGGGTCGACAAATAGATTGGCAATGGTGGAGAAGTCATCCCGCGAGAAGTTAGAGTTTGCGTTCGATTTGGGGTTCGGGTTCGGGTTGCGTTCCGGGATTGGTAGCGATGGCCAATCGATGATAGAGCTACCCGGCATAGATAGCCATGATTGTGCCCAAGAGGAAAAGAAGCGTTGATTTCGAGCTCGCAGGAATGGAAGAAGCTTTGGGCTTAGCAACAGAGGACGAACTAAGAAGAGCGTATGACGAGAACTATGGAAAAGCATTTGACCTGGGGAGTAGAGAAGCAAATAGAAGCGGAAATTCCCGGAAGACAATCAGGAGCGAATGGACGATGCTAACGGTCTCGTAAAACCCTGCACCTCAACGGCTGTGGGGAAGGGTAACAGGGGGGAGCAAATGGGGTTTGAGGTTATTGTTTTACGAAGCTCAACATGATGCCATTAGTGCAGTGAGACGTCCCACGCGTTATGCTTGTTGCAGTTTGTCCATTAAAAAGTCAAAACTCAAAACAATCTCAAATTTGTTTTTCTGGGGCTAAGGCGGGTCAAGCACGAAGTTTTTTATCATGTGTAGCAACTAGCAAGTATCTAAAATAAAGTATCACCTCCGATCCTAATTACAAGAACCAGTTAACTAATTTGAGGAGATTAAAAAGATAAATTGAGTTAGTTATTTGTCCTAAATAAGTATTGTCTTTTCTAAAATATCTTTGCTAATCAAATGTAATGACTAGAACTATCATTGTTAAAAGGGTTACTTTAAAAAAAATATATAAATATGAGAGATAAAATGGATTGGGGTCTTATATTTATGACCAAAATAAAAGTTAAACAGGGTCTTATATTAAAGACAGGAAGTAGTATTTTGTGATGCATATATCATTTTAAAATTTTTTAGCACATCTAATACTTTAAAATACATTTTGTAGTATAATTTTATTTTTAAAGTATTATTTTTTCGAAAGTAGCTGTGCTTTTAAAATATTATTTCATGAGCATTTTTTATTCCATCATTAATTCCTCAAAAGGTTCATTAAATGAGTATATATTAAATATCATAAAAAAAATTTTCAGTATTTTTTAGAGTGTTGGATGTACTTAAAAAATATTTTAGTATACTAGACATACCACAAAATACTTCAAGATACTAGATACATAGGAAAAAAACTTCAAAATATTGGTTGCACCAAAAAAAAAAAGAGTTTGAATGCATCTGGCAAAATGTTTTAGGATGCTGAACACATTTTAACCTTGTTTTTGTAAGTTTGAAACCACTAGTCCTTTTCGTTTTTGTTTCAAAGATAGCTGACTCACAAAGTATTGCAAACAAAATTTGGTAAAACATTTTTCTTTTTTTAAAAAATTGTTCTTTAAAATAGGATCTTGTTTAGTTGTGTTCAATTTTGTTTTCAAAAATTGTTTTGAAAAACAGGATTTAAGGAAATCCAGAGCCTCATCATTGTCTCCAAAATAGGCACCGCCACTCTTCCGTTCAAGTGCAGGCAATTCAGCTCCAAGTGATAGGGATACGGTTTCAGAAACTGTTGCTTCCAGACGTCCTTGTAAAAAACATCTTTGTTATAGCATTGGCACATTATAAACCCACGGTCGCATGCCTTTGAATGATTTCTTACGAATTAAAATGATTTATTAGGACACGTTGCTCATAAAAGATGTACCGCTCAACAGTACATCTAATCTGTTTCGAGATCAATTTCCCTTTCCATGGAGGTTTTGAATTAGAGGCACAATATACTAATTGCCTAAAACTATAAGAATTGAAACCATCACCTCCTATTGACTACGGCCAAAAAGAGGTACGGCATGCGTGTGACATTATTAAATACTTCCTCGAACAAGTTCTTCTACATATTCAACAATTCAAAAGTTGCGATAAAAATGGGAAGATGCCATGGCAACAATAGGTCATTATCCATTTACATTTTACTTGTTCATTTACTGGTCACAAAGGAGCTTAATCAGAGTACCACAACATACACATCCACACTCACAAGAACAGGGCAAGGAGCACCACCATAGACAATTTTCACATATTAGTGTAGAAAAGGCACGATGTGAATAAAACTCGTGGTAGAAGGATTTTAGTTTTTTTTTGTTCCAAACTCGTTAGAGACAAGTGGGAGATGCCCTTGATTAATTGATAAACAGTTAGGAGTGTAGATAGTCAAATAAGCACTATACATATCTATTAATGAAAGATCAACTAAGCTGCAAATCCGCCCACTTGCCTACCAGCCGTAGCCTTGGCTTTAGAGTTACACGCACGCACACAGAGCAAGTTGAGAAGATTTTGGAAACTAGCTTTTACGGAAGAAAGTCATTCCATCTACCACAGCATGATCCTTTTCATCACTTTAGAGAATGAGGTTGTGAATTACATCTCTCATAGTTGCAATCAAAACCATCTTACAACATCGGGCTGCCACGAAAGCCAGATTCCAGGAGGCGTATAATGCAGTGAAAAGAAATGGCAGTTCCCATAACAGCCATTTCCACATTTCTCGTGGAGAAGTTTTCCTCCATACAGAGAGAAAATGAAAAGGACTGGGAAAACATGCAACTCTGGTCATTTAAGGAGACACCAACACTGCAGTATTTCCAATTACAGGCTGCAGACTGGCTGCATGCTCTAGTCTTTTCCATGCTTCCTTTCGCTGCTCAGCTGCTAAACTTAGGGCTGCCTCTTCCTCCTTAAAGCTCGAATGACAGGACAGGAAGAGCTTCTCATCCATCTCCAAGAACATTTTTCTAATGTTAAGGGTTAAATTGAGCACCGCATGATTCCAGTGGTTCTGAGAGTTCCTCTCCAAAGATGGAAATATGATGGGAAGGATCACCTGACGATTATGCGCAATCAAGTTGACAATATGGTCGTTATTCCATAAGAAAAGCGCTCTTTCAGCTACCTGAAACAATCCAAGTTAAAGGGAAATTTTATAATCTTTACAAAGTAACCTAGGACAGAGTGCCAAAAGCATTGAGAAGGAAACTGAAGCTCATTATTGTTAAAGTAATCATGTAAAGGGAGCAAAGAAGCAACAGACATATAAAGTAGAGAACAAATTGAGATCAGGTAGCACAGCCAACAAGGAAATCGACAAATTACTTCAGAAAATATATGGAAAACTCTGAATAAATTATGGTGTAACATTATTTTCCCATTCCATTAGGGGACCAATACTCTCAATCTAACAGAACGCGTACACAGAGGTATCTCACGAGAGTTCCAATAGATTCGACTTAGAACCTGAAGTAAAATGTTAATTTAAAAGGACCCCTTCTAGTCAATGGAAATATATTAACATTAAAAAAGCACTTGTCCAAATGCAAATTAAAATCTTACGCGTGACTAATCAAACACCAAGCTTCTGTCTTGTGCCATCAATGAGCATAATTTCTCCATAACAATCAATTAAGCATCAGCTTATAGTAAGCACAAATTAGACTTTCAGTGACCACCATGCCAACTCCAAACGTATATCAAATTCACCAGAAGTAACAAAATTATTTGCCAAAAATTTGAAGCCTGCGAGAAATTTATCAATAGTAAAACAACTAATCAAAATTGGAAAGCCATGTCACCTCTTTTTAACATGGTCCTCCTCAATTCGCCAAAACTGTAATACATCTCACGATAGCACACATAATTTAAACGTCATAAAGCAGCAAATCAAGCCCCCATAGCAGAAACTACTGGACAATTCATTTTTAAAAGAAAAAGGGTAGGAGAGAAACTAGAAAATATCACGAGTCTTTTTCTATAACGCTGACATCCAATGTGAATAAAGCAAAGCAATGATGGAAGAACAGTTGATTAGTTTGAGAAAAAAACTCGTGATTTGGGATTAATTAAAGACTTTTAATTGTTCATTTTATCAAGCACATTAAAGCGAGTAACTGAATCGTGAGCACTTCTAACAAAATGAACACAAATCAAGTATGACCGCACCAGGACAGAGTTATGCATTTGAGAGAAATAAGGCATGCCACAAAAGGGCAGTAGAAGTAAAATAGTAACCCACTAATCGGGATTTATTCTTTTAACTGGCATAGGAATATGCAAATTGCGAAAATTGTACCTGAAAGTGCAAGCTGTTAATGCAGCACCCAATCCGCCAAAACAATGGGACCATGACCCTTTGGAACTCGACCATGTTGATTGCTTCCAAAATCTCCTCCAATTCACCCAAGAACATCACCTCTTTCTGACTATTTGTTATCGGCCAATATTTTAATAAACCTCTTATCACGGTGCTCGCTAATTTCGGCTCCTTCTCTATAAACTGTATGACACAGTTGGACAACTGCTGAAAATAGAGCCCCACGGATTTTGGCTTGTGCAAGGGGATCAAAACCCTCCACAAGAAAATCTTGTGCTCCTCTTTCAAAGGTAAAGCAAACCCACTAATTATGCTCCCAAAAATCTCCAACAACTCAGCAATTCCATTGTGTTTTTCAGTCTCAAACACAAACCGATAAAATATATTGTTGAAAGATTTTCGGATATAGGGCCTATGCACCATGAACTTTCCATAAACCCTATGCAGTATTGTCTTTAAGCAGTCTCTTTCCCTTGGATCCTCTGAGTCGAACAAGTCAAGCAACTTCGAAATAAATGAATGATCGAAGTATTTCTTCGCCACCTTAGCATCAAGGCAAGAAGAAGTAATAAATTTAAGGAGCAAATCATATACAATCTGTAAATGTGGCCAGGCAGGATCAAACATGGGCTCATCATCATCATTCTCGCCACCAGCACTACGCTTCCCATTTGACCGATAATTAGGAGGGAAAACTCTAAAGAGATTGATGGCACACATTTTGCACATAGCAAAGATAGCGTGCTCACTAAATTTCATCGAACCAGAATCCACAAAATCAACAAGTTCAAGCAAAGTTTTTCTCTTGACATCTTTCTCAACGGTATTTTTAACGGGGTCAGTAAAATCGAAAGTAACACAACAAAGGCTCAATTTGCTTACAAACAGGTTCATCTTCTCCGCATTGGGTACATCTTTGAACGGAACTAAGGGTTCGATCCCAGACACGATGCTCGCGGGGAAAACTGCTGACGAAGAAGTGCGTTTGGCAGTGTTGTATCGACCGGAAGAGTTCCCGACATTTGAGCGATTGCTCCTCCCGGTAATGCGCGCTGAAGTGTCCTGCGAGGGACTGAAACGAGAAGAGTCGCCCCGATTTGACTCGTTCGAGTCGGATTTGGATGGCTTCCGAGGAAGCTTGCTGAGAAATTGCTTCAGCATAGCGATGAGTAGCTACAATCTATACAAGCTTGTTCAGATTGAACCCATGAAGAATCAATTCAATCCTTGAGACAAAACTCAGCACGAGCCACGAAAGGGGAAGCAAGCGGCGGGATTAGAAACCCTAAATCTCGCTCACCGATGCAAGCGCCAACTTTCTACAATGTGGGATCCGCATCACAAAAGAAGAATGGGTTTGGGAAATTTTTGCGACATTGCAGGGTGCATTGATGAAAAATCAAAGCTCGAAAGCCGCGGGTTCCAACAACGAACGCAGAAACTCAAATGCAGAAAAACGAAAGAAGATGTGGTGTGATGGAGCGAATAATTACAATGAAAAGCTCCCCGTTTCTAACTTTCTCGGGAATATAATCGAAAATTAGGTAAAGGGAAGTTAATAATATTATGAGATCGGGGAGCTCTGTTAAAACGTTGGCTCGTGAAACCTGAGCTGTTCGTACCTCTTGTTAGTGTTCGATCCCCATGAAACTGAAAACAACACAGAGGCTATCAGGCTATGGCCGGGTTTCCCTTTGCTTTGTTTTCACCCACCCACCCGGGGGGCGGAGAGTGAGGGCGCGCTTTTTTTGACCTTGTTAATTCGGTCTATGAAAGGAACATGAAAAATAGTCACAACACACACACTACCCCAGGGTAATCATTCGGTATAAAAATATAAATTATTATCAAGTACTCTTTTGATTCTTAATATAAGACCCATTTAACTAATTTGATTAGATTAGTTAGGTAAGTTAGTTAATTATAAGAAAGTGACACATTTTTTTTAAAATATAATTATTTTTCTTAATACTTCATCTCAATCTTTTACTTGATTATGATTGAGAGAGTATCTATAGAGGTAATTTAGAGAAAATTGATAATATAAGAAATGGATCTTATATTTAGGACCAAAACCAATTTAATAATTGGGTCATATATTAAGGACCGGAAAAATATTATCAAGTATAAATTTTGAAACACGTGTTTTTTTTTGTCATTTGAAACACACGTGTTTACAAATATGTACAAGTCCAAATTTTTATTTTAATAATTGAATGTGTTAAATTTTTAATTAAATCATATAATTCGAAAAATATTCTTAAAATTTTATAAAATAATTCTAATATTTCTTTCATTATGAATTACAAAAATTTAAATTAATGTTTTATTTTACTGTTAGCATGTTTCAATTATAAATTAATAATTTTATACATTTATAACATAGTTGCGAGAAATCTTTGAATAAAGCTTTATTACAATATAATATTAAAAATTAACATGTTTTATTTTATAGTTAATATTTTTTATTTTTAAATTTATAATTTTTATCTCTATAACACACCTGCAATGAGTTTTTGAATAAAATTTAATCATAATACAACCTTAAAAATTAACATAGTTAAACACTTTTCAATTTTAAATTAATAACTTTCTACCTCCATGATAAGTCTTTGAATAAAATTTTATCATGATACAACCTTAAAAAATGACATATTTTATTTCGTAGTTAATACATTTCAATTCTAAATTAACAAATTTATATGAGAATGAAACTATCAAGATTAAAAAAGGATAATTTAATGCAAAAAGTAACTCCATGTTGCCTCATTGATCGATTTTCCGACTCTGTAACGATAGACATTGTGTTTTCTTTGTTCAGACCTCCTTCACAATAGAAAATCATTATCTTTTTAGGTTTTTAATGGAAGTGGTATTAGAATCATTTTATAAAATTTTATAATCCTTTTTTGGGTGATGTGAACTAATAAAAATTTTGACAAATTCAATAATATAGATAAAAATTTAGGTCCTTTAAGTGTTTTTTTAATGAATTTTCTATAAATATAACCAACACAATTTATTTTAAAATTGTATGTGATAAGTAAAAAATATTTTAATTCTTAAATATCCTTAAAAATAATGTATTTTATTTATAAGTAAATAGTTTGCTGATAATTTAATATTAATGACCGGAGGTAGTATTATATATTTTGTTAACAAAAATTATATTAATATTTACTTTCCCATCATATATTTGTTAAAAAGCCAGAAAATCATATCTCAAATTCAAAGACGAGAAAGTGAGTTGAGAAGATAAAAGCTATGTTTAAATTGTTATTAGAGAAGCCAAAAGCGTCTGGAAAAGCATATGTAACTAAGGTTACAGGTTTATTTGAGTAAAAATGATTGTTTGGATGTACTGTTTTTACAATTGACTTATAAGCAAAAGTAGCTTATTCTTGGACTCTATCCAGAAGAACTTCTCCATCGTTTCAAAATGCAATTTACCGTTAATAAGCATTAATGAGTATTCAATTTCTCTCACTCATCATTTCCACTCAACCAAGCAACCCTCTTCAAAACAGATCTCAACCTTCAGACCACCTCGACCGAGCAACAAACAGGAACAAAAACTTTTGGTGTATTTTTTTGCAGCAAATTATCATGAATTTTAAAAAGAAAGTTATTAAAAAAATCTAAATAACAAGTGAAAATTTATTATTTCTTGCACTGAAATCTGTTATCATGAAGTGTAATATTGTTACTGAATTTTTTTAATAATTATACCTTTTTTAAGTACTTTATAACAATTTTTTCTTTTCTTTTATCTTATGTTAAAATTCTCAACTCATTGTTTTCCACTAAATATTATCTGCATATCTTGCGATTTTTCAAACACGTATACAAGCATGACTATTCACAGCGGCCGTGGGGTGAGTGCACGAACCTGTCGAGCGGGACTGTGACACTGTGCCCCTGCTAAGAAGGCAGTGACACTGCCCCTGTGAATATTTTAGAACCGCCGGCAGGCAAAAAGAAAAAAGTCAAAAACAAAGAAACAAGCATGAAACAAGGAAGTTCGGTAAAAAAAGAAGTAAGAAACAGAGAAGGGGTGAGGGGTGGGGGGGTGGCGCCGTGGGGCGGTGGGGCTTGTCATTCTTCCGTGGTCTGGTAACCAGCTGCGTGTTGTCACGTGTGGAAGGAGCGGATCAAAATAGCATATCATCGCTATGTTAGCGCTTCCAAGTTCCCACCCATGTCACAAAATCATCACGTCATGCGGAAAACGATTAAGAAATAATGGTTTTATTTTTCGTAGTTCGTATCATATATTTCTTCCCCGTTTTCTTTAATATAACACTTAATTAATGAATTTAAATAGATTAAAAATATTAGTTAAATTTGTTAATATGAATTTTTTTAAAAATACTATAAGTATCTCTTTTAACTCGCTCCCTCCTTTTCTTACTTAATTATTGACAGGAAACTATTAATAGGATTAATTTAAAAATTTATATGAAATATATTTTATATACAGGACCGATATTAATTCCATAATTAATTCTTATACGAATGATTGGATGAGCATAAAGAACAATATATTTGTCTTTTGATAAATAATATTCTCTCCCGTCCTATTTGTATTTTTTTTATGTAAAAACAAAATGATATTAAGCAAATAAACCAATACAAAATTAAAGAGCTAGTAGTATAATACTAGAATGGCAACAGCTGTATAATTAATAATAGAAGGAAAAAAGGGAATAGCTAGTAGGTTTAAAAGGGGAAAAAAGGAGTAGTCAATAGGTTTAAAAGAAACAAAAATAAAAAAGGGAATAGCCAATGGGTTTAAAATAAACAAAAGTAAAGAAACAACAAAACTTAGTGGCGGCTTTCGTAAGATAGCCGCTAAGGGCCTTCCAAATGTTGAGGAGCGTCTGACTCTATTTGGGGGTGGCATTATTAGTCTTGTTTATAGAATATGCTTGAAGACTCCACAATTTTAACTATTTTTTCATCCTTATTAATTAATTTCATGTTATATCATAGTAGTATTAAGTACTACTCTTGGTTCTAATTATAAAAACTAGGTGACTAATTTGATGATTTTAAGAAAAAAAATTAAGTTAGTTATTTGTAATAAATAAGTGTTATCTTTTCTAAAATATCTTTGTTAATTAAGTGTGTTAGCTAAAACCACTATTGTTAAAATGATTATCTTGGAAAAAAAATGCATAAATATAAGAGACAAAGTGAATTAGGGTCTTATATTTAAGACCAAAATAAAAATCAAATAGAGCCTTTTATTAAAGACCGGAAGTAATATCTGTTATACCTCTCTCTTTTTTTTCCTAATTATATGAAAAATTGGGAAATGAATTTTTTGAATTTCATTAATGAATGGCTGAGTGTTTTATGCACGAGAAAGGAAAACTACTGACATGTCTCTCCCACTAGTTTTTTCTCTCTTCATAAATAGCAATATTTTTAGAGAATAAAATATCTATTTACATATTTATTGTCTTAAGCCGCTTTTAACCAAAAAAAATTGGTTATTTGTCATGTCTTGCATGCATAGGACGTAAGATGACAGTAATCCCATAAAAAGCCATTAGTAGAGACCACAGTGTACTGGGAAAAAAAAAACAAACAAACAAATTGTGAATGACATATGTCCTCTGCAATATATTTTGACACGAGTTGAAATAAAATTTTTCTCATATATTTTTTCATATTTTATATATAAATTTTTGATGTAAAACAGAAGGGGGAAAGGGAAAGAGAATGAGATCAGAAAAGAATATTAGAGAGAAAAAGGAGAGCAGAGATGAGAACGGGAGCGGAAAAAAATTATCTGATACGTTCAAAAGCCAAGTCTGACTACAACTGAAACTCTAGACTGTTTATAATAGTTTAATTAAAATAAATAAAAGAAATAAAATGAGGGGAGTGGGGTGAGTGGGGTGAGTGGAGTAACTGCCCACTCTCTAAAATACAAAAATAATTAAACAAAATAAAATAATAATAAAATAATAGTTAATCTACGTCAATTTTATTTCTAAAGATGAGTCTGATTTAAAATATAAATTTTAAATTTAAATTTATCTAAACATGTAAAATAAGTCTTACATATATAGGATTAATGAGGTGTTTGGATGAAACCAAATAATGATCTGGAAAATAGCTTATTGAGAATAAATTTTTAGGAGAATAAATTTTGTGAAGAATTGATTTAGTGAAAAAGTGATTCTGATAAAGTGAGAGTATTTGGATAGTTGTTATCAGAAGCACTTTTTATACACCCAAATTACTAAAAAAATAGATTTTATAATATATTTTAATTTGAAGAAATAAAATTGTTGATAATATATTTGTTATTGACATAATTAATAATATATAAGACAATGTAATTAATAAATAATTAATATGTGTATGTATATTTATAAAATATACAATTAAATATGTTTATAAAAAAATAATCTACTCGAACAAGTACTTTGACACTCTTCAATTTGAACTAGAAGTAGAATAGATTCATTTCTTCTGAAACTATGGTTTTGAGTTAAAAAAACATGGTTTTTGGCTCAAACCATAGTTTATCCATAATTGTCCATGTTTGGCACTATCTTTCCCCAGACCATACCCAAACTATGATTTGGGGAGACATCCAAACAAGTCCTAATATTAACTTCATAACTAAAGGAGTGTTTGGCATCATATAAAAGTGCTTTTGAAAAGTACTTTTTCGCAGATTGAGGCAAACTCCTCTATATATTTATTTCGTATATTGTAAAATCACTTTTGAAACTATAGTTTGGTTTTCATCCAAACACTCCCAAAGTCTTATATTAAAGGAGTGTTTGGAAGCACCAAAAAGTGCTTCTCAGAAGCACCCAAAAGTACTTATCTACAAAAAGAAGTAGACTCATTCACATATTTACTTCGTACACTGTAAAAGTATTTTTAAAATTATGGTTTTAATTCTATCCAAACACCCTTAAAAATTAAAAAGATACCAGATTAAAAATATATGCAGGTAACTGAAAACATGTTGCATATATCTAAAAAGAACAGATGCACCTGCTTCGACAATAAATTTTGATGAGGGATTTTTAAGCAATTTTTTTTTGGGTTGCCCATTATCCAATTCATAAGTCGAGAGCGTGAAAAAAAAACATAGAAGGTAAAGTTGACAAATAAAGTAATATAATCATAATTATAGTTTTAGAAATAATTTTATAATATATAAAATAAACGTGTGAACAAATTTATCTCAATTTATTTTATGAAAAATATTTTTTAAAAATAATCCAAACACCTTCATACTCATCTATGTTACGCACATAAAATTTTTTTAATAATTATTAGTACTTACCAGTGAAATTTTCAGCTCAGATTTGGAGCCAACCCAGGGCGCAAACTCAAATGACGGAAAAGGGCAAAAAGGGAATATAGAAAATGCTAAAATGGAAAAGGAAAATTTGTTTTCATCTACCCCGAAATCTGCAAAGGCGTGGAGGGGAAATTGAAAGCAGCTGACGCCATTCCTATTTCCCCCCGTTAGCCAGAGACCCCGACGGCCCGACCACACAACAAGCGAGCAACAGCGGCTTGGACACGGCGCCGTTTTGGTTTTTTTTTTTTTTCCTGTGGTTCGCCGAATTGTTGCTTCAGTCGGGCTTCTCTCTGGTTTCCATTTTGGTATCGTCCTTCATCCTCTTTCTAACTTCCGAGGCATACCTGTATTTGTATTTGGTATAACGTGCTTGCGTTTCTCATTTCGCTGGAGACATTGTTGGTTTTATGATTTTATCATTTTATGGTTTGAATTGGATCGCTTGTAAAATTTGATTTAATGCCTCTCTTGTTTTTTGCGCACGTCGGTGTGGCGTTTGCATTCCTTGAACCTGAGGATATTTTTGATACCAGTTAACGCTTGGATTCATGTTACGAAAATGCTGAATTCAATCCTCTGGATTCTCATGTAGAGAGAGATTGAGCTGGAGAAAAAGAGAGGAGTAGATAGTCCAAATTCTAAAGCAATCCGCGAATTCCTTCCCGTGGTTCTGGATTTTTAAAATGGGATCAATATGATGTCCTCACAAATTCAAGCGGTGTTGACCCCCCCGGGGCCTCTATTTTCTAAGGATTAAACCAGAAAAACTGCTTTTTATCATTTACTATACTGAATTGCCAGATTTTGGGAGTCGCAGGTTTTCAAGTCGTCCATCCGTAGCTCTATCATAATTTGCTACGGACGAGAGACGTAAATTGCAGTTTACGTCATCTTTTAGATTCCAAGCGTTGAGTCAGTTCTGTCCGCTGTTTTCTTGTCATTAGTTTACTGTGCCTGACATCTCCGCATTGTTTGGGGGCTACAATAGGTCCGCTCCAAAGAAATGGCAGTTTCAGTTTAATGGTTGCAAAAAAAAGTGGCCAGTGTAGATCCCCCCCGCCCCCCAACCCAAAAAAAGAGAGAGAGAGAGAAAGAAAGAGAAAAATTCTGCATATAGGGGATACTTCCAAATCTATTAACGGTAAACCGTTAACTAAGTCATTTATAAGCAGCAGGTAAGGCTCTGGCATATAGTGCCTTCAATTTTATCGACTTGTGACTTCTGATTTTGGGATAAGTAGTTGATTTCCTTGAATTGGCAGCTCAAATCAATCCTAATTTGTTAGTTTGGACGTCAGAAACTCTGACTTTGAAGGTGTTGCTTCTTCACAGAATGAAAGTTGCTTATTTTTCTGCACCCCTGTTTCCAAGTATACAAATAAAATACTGCGCGTTGAGATAGCTGAGGGACCAGAGTATTATTCATTTTGGCGCAATTCAGAAGTTGTATTTAAAGGTGGTATGCATTTCCTGCAACTCTATGATTCGTTCCTGGTCAGTTGTGTTGGGGGACTTAGATGGATGTTCTCTCACCAGAACTATATCTTGAAGGTTCATCCGACACCTGCCCATTGCTGATGGAGCAGACTGGGCACTTGAACAGTAGTCAGCACGTCATTGACATCTCTGGGAGTAGTGATGCCTCAACATCAACTTCACTTCATGATAGATATTTTAGCAACATAGGTACATCTGAGCATGGAGACGGCCCTACAAGTGCAGGATTCCCTGTTTCTCAGCAATCAGTTCCTCTCTCTAGTGTATCCAACGGATCTAATTCAAGGAATTCTTCCTCAACAAGACTGGGGGAAACCCGTCGACTGAGGAATCCATTGAATTCTGGCTTTTGGATATCAATTGAGCTATTCCTTACTGTAAGCCAGATTGTTGCATCTATTATTGTTTTATCTTTGTCAAGGCATGAGCATCCAAGCACTCCATTGTTTGCATGGATCGTCGGTTATGCCAGTGGTTATGTTGCTCTCCTTCCTCTGCTCTATTGGCGGTATTATCATGGAAATGAGATTCAAGAACAAGATTCATCTCAGCAGGGTGAGACTTCTCAGATGAATGTTTCTTCAAGGACCTATCATTCTGTTACTAGAACCAGCGGACAAGAGGACAATCAGGCTAGTGCTGTATCATCAATAAGCAATCAGGGTTCATTGTTGGTGAATACAAGGTATTTCATTTTAATGATTATTGTTAAACAGACTATGTCTTGATACATTGTTTCCCTCTGCATTCCTTTTAATGTTAGAATCACACATTAAGCCTGTTGTGCAAGATTTCAGGTGTCACTTCAACAGCTAGTTAGCTTAAATAAAGATGGATAAATGTGGAAGCTAGGTTTTATAAATGGTCATTACCCTATGTTTTGGCAAGAAAAGTAGTTTAAGTGAAAGGAAATATGAATATTATTTTGCAGACTTTGAAGTCTTCGGCTGAACGGATGATGTTACACACATCCAGTCATTTAGAGTATTTATTGCTTTTAATCAAAGGCCTTTTAATCCTTATAATTGATGCATGAAAAACATAAATGCTAGAGTTCAATCAGACACATATTATATCCTTATACCCTCCTATTTATATTATACTAGTATATATACTCTATTTTCTTCAAATTTAAAGTTACATCTAGAGTAAATCAACAAGCTGTAGGTTGAGATAGTAACGGCCTTACCTTGTAAGAAGGAGAACACAAGTTTGAATCTTGGGAAGTATATTTTTTGGGAGAGGCAAAAACCCTTTAATGTGCTGCAAGCCTCGAAAGGGATTACTCCCAAGTCCTTAGTGGCTTGGGAATACCCTTGGTAATTCACCAAAAGAAAAAAGTTACATCTCCTCAAGAAGATTTTAAGCATGAAAGAATACAGCTTTATATTTATTCTAAATCCTAATGAAAACAACTATACCTATTTCGTAGATTTATGAAAAAATAAAAAGTTATTGTGGAGAAGTCTATGTGTAACTTACCTAAAAACACTTCATTGTAAATTTGTAGTGCTTTTTCTACCTCGTGGGCCTATTTTTCTATACAACTGAGTTCTTGACGTAATGTTTGGTGGTTATAAACGTGGTAATTTGCTACTTGTTTATGAAGCTGCTAACTGCATGTGCATGCCTGCTAAGCAGACTGAAGAAACTAATGGAATACTTCAAAATGGCCTTAGATTGCTATTTTGCCGTGTGGTTTGTTGTTGGCATTGTATGGATCTTTGGGGCACAATCGTCTTCTGATGCAGCTCCTAACTTGTATAGGTAGACTCTTGCAGCAACGCTGGCTTTAACCTTCTGCTTTTTTTGAATCCTCATGGCTGTATCTTCTTTACTTGGCAGGTTAACTATAGTGTTTCTCATCTTTAGCTGTATTGGTTATGCTATGCCATTCCTTGTATGTGCGACAATATGTTGTTGTCTGCCTTGCATAATTTCCATTGTTGGGTTTAGAGAAGATCAGATACAAACCAGAGGGGCAACAACTGAATCCATTAATGCCTTGCCAACATACAAATTTAAAATGAAAAGTAAAAACAATTCTAGCAACTCTGCTACTGGTGAAGGCGGAATTGTGGCTGCAGGAACTGAAAAGGAGCGTCTTATCTCTGGAGAGGATGCGGTAGGTCAAGTATCATCTCATCTTTAGCTGGTTAGGCGCTTAATTATAAGTTTAGAACATCCAAGCATTGTTTGTGTGCTTATACCGTGTCCATTCTTGCTGTCATCAATCTATATTTTCTAGATTCTTATGTGTTGAAAATGCAAGAAAAAATTATTCCTATAGAAAAACAATGTTCTTAGAGTTAGTTATTGATAGAACATAATGGCATTATGTGATTTACTGTGGCCAATCTCACTTAGTGGGATAAAGCTTGTGATCATTATTGCGGAAAAAACCTGCATCTACGCGTTTTTGCTACTCTGGTTTATGGAAAGAACCATTTTAGGTTTGTAGATTGTAGTTCACTGGCCTAGTAGCCTTATTTTAATGCATCATAACCATATTGCAGCTTCTCGTGATTACTGTTCCTGTATCTTGAGATCTCTCTGTCATAGACGTAGCATCCATTGAATCATTTTATAATGGTTTGATCGAAATTTAGTGTTTTCTATCTCGTCAGGAGCTTTTTAAGAATTAAGGTGCAAAAATTTCAATCATTTACTCTCTTTTAAACAGTTGATATTCTGAAATCAACCAGATTTTATGGTTTGTGCCCTTGGGAGAAATTTCATGATTAATGAAAACACAAAAGGGAGCTCTATTCGTGTCATTTTCTTTGGCCCGGCAACTTTTGCTTATATTATCTCCTGATTTTCCGGAATTCAAGTAATCAATGAATATTAATCAACATATTGTCAGGGAGCTCAGATTGCAAGCTTTTTACCCTCAGCTGATGGCTGTTTCAGAATCTTAAAATTATCAACTTTCTGTCAACCAAAGCTCTTAAAACTATCCTGCATCACGGTTTTGCATTCTCTCTTTAGCCAGAACTTTCATTGTTTAATTTCCATTGTTGGATGAGTTTGGCTTCTCGCCTGGCCATGACTTTGGTAGTGACTGTGTGACGGTTATGTGTAGGCTTGCTGCATCTGCCTGATAATGTATGAAGACAACGATGAGTTAAGAGAATTGGCTTGTTCTCATCTTTTTCACAAAGATTGTGTAGATAAGTGGTTGAAGATAAACGCATTATGCCCCCTTTGCAAGGGTGAGGTTGGTGAGGTCGAGAATGCAAGAGGATCATCAGGCTCCGTAGAAGAGACAGGCATGCGAGTTGAACATATATAGTTCCTTCCTCCTTGCAAGGGTGAGGCTGGTGAGATCGAGAACGCAAGATGATCATCAGGCTCTTTAGAGGATGCAGGCCAACGAGTTGAAAAAAACATAGTTCCTCACATATAATGGAAGCAGGAAAAAAATTAGCTGCTTATACATTCAAGGTACTGTTTTCCAATCGAATTAAGATTTTTGTTTTTTTTTGGGGGGTTCATTTTTTCACATTATTTTCCCAATAATTACCTCATTATTAATATTTTTAATTTGTTTTCAATTTTAAAATCCACTATTATAATTTGATTAAAAAAGGGTATTTTTAAATGCATGAGTTGAAGTGTTCAAGCCCCCCCGGGGGGGAACTAGTTTTGTAAAAAGTTTTTTTTTTTTTTGGGTCTTCGGGAAAAACCCCTGTGGCTCTCCTCTTCTTTTCTTCCTTTATGGAAGGATGGTTGATTTCTGAGTTCATATTTACCATTTTAGTTTGTTGGTTGATTTCCGATGTTGGCTGATACGCTGCTCCAGTTTAATTGTTCATGTGAAAGGCCGGTTGGAGTTAACCAGTGGAAACTTCGGATTGTATAGTCAGGCGTTACAATTTGCTGATAGATCGGAATTTTTTTGATACTGTAGTTTTCATTAGGTGGGATGCTCGCTTCTGCGAGTGTTCATTAATTCATTATTGTTCTTGAAAGGGTGAAGGTTTGTACAGAAATGCTATGGATACAAACATTTGGTCCATTACATACAGAAGGCCTTCTTGTTTTGGTTTTTAAGTTCTTTTTGCTTTATGATTCAATGCAGGCCATGTGAAAATAAACTACGCTGCAACTTTAATAAAACTATATGCTCAATAAAAAGTAAATCCTTAAGAATTTTAAATTTTTAAAAGAATAGTTATGCAATTATATATCTTAAAAAGCCTAAGTAAATATTTGATATTTATGGGGTGTTTGGCAAGATCTGAAAAAGTGTTTTTTGGATTCAAACCATGGTTTGGGTTAAAACTATGGTTTCAAAATAAGCAAATTCGTTTTGCTTCTAGACACAAATTTAGGATTGTTGGTATCATAATTATGCCTTGTCAGAGGACCCCCAATTGTATATGACAAAAAACACCCCACATTCAATTACAAGCTTTCTTATTTTCATTCTTTTCATTCCGCCTTTGCTCCTTCAAAAACATTCATCCTCTCCAAAAATATTTTTAATCTTACATTTTATAAATATATATACACATAGTAACAATTAATTAATTATATTAAAGATCGAATGTAGTATGTTGTTAAAAATCTTTAAGGCAAAATAATATTTTTCTATTGGCCAAAAAAATAATTATTTTTCTATAAACATATTTAACCTTATATTTAATGAAGATGAAGATATTGGATTTGTTATTAAAGAACAAGATGCTCAAGACGAAAAAACACAATATGTTCTTCCTTTCTTTCAAGATAAAGAAATTGATTCTAAACCTTCATCCCAAGGAGATGATGATCCTCAAGGGTATTTATATTTCCTTGTACAACATGTGCATACCCTGAAAAAGAATCCATCTTTCTTTGGTTCTCTTTTTCCTCAACTAGGACACAACAAAGTCATCCCCAAGCCAAATGTCAAAATCTATATCCTTCCAGGAAGATATGAAAAACCAATTCCTGTTATTACTTTCATAGATACTTGAGCTTGTAGAATCATCATGAACCTTGATATTCTTCCTCCTGAAGCATGGATTCCTTGTGACTAATATTTCCTTACTGCTAATTCAAATACATTCAAGATTGAATAGATTACACGAAGGAAGATTGGTATTCAATTTTTTCCAGGATGTGTTTTATGGATGAAAGTTCTTGGAAGTGATCTCCATGGAAAAGATGTTCTTATTGGATTTGATGCTTACTATCATACTAAGAATATTCAAGTATTGCCTAGAGGAATTAGATATAAAAATTTCTTTAGTGCATATACTAAAATTCCTAATATGTTTGAAATCCAACATGCACCACTAGGATATGAAGGCATCCGAGATCATCTTCTTAAGTTTTGTGCTAATAGTCATCAACAGTTCTCTCATCTATCTCCCTCGTGGAAGAATCAAGAGTTTTTCATGAAATTCCCTTTCAAGAAGAATGAAGATATCAATCCCACAAAAGCTTCTCATCCAGGAATGAATCTAAAAGATCTCAAGCTTGCTAAAGAAGAATGTTTTGCACTGCTTAAACAAGGCCTTATTGAACCAACAAAATCTGATTGGGCTTGTCAAGCGTTCTATATTGAAAAAAGATCAGAAATCAAAAGAGAAAAGAAAAGGTTAAGTATTGATTATAAACCTCTCAATATTTTCCTCCAATATGATAAATTCCCTTTACCAAAGCCCAGTTCACTTACAGTCCATCTTAGAGATGCCAAGATCTTTTCCAAGTTTGATCTTAAAGCTGGTTTTTGGCAATTGGGTATCCACCCAGAAGATCGGCTTAAAACTGCCTTTTGTGTACCAAATACGCAATATTAGTGGATTGTTATACCATTTGGGCTCAAAGTCGTCCTATCATTGTTCCAAAAGGCCATGACCAAAATCTTTGAAACTATGCTTGATAACCTCCTCATTTATATTAATGATCTTTTGCTCTTCTCAAAAGATGAAGATTTTCATAAACTTTTATTATCCCAGTTTGAGAAAATAATTAAAAAATATGGGATTATGTTATCAGTAAAGAAAGAAGAGATAGGTGTCAGACGCATAGAATTTATTGGAATGCATTTTGAAAATAGTCAGTATTATCCTGGACCACATATTACAGAACAATTGCTCAAGTTCCCAGACGATAATCTTACAGCAAAGCAAATTCAACAATTTATGGGGATTATTAATTATTTTAGGGATTTTATCCCTCATGTGTCTAATCACACCAGCCAGCTGTCCAAACTTCTTAAAAAAAATTCTCTCGCATGAGGGACAGAGCAGACTTCAGCTATCAAAACTTTGAAAAGAATTGCACAGCATCCACCTCCCTTAAAGATTCCTAACAAAGGATTGCGAATCCTGCAGACTGATGCTAGTGATGATTTTTGGAGAGCTATCTTAATTGAAGAAATAAATGGAAAGAGGTTCTACTGTGGATATGCAAGCGGACAATTCAAGGAGTCAGAAAAGCATTATCATGCTACCTACAAAGAGATCCTTGCGGTCAAAAGAGGAATCGAGAAGTTCAGCTTTCATCTCAGTTCTTATCATTTCATGATAGAAAGGGACAATATGTCTTTTTTCAGAATGCTTAATCCCAAGGGGAAAGATTTTGCTAGACAACCAGTTATTCCGATGACTAGTTTTCCCACTATAAATTCACTGTCCATCACCTCAATGGTCACTGGAACACCATTCCAGATTTTCTCTCAAGACCTCAGAAAGCTTCTCAGCCTTCAAAGCTCTTGTTACTCTCCACACACCAACCCCTTTTCATCCTAACCATCTTTGAACTAGAAATGCCTCACAAAATGAGAGCTACCATTTTCCCTCTAGGATCCCGTCCTAAAACGCCAACAGATGTACATAATCTTGCTAGAGGCACTATGTTTTACTGGCTCCACTTTCTTCTCATGAACACTGGCATTTACCCATATCCTCAGCATTTTGATGTTGATGCTCCATATCTTACCATTCCTATCATTAAGGAACCCATATTAGAAGAACTTTTATGGTATATTTGGTCTGTCTCAGCCAACTACACCTGTGCTATAGCCTTCTTAGCCATAGCTGTACATGACCATCTGAATGACTCAAGAAACTAGAATTATCATCTTACCACCCTCTTCAAGATGATTACTCCTCTTCCCTACTGGAGAGGAAAACTTTGAAAAATTCTCAATGATCATAATGTCTGGCATGCACCATCCTCCAACGAAAAGAAATTTTTTTGTTTGTATACTTTTTTCAGGTGTTATGACAGAGATGCTGATAGAGGACTTTGCCCAATTAACCATATGATTCTCCAAGTCACTACTCCCACATAGCCATGAAATGAGAGATTATTAATGGAAAAAAAATTGGAAAGACATTAATTGAGCTTAATGAACCAGACATGAGAGAAGACACTTCATGTTTTTCTCTTGGACCTTTCTCTTCTAATTCACCATAAGCCACCAGTACAACACTTGAAGAATTTTAAAGAAATTTCATCATGAATACTGTTAGACCTCCACCAAATATGTCACAAGTTCCTCCTTTAACAAAAGTATCCCAAGAGAGTTACCAAGGAGACTCATAGATTCAACTCACTCAGCCTAAAAGACTTTGTTTCCCTCAACCAAGTTTTCAATCACAACTTCCATTTCTTGTACAAGAATTCCATGATCCTAACCAAGATGATGATGATGAGGCCCGGCTTGCAGAACTCAAAGAATTCTACTGCACAAGAAGACACTATGACTCGGATGACTCTGACCCAGAAGGTGTCATGAACCTGTCCCCTAGCCATGAACCTATCTGCAAAAGCCTATGGTAGACACTATCATTAAGAAGATAAGGGGGACTTGCCAAAAGTCTACTTTATATCATCATCTACTTTTGCTTTATTAAAGTAATTCGTCTTGTTATATATTTCATCTTCTTGTAATAATTAAGGTAGTTGTCATTATTAAAGTAGTTGTGTATTGAAAGCATCCTTACCTTTATGTCAAATCGTCATAATGACACCCACTCGTTATAATGACTATGCTGTTAGGGTTACTATTAAGATTTGTCATGTTATGACTCCGAGCCTCTGTATAAACCCTACTCTACTTCCAGTTATAGGAAGAAGGAGTTGTAAGAACTTTCTTGTATAATACTATTGTGCTTTCCTCATGAGTTCTCTCTCAATCTCTCTTCTTCTGAAAGCCTCACTTATAATGTCTTTTTTCTGTCACCTGAGATTTCGAGTATACTTTGCGCTTACCTCTTTAAGAGGATCCTGTGCATCAGAAATAGAATCTGACCTCAATCTATGAAAGAGTATTTAGTGACAATCTTTCCAGTTATCCTAGATCTGGTGTTCAAAGTCGAGAGTGTAAAACCCTTAACCTCAAAACATTATAAAATCGTCATAAAGTTCACTACTATGGTAGAAAAGGAAAGCTGTTACAACAAACTACCATAGTAGAAAGAAATTGCATAACTTTAGAAATTAACATTTAAACTCGGTTCAAACTCGAACTCTGTTGCATGCAACTAAAATCATTCATTAACAACCACTGGGCCTCCAAGCCTCCGGCTCGGGTAACAAAAGACATCAAAATCAGCCCATCCAATTAGTTTTCAACCATGTATAACAAAGTTTCACAAAGCACTAGAAATGGCCTCCGACCAACCAAAATAAGGAGATAACATTCTCTCCAGTTTACAATAAGGCCGGGTAATCAAAATATTTCAAAAGGAATCCTAAATATGGCAATATATACTAGCCATACATATACAAGGGCTAGAGGCCTAAAGCTAACCAAGCTCAAGCTTCTGCGTCTCTTCCCAATGGCACACGCGCGGAACCTTCACCTGAAAACATTGTGAACCACGGGGTGAGACAACGTCCCAGTAACCAACCTTTCCAATTCAAAGTACTACTAAATAGGTACTCATGAGGTGTCAAGTGGGGCAGTTCACAAGTAATATTATAAATGATAGCCACATAAGTCATGCAAGTGCAATGATGCAATCCCATCAACCATATCCCTCACTTTGGGGGATTTTTAAGAGCCGAACCCGGCTTATCCCTCACTATAGGGGACGTAAGGAGCCATAAAAGGCCTATCCCTTACTTTGGGAGACGTAGGGAGCTAAAAGATCTATCCCTCACTATGGGGGATGTAAAGAGCCAACCATCACGCATTAATGGAGGCCTTAGCACGTGGTAGTAACAATCAAAACTCTCACCAATTCCCAATTCATGCATCATGCTCAAACCATAATCAAAGAGTAAATAATCATTTCACAATTAACTTCTTTCAGTGGCCTATCTTTCATAAGTTACAAATTCAATCAATATCAATTTAAACCCCACAAGACGGTTCTCCCTTTCAATATACAACATACACTTTGAACACAGTTGCTACTCGAAGCACAAAGCATAAATTCACTCACAGTACCACATAAGCATGTACAAAGGATTGGAAAGTGGTTACCTCTCGCCTGAGCAAGGAATAACAAACCGACAATACGGCCCCATGCACCAACAAGGCTCACAACCGGTCTACACAAAAACACAACCACCATGTATTAGCTTTCAACTAATGATGTGGCCAAAACAACAATTAGGGACACAAAATTCCTAACTCCAATCAAAACTCTACCCAACTCAAAAGGGTTTAACCACCAAGGCAACACTTCCAGGTCATAAAATCCATTTAAAACCTTAATTCCTTTCTAAACATCAATTAAAACTCATAACCTCAAGGACCCACTATGGGAATTCAACACCCAAACATCCCATTTGAACAATAGAAGTCTTAACAACATTCTAAACCGATTAAACATCCAATTTAACCCTCCTTAACATAACCCAATTCACAAAACTCAAAATCAACCTCCACATTATCATCCTCAATCACAAACCTCCCATTTCCATAAACCCTAATTTCAAAAACTCAAAGTTCTTCAAATCCAAGAGAACTACACCGATTAAATACTTAGACTAACCCAAAGCAATCAATTAAACTCAAAACAATCGGTCAAAAACCTCAATTCCATAACAACCTAGAAAACTCTAGGGTTTCACCATAAATCCTCAGAAATTTCAAGAAAGAAAGTAGATTAGAGGTTAAGATCACTTACTTGAGGTAATGGATCCTTAGAAACACCTTTCCCAAGCCACAACACTGAAACCCTAGCAGAGCTTCTCTCTCCTCCTTCAGATTTTCTAATTTTCGCACCAACAAACCCTCCCGTGACTATATAGATTTGACACCTTTCGCCGCGACGAACCCAGAACTTCGCCACGGCGAACTAATCCCGAGAGCGATTACTCGCCTGAAAACCTGACTTTGCTGCGGTGAACTCCAATCTTCGCCGCGGCGAAAGCTTCCCGAGAGGAAACTCTCGCTCGCCCAGAAAACCTTCGCCGCAGCGAAATCTTCCCGAGAGGGAAACCTTGCTCACCTGAACAACTTCGCCGCGGCCAAACCTTCCCGAAAGACAATGCCCCATGGAACTCCCGGTTCGCCGCAGCGAACATACCCTGAAAGGGGTCTGTTCACCTATTCCTCCAACATATCTCAATTCCAACCCAAACACCAAGATCAACATTAAATCACTATTCTATCCTTAAAATCAACCAAAAGAGGTTATTAAAACCCGATAAAACTTAGGATGTTACAAAGAGTTCTAAGGTGGCCTATTGATGAGTTGAGAATGAGTGGTTTTATTTGGACTAAAGCTTTGAATATCAGACTATGTTAGCCTGGTCTGATTCAGCTAACGCACCCCAAGATTATTAATTAATTTTTCTTGTATATTATGTATTATGTTGGCAAAAAATATATTATTAACAAATTTATTACTTTAAATTAAAATATATTATAAAATCTATCTTTTATGTAATTATCATATTAACTTATGCCCTTTTTAGTAATTTGTACATATAAAAAGTGCTTCTGGTAATAATTATCCAAATACTCTCACTTTATCAAAATTATTTTTTCACAAAATCTATTCTTTCAAAATCTATTCTCAAAAATAACTTTTTTCCTAAAAACTATTCTCAAAACCATAATTTGAAGACTAGTAAATATGAAAATATATATACACACATATAGTCATAGTTTTGATCTGGGAGTCACTCCTGCTTCATACATATTCATTAGCAAGAAAATACACATATAATTCTAGTAAAAAAATAATATTCACTAGTTTATGAATTTTTAATCATCAAATTATTTTTATTTATTTATAAATAAATCGACATGTATTCCTTATATTTTCCGTTGTCCTCTCTAAGTCATGACAAAAGCGCATGTAATTTATCTTTTACCAATAATCCCGATTAGAGCAATGGTAGTCATATGTTCTATAATTTCACTTAAAAAATATAAAGATTTTTTTCTTGAATTTTTAGTAAAATTTTGAAAGCTTTTTTAAATACTCTCTTAATCTATTTTGAATTTCGCAAATGAAAATATTTTTTCATGAACCAGAAGACTGCCAATTTAGAATTTTTATTCGGCTCGTGCCAACAGGGCGATCTCCCCGGGGAAGCAAGGGCTGGCAGGGGCGTAAAAGCTTGGATGGTGTGACAATTTCACGAATAAAGAAGTTTTTTTAGGGTCTATTGCCTCCTTCAACAAGGGTGTGCGTTTGGCTCAACAGAGAAGATTAAAAAAAAGGGATTTTAATAGAAGAAAAGAGATAAAAAGAATAAGAGGAATTTTAATATTATCTTGTTTGAATTAATACAAGAGGGGGAGAAGAGAAATTTCCATATTACCTTATTTGGTTTAGTAAGGGAGATGAAGCAAAATATTTTTGTATAGACAACTTTATCATTATATTATTTAAGTTGATTTTTACAAACTTAATGGAGTAATTAATAAAACATAATTATAAATAACATTTAATATATAAGATCAACATTTTATAATTAGAAAAATTAAATAAACATAATGATAATACATAATTAATAGCTATTATATATCCAATAACTATAATTGTATTTATATCAAAATATGGGCTAATAAAGTAAATATGTTTAATTTGAGTATTTTTTTTTCAGCTTTCATTTTTTTTTGCGTTGTTGGTACGAGTAGCGAAATAACTTTTTCAAAAATGATATATATAACTTATTTGTATGTTTTTATTTCAAGTATTTGATTTGCGTTTGGAAATTAAAACATATTTGATAACAACTTTTTTTTAAAATATATTTGATAGCATATAAATGAGGAAAGAGAGGCATGGTTGGATCCACAAATATATCAAATCACATGCAATTCGGTAACAAAGGGTAACATGGAATTATCAGAAAATAATATGGGTATATTAGTCAATACAAACCAAAATATTATTCTTTTTCTCTAAAATTTTCTAATTTTGGAGGGGAAGCTTACGAGAGGAGGGGAGGAAAAATGTCAAAAAAATTTTCCTAACCTCCTAAAATTTTTATTTTGCCAAACAAGAGAAAATAATCAAAATCCCTCCTCTTCCTCTTCCCTCAAAATCCTTCATACCAACGTTTGATTTAGGATTTGTGGTTACTCTCCCCATTATAAACATGTCTTTTCTAAGACTTCTAATTGAGACCCAAAAAAATTTAATGAGGCTTTATATCGCTAGATCAACTCTTCTATATTTAGTGAAAAAAAAGTTTTTTTGGGCCAATGTAATAAATAAATTTTGTCTAATACAAAATAATCTGCTGGTTCTTATTATAAATTTTAAATAATTAATTTGTGAATAATAAATAATTAATTAAAAGTAATAGATATGTTAGAAATATGTTTTTATAATAAATAAAAAAAATAAAAGAGAATATCTAAAAGAAAATGATAAGAAATATTATGATAAAAGAGAAATACCCCTGTGACAGGAGAAGTATTTCTCTTTCATTAATGTGTATATTAATGAAAGAGAAATACTTCTAAGTCATACGTTAAGTATTCAAGTATTCAAGTTCAAGGAGTAATAAACAATTAGGTGTAAAAATTTAAAAAAACCATTTTAAAAATTGATATAATTTAGCAAGAAAAAATTCCGGACGCAACACCGTGATGACCCACGCCACGTGTCAGGAAGCCTATGTGGCTCTAGATGGCTCTGCGCTCTTCGGCTGTGACTCGCATATAGGTGATAGTTATCCGTTCTAGTTAGGGTTTATGGATGCAATTTCGACCGAAGAAGGCTACGGAAGCTCGTTTCTTAGTCGAGGCTGTATTGCTCAGCTTCACTTCAGGTTTGGCTATTCAGCTACATCTCCGATATATCGCCGAGGACTCTCCTCTAGGTATTAATCGGTATCTCCCTATCAGCGTGTTCGTATCAAAGGCGATGTGTGGTGTCCAATACAATATGAATAGTTAATACAACAATTATGCATTGGTTCTTTGAATTCTTTACCTTCATCGGATTTTCTAAATTTTTTTGTTTTGTGTTATAAATACGAGTTGGTGGTTTACGTTGGATCTTAATGCTTTTCGATTGTCCTTTCCTGATGAGTTTTTAAATGATCAGAAGTTAATCATGGAACAAGAACAAACGTGGGCGTATAACTTTTATTTTTGTGGGGTTGAAGCAAACCATTGTTAAATTTCTGGACTCACATGGTGCCTATACGATTGTGATGTTCACGTCAATCAATTTTTTTTAGGTGTACTAAGGGTCATGGGCGAGTTCTGTTACGAATCAGGATCAGAATAAATAAAATAACAAAGGAAATAGTGGAAGTGGAGAGAAAACTTTTTTTTTTATTTATAAAAAACAGTTTTTTGGGACCAACAGGGACATCCTCATTGTAGTACGAAATTCGCCGGATACAAAATGACCAGCCGAACTCTGTACAAGGCAAGCTGACAAAATAATTAAGGCTAAGTAACCAAAAATACACTTGCGTCTGAGTATCATGCCCCAGTCTTATCTTTGTTTTTTTTATCTGGCAAACTCCTAATACCTTGGTTATAGGAATTAACGCTCTCTAGTTCTGTAATGCTATTGATGAATTCAGTGATGTGTGTGATTGTTGAACATTCTTTGTGTGGCGTGCCTATGAATTTTTGGTGCTCAAAACGAAGATTGATCTGCGGAATAGTTAGTAGACGTCATTATCTTTGCTTTTACTCCATCCGGGGTTGTTTAATTTAATTTCAATTAAGTTTTGGGCTGGTTTGTGTAGCAATATCCATTACTTGGCCTTAAAACAGTCAGCACCAGGCGATTCTCTCACTCCTGAATGCACATGCATGATTTGCTGAATTAGTTTGGTTGGTTTGCTGTTTGTTTGCATTGTTTTTGTTAAAGTAGTCAGTATCAGACAATTACTTTTCCACATAATGCAGACTATTATGCATGATGATATTATGATAAATCTTGAAGATAAGTCTGATAACATGCTATGAGTTGTTTCAGGTCAGCAAATAATCCCGGGTCATCCTGCATATGTGTTCTTTACGCATAAGGCTATTACTTTAGGATGTCAAATAATTTGGTTTCGCAGCAGTTGCCAATTTCAAGCATGCAAATGACTCAGATGGATCCGATTGTAAGTAAAGTTGACTCATTGGGAAGCGACTTGCCACTTGGACTTGTAGGCCCTGGATCCAGTAACACTATGTCTCAGCAACAGGAGGCACCAAATAATCACGTTGGATTATTGAGAGCTGTTCCTGGTCATCCCGGATCCCATGGATTGTCAGTGCCGATGGTGCAGAGTGGGCAGACAGATTCACATGCAAGTAATCCAGGCATGCATCAGCTTGTTGCACCTATTGAACAACCTATGCAAAGGGAGATGAGGTTGAACAGTATGGGGCCAAAGCAGCTGTCAATAATGCCCAAGCGAAAGGCAGCTGCAGAACCATTGTCTGTTAGCTCGGTGACATCTAATAAGCGAGTTGCTCAAATGGATAGGCCTTGGTTGCAGCATGTGCCTAATACATCACATAGAGGTTCTGTGCAGATGCGTCCTCTGTCAAATGCCCCTGGGCTGCAGAATCTGCCAGCATCTAGTAAGAGAAAAGCACAGATGGAATCCAGTAAACTGGGGACACCTCGGTCAACCGAGTCCAGTAAATCAGGGACACCTCGGTCTTTGAGTTCTAAAAGTCATAATGCTCAGGTGCAACAATCATCCAAAATTCAAACTGAATCATCAGAATCAGTTAGGTCCAAGATGAGGGAGTCATTAGCTGCTGCTCTGGCCTTGGTTTCTCAGCACAGTAGACCTCAGGAGGAAAAGAATAATATACCTCAGGATGAAAAGAATAATACATCGAATGAAACAGGTGATTCCCAGGTTAATCTAAATAATAGTTCTCAGTGTTCATCTGCTGTTACTGATGCTGCGCAGGGGCAAACACAGGAGGTTTCTCGATCTGTCGAGTCCTATTCTGCAGTAATCGATTCATTTGACAATATAACCAAAGATGTTGAATACGCGCATGGTGAAATGGGATGTACAAAGATGTTGAATTTTCCCCATGTCTCAAACTGTGATAAGCAAGACTTCCAGTCAAATTACACTTTGACAACTGATGATGTTCCTTTCAGTGACACCTTTTATGTCAAAGATGAACTTCTGCAGGGAAATGGTCTTTCTTGGGTATTGGACTCTGATATGGTGGACATGTCAATTGAGCAGGAAATCCAAACAAATGAGGATCAGAGATTGGAACCTGAAGATGTAGGCAGTAGTGCTGGGAAACAAACTGTGAACTCACCTGAATTTTTGGCGTCAGAGATAGAAGCAGAACTATTCAAACTATTTGGAGGTGTGAATAAGAAGTACAAAGAGAAGGGGAGGTCGCTTTTATTCAATTTGAAAGACCGTAATAATCCTGAATTGAGGGAAAGGGTCATGTCTGGTGAGATCCCCCCTGAGCGATTATGTTCCATGACTGCAGAAGAGCTTGCTTCAAAGGAACTTTCTGAGTGGCGAATAGCCAAAGCTGAGGAGCTTGCTCAAATGGTGGTTTTGCCTGATTCAGATGTAGATATTAGACGATTGGTCAAGAAAACACACAAAGGTGAATTCCAAGTGGAAGAAGTGGAAGTTGAACATGAAGACAACCTCTCAGTAGAGGTGTCTGGTGGTAAAACGCTGGTTTCTCAAAGTCAGACAGAAAGGAAGGATGTGGAAGGCTCCCCTTCTAAAGCTGATGGGACCAAAAATGATGTGACCGCTGATGTTGGAAAGAGTAATTTAAGAAAACACAATTCGACTGTTTCTGTTCCTTCCAATGATGGAACTGTTACACAAGGGCTTATTGCGGATGATGCATTAAAGGATGCAGACTTCCTTCCTCCAATTGTCTCTCTTGATGAATTCATGGAATCCCAGCATTCTAAGTCATCAGTTGAAAATCTAGTGGTTGAACCTGGCAAAGTGGCACCAACTGCAGAGAAGGATAATCCTGTGGTTGGCACTGTTCCTAAGTCTTCTGATTTGACTCCAAGAAGTGGTCATACTCGTAGTGCCCCTAATAAATCTGACCGTGATCAGAAAACATGTTATAGTGTGGATGCAGTCCAAGAAAAAGAGGTTGATGCAGAATCTGGGGTCGTTCCTCCTGAAACAAGCAGCAGTCAGAGTCATGCTGACCTGAAGCCAAGTGATGCTCATCCTGCGGTAAGGTTGACTGCAGACAAGAAATCTGCTTCTACTCGTGTTGAGTTGAAAGCGAGCCAGTCTCTTGCTGAAGAGAGATGTGGTGGCAGTCATAGGCATTCCAAAACTGCAGTTTCAACTATGATATCCAAGAGTGAATTCGCTTGGCAGGGCATGCTTCAGCTGAATATTTCAACCACTCATTCAGTTATAAGCATCTTTAAAAGGTAGTATACAAAACCTCTTAAGTGCTTACTTTTTCTTACTTTGTTAACTTCGTGCAAGATTAGATGTGGATTTGATTGCTTCCTTCAGTAATTTCTTTTCATCTAGTATATGTTGGATGAGGAGACATATCTGACTAGTCCTTATTGAATAGGTCCGATTTTGAACTTTGTTACTAAAAGTAGAACTACTTTTGTGCTCTAGGCGGAAAGGAAAGATCATAAATGTTATGGAAGCTATGAGTCCTCTGGTATAGCATGCCAGTGGTGCGTGTGCGTTTGAATCACTTCATGTTTTTTTATCTTTATTGTTATTATACTCCCACCTTTTAAAATTTTTGGCTTCTGCTTATGAATATAACTGTTTAAGCTTAGCACCGACTGTAATTTTGCATAGATTATGTCATCCTTTTTTCATGTGATGACTTATCCTTCTATCCTTGTCAAATTTCAATTCTTAGTTTTAACTCAATTTTCCTTTTTTTCCCTGTTTGATGCATGGGAAAGATAATGATTTGAAATTTCTTTAAAATTTTAATTATCTAATATTTAAACCCTATTGAAATATGTGGAGAAATATCTTGCTAAAAAAAAAAAGTAGTGTGGAACCCAATGAAATTTGTGGAGAAAAATCAAAAGAATAAAAAAAATGCATAGTTTTTGAGAGAAGCTATATTGTTAATAGCTTGTGAATATACCTGTAATATTTTATATTGATATTGATATTGATTTGGGTTGTTTGCTTTGCTTTTTTGGCTAAATTATTTTGCATTAAAGCGTGGTTTTTTTTTTAAAATTCAATTAAAAAAAAAAACCACGTGTATGCTATCTGAAGTGAATTGATATTATTTGATTTACTCGCTAATCTGAGATATCCTGTGCAGTGGTGAGAAAACTTCTACGAAAGATTGGCCTGGATTTCTGGAGATTAAAGGCAGGGTTAGACTTGATGCATTTGAGAAGTTTCTGCAAGAGCTTCCTATGTCCAGAACTCGAGCCATCATGGTATCTTGAATTCCTTGAACTTCTGTGTTATTTGTTTAGCGGACCATGCTTGCACAAAGGAGCACTGAATCCCCATCCCCCCTGATAAAGCTTAGTCTTTCTTCTCTCTCTATGTGCACCGTAGTCTCATGAGTTATATGATTTATTTGCTTCCTTCCCCTTGTTGAGAATTTATAAAGGAGGCGGTGAAGTGGCTGGTGGCTGGTGGCTGTGTATGACCTCATGTGCTATTTGGTGTAACAAGTGATGAAAGTAAAACAGACACATGCGCTTGTGGTAGATAAAGAAAGTGAATTTTGGTGATTTTGCAGTGATTGAAACATGTAGCTAGTCAACTTGTTATAAAATTGAGCATTTTTAGCGAACCTTATGATGACTATGTTTGAGGACTTGAACATTCAATTCTCTCTTGTTAATGTCATTTTTGTTTTGTGAATTATTTATATTTTAACCCCTCAATTTTTATTGCAGGTTTTGCATTTTGTTTCTAAGGAGGACTGCCCCGAGAATGAGAAATCAATCCTTCGTGAGGTCATAATCTTTTTTTTTTTTGGCCAACCGTGAGGTTATAATTTCAAGATTGTCTTGTGCACCATCAACTACGTTATGTTACTGATATAGATATTTTCGCCTGCAGGTAGCGGATTCATACATTTTGGACGAGCGAGTGGGGTTTGCTGAGCCTATGCCTGGAGTTGAACTTTACTTTTGCCCTCCTCATAAAAAAACAGTTGAAATGCTCAGCAAGATACTTCCAATGGAACAAATTGAGGCAGTTAATTCTATTGATTATGGCCTAATTGGTATTAATGTATGGAGAAAGACTCATTCAACTTCCACTATATCACCCACTTCATCATCGCACCACAAACATGGCTCTAAAAAGCAGTATTTATCATCTAGGAGACAGCAAGATACAAATGTAAATGCCAATCTCGCCCCTAAAGCGGAGTCCCCCACGGGCTTTGCAAACACTCAGAGTGGACCCCCTTCTGATGATGATATCCCTCCAGGTTTTGGGCCAGCAGCGGCCCGAGATGAGGATGACCTCCCGGAGTTCAATTTCTCCGGCAGGTCAAATCCATCACACTTGGCCCAAAAACCTTTTATGCGACCCGTTGCTCCCCCATCCCACACGATTGACCAAACATCACGCCCTGTGGAACAAATGAGGGAGCTTGTACAAAAATATGGGCAAAGCCAGGTTAATGCTTCCGGAAGCTGGCATGATAAGTTTGGGGCAACCATTCAGCCCTGGAACGACGAGGATGATGACATTCCCGAATGGCAGCCCCAAACGTCCCAGAATCAATTTCACCCTCAACAACCCAGTCGCAGCTTTCAGCCGCGATCTCACATGCTGAGCCATTCATATGGCGTTTCACAGTCATTTGTGCAAGCCCCAATGAATATGACGCCAGACCACCCGAGTTATAGGCCTTTGTTGGTTCCTCCTGCGCAGAGAAATAACCTTCAGCCGCCATCTCTTGGGCACGCCTATGGAGCCCCTGCGCAGGCCCCACCCTGGCATCAGAATGTTCCGAGGAGTAGGGGTTTTTAGTTTCGAAGACCATTTTATTTATTTACTATCTTGTATTTGTTCTTAGATGTATGTAGCCATGTAATCATAAATTCTTTCAAGAGGTTCCCGTAGATTTAGTAGCTTTCAGGAGGAAGCGAAAGACGGTTTTCTTGGCCCCACCCCCTTTCTCTTTCTGTTTAAAGCACTTTGCAAACTTTAGGGGTTTTTGGTTAAAACTCGGACAAAATTTTGCCTGAAGCCAGTTCTTGTTTCGTTGCGACGCCTTCAAAAGCTCGTCCAATCTTGCTCTATGCGGGAGCGGAATTCACATGTTGCGTTGTCTATTTATTGAGACCCCAATAGCCGATGAGGTCTTTTTCTGACTGACAAGGGTCAAATGAATGCTTTGCCGACCGAGTTTTCCCGATGAGCGTTGGTTGGGCGGATCAAGCCTTGTAATCTAACATGATAAAATCACTGCATTTGTCTTTCTTTTTTTCCCACCTCTCTCGGTCAGCCTTGTAGTCTGATATTCTAGCTTTTCTGTTTTTTTAGCCAGAGCACTTGATGCTTTTATCGCGCACACAATTTGAAATATGTCTTCTACTCAAGTCATAGCTTATGGACCCAAAGTTAATAAAAGATGACACAAGAAAGCGGCGTCGTTATATTTTCAGTTCCTAAACCTTTTGTTTCTTTCTGCCGACCGGGCTCCACAAACATGCCGCAATATTTTCCCGCATTTAGAAGGGAAGTTAGCAGACCTCAATGCTTTACTGGGATTCCTTTTTTTTTTTTATAAATAAATACTAGTAAGGCAAGCTGGCGCTTAAGAAAAATGAAAAGAGAAACACTAAACAGGGTTCAGACCCCTGTGCATAAGTCCTAAGCATTTATGATAAGTACGAGGATTAGCAATCGTTCATGGAGGATCCCTCAGTTCAGAGTTAACACTCAAATGTCTCGACTGAATTTATTTCCGTGATCTCGTATTAAAAAAAAAAAACAAACTCGTGCATGTACACAGATGGCATCGTGTCCAATTATGCATCATTACAACTAGCCGCAGTCGATGATGTCATTTTGCAAATTCCGAACTCAGCTAGCATCTATTCAGCTCAAGATATGGACCGATGAAGAGGCAGCTGAAGATGTGGAGATTGGAGGGCAGCCCAGTGAGGTAGACGCTGAAGTGGATGTGCAGGATGAAGAAAACTCTCTGGAAGATGACACTGTCTGAAAGTGACAACGAAGACAACCAGATGAAGATTGATAGCTCGAAAGTCCAAAGTCCTCCTTCCTTCAAGTATATGCTTATGGGCTTGAAAGATGATTCGGAGAGATCTTCGTCGGCAAGGAAGATGTCACCATTGTCAAATACGCTTCTTTGCCTTCGATAAACTTCCCAAAGAAGAATATGAAAAGCATCGATTTGTATAAAGGCATTTTCTGAAAGTACTTTTTTTGACAAACTGTAAAAAAGTGCTTTTTGGACCCAAATTTATGGTTTGGGCCAGACCAAACAACTGGGAAAATAACCAAACCAAGGATCAAGATTTTGGAACTTAAAACCATGGTTTTCAAAAAAAACAAAACGGATTTGCTTCTGGGTAATCGTTGTGTAATGATTATGGTTGTCAGAAAATATAGGACAAAAAACACCCCGTATTCAATTATTCAATTATAAGCTTCCTTCTGCCTTCAGTATTTCGGTCCTTCAGAAGTGCTTTTTTATAATATATTATTCAATTAATAATATGTGACAAAATAATCATTTTTCTATAAACATATTTAATCTTATATTTTAAAAATATATATACACATTAATTATTTATTAACTACATTTTCTTATACTCTTCCGGTTCTTAATATAAGACCCATTTAACTAATTTGATTAGATTAAGGAAGTTAGGTGAGTTCGTTAATTATACCTAAAACACCATAATCATCTTTCTTAATACCTCCTCTCCTACCTCTACTTGATTATGGTTGAGGGAGCATTTATAGAGGTAGTCTAGAGAAAATTGATAAATATAAGAAGTGGATCTTATATTTAGAACCAAAACCAACTTAACAATCAGAATCCTATATTAAAGACCAAAGGAGTATATTATTAATTATGTTGATAAAAAAATATATTATTAACAAATTTATTTCTTCAATTAAAATTTATTATAAAATTTATCTTTCATATAATTATCATATTAACTTATGCCTTTTTTAGTAATTTACACATATAAAAAATATTTATGATAACAACTATCTAAATACTCACTTTATCAGAATCACTTTTTCACAAAATTTATTCTTGCAAAATCTATTCTTAAAAATAATTTTTTTTCTCAGAAATTATTCTCTAAATTATGGTTTGATTTTATTATAACTTTTTTTTTCAGAAGTTATTTTCCAAATCATGATTTGGTTTTATTCATAATTTTTTTAAAAGTTATTTTTCAAACTATAGTTTGGTTTTTATCCAAATACCCCTAAATTTGACTAAACACCCCAAAGTACGAAGCTCGTTGCTGTTGTGAAGATGTTTTGTGACCACAGGCTCGTAATTTTTTTCATGTCATGATATACCTTTCCCATTAAAAAATAAAAAAACAACTAAAGCAAAAACACCCAATAACACAATGGAATTGTTTGTCGCTCAGAGCTTAGCCTCATCTATCATCAATATCTAATACTCTTCTAGTTCTAAATATAAGACCATTTTATAGTGTAATTTATACTACAAAATGTATTTTATATTTAGGATTGGAAGAATACCATTATATTTCCTTTCATTAAAATAATAAAATGAGTTCGTGTACAAAATTAAGACTCTGTCCTCATCGATTCCTCATATGCCTATCAACAAGCTCAATCTGAGAGCAAAAGAATCATCAACTACTCTACTCTGGATATTCCCAAAAGAGGCACCCACAATCCTTCCGTTTTAACAATTTGTGAATGTAAATCTAAAGTTAGAATAGGATTTATTCAATCTGCGGTATCCTGCCAACTGGCAAGTGCTGTAGTTCAACTTACATTGGCATATATCTGTCTTTGTTATTTTTTTGCCAACGGCATATGTCTTTCAAAGCTATATGGAAGCTAAACAATTAATCCTGTAATATAGCAGAATACTCAAAAAGAAGGCGCTTGGATGGAGCAGATTGTAGCAGCAGTCTCAAGCGATTTGTAAGCTGATAGCTCAAAGTACCCTGCACAGCCATCTCTGATTCTTTCATTTGCCTAACAATCGTGGCCTATGACCCAAAAAAAATACAAATGGCTTCAATATTGACTTGACGCATTCCTTTGTGACAAGCCATAGAAAAAGCATGACTATGTTCATTAAAAGAAAAAAGTACGACTCTGATGATAAGTGATGAACATGGCATGATCAGAGTACCTGAAGACGTTTCCCAAGCTGGACCTCAACTTCTGTACCAAATGATATAGAATTGGCAAGCAACTTGAGAGGATCCACTGTAGGATCAACAGACATCAAACTAGGGATCTGAGGCGCATACACTATTCTCCACCTTGCTTGCCCATACTCTCCCTTCCCTTCGATTCTTGGCATCAATTTTTTGAGTGTTTCGGTTGCAAGCTTGTTGATTGCAAGCCGACCGTTGTCTTCGAGAATGGATTCCGCCAAATGACTCTCAAGCCTCCTGACAGCCTGCACGAATATAAGCAGTTACAATTCATTGGGGGTCCAAACTTCGCACACTATAAATTGGGAGATGCAATCCATTGATTTCTCACAACAACAAGAGAAAGTGAATCTATTAAAATCGGCAAATAAATCCATTCTCATCATTGAAATAATAGAAAAAGAGTCTATGGAAACGGATAAAATAAATTAAGATTAATAAAAATGAGATTTAGAGAATTAAACCCCATGGCATGTGATTAGTGTGTATTAAGGATGATTGCCACACTTCTGTCAAGCCTACTTACCTTCCTCAATCTGACCTTTTTTCGCCTGAAATCATAGTCCTATGTTTAATTCAACTTAGCTTTAAACAAGGGACTGGCGTTTTGAGATCTAGATTCATATGACCAACTACCAACTCGTGAGGTAAGAACATATTATTTTTCCAAGTATAAAACGAAAACAGAGAAGAAAGGGTGGAGAAGGAAATCAGCAATTAGGGCCAATCTCGGACAGAACATTTGCATCTTGATTTACTTCTTAGAATGAGAGATAAGCTGAACAAAAGGGAGGCCCCCAGAGGGAGAGAGGAATTGTAGGATAAAGACAGTTATTTTGTTTCCAAAGCTTTTACCTCAATAGGGGAGAGTGCATCCTGTTCCCCAGAGCGAGCTGAGGTCACCACAAGGTTTTCCTGCCAATTGCTTGCTCGACCATGAATTCTAAATTGCCATTCAGACCCAACCAGAGCTAAATCTAGTATGGGATCTAGTCCATATTCAGGCTCAAATTTAGCAATATTTATATGCTCTCTCTTTAACCTCACCTACAATTGAATGTATGATGTCGCACATAAAATGAATTCAGGAAGATACCAGCCAAACCAAAATATAACTAGCCTTTGGTTATGAAATAAAGTATTAAACAAACCTGTGGGGCACCTAGACCAACTTCGCCGTTTTCTAATGCCAGGATGCCTTTGGGTTTTACACATTTTGGATGGGCCAGGCCATTCAACTCAAGGTCCCCACTTACGGTGAAATCAAGTATCAAAGGATATATTATCTTCAACTCGGGTCCAAGCGTGAGTTTCAAGTCACTAAGGCGTATATCCATGTCTGGTTCAATTTGCAATTGCTCCATGTCCCTTTCCACTTGAGTTGACCTGACTGAAATTATTATTATTATTATTTTAAGGTCATAATATACAGGAAGACAGTCGCTACACAAATCTAGCTTGAAGAACTGAGGGAAATAATGAGATAATAACTGCAGAATAGCAAGCAAGCAACCAAATGATTGGGCCTCCTGAGGTTTGTGATTTACACGCCACAACAAAATAGTCTTAAGTATAGAAGAACAACTCTATTGATGAAGTTCCCTTCTAATTTCAGATGATAACCATAATCTTACCAAAAATGACTACTTACACAACTACGCAAGAAGAGTATGATAAAAAAGGCGAGTATGAAGGTGCCCCATGTATTCATGTGGTCATAAATCTTGCAATCACAAAATTTGTCATATATTTTATGTATTTCCAATTAAATTTCAATTTGATACAATATAACAAACTAGATTCACAAGTAGCATATGTAGATGTACTGTTGCCTCTAGGCATGTATGGAATATTTCCTTTCCATAGCAAAACGGCCAATCATCATAAAATGAAATGGTGTTGAAAAAAAAATTTGATTCCTGAAGGACAAAGAAACATGTCAGGAGAGAAGCAAAGGATCAACTACACAAAGGGAAGAGTACAAGAGTATCATATAGCAAGAATATGTGCTTGGACGATTGAGAAGAACAATGACTAGGATATTACCTACATGAATATGAGATGAAGATCTAAAGGAAATTATCCTCCAAACGAAGCTCAACTTTTTTTTGGGGGGGGGGGGGGGGGAATCATATAACGCATGAGCTACTTTCTAAGAATGGTTCCTGAAGATGTCCTCTGTCACAATCCAACATGAGGTGAATTTATTGGGTATGACTATAATAGAGCAAGATAAAAATCTCAACCCAAACCCCCCCGTGACTGGATGTTTGAGACCAAAAATGGTTTTTCTAAAACAATCTCTTCGGACAGGATTTCAAACATTTAGAAGGATACAAAAGGAAACTATAATATCAAACATAATTCATATCAGTGAAAATTTGCTTCTTTTTTTTTCAAAGAAGGATGATGACTCACAGATTTTTAAAACAAAATCCAGCTCGCATACACAAATTATTCAAAAGGATACATTATTGTGTAGGAAGTCCTTGACTTACGTGGCATGCATGAGGTACATTGAACTTTAAGCTTCAATAGATATAAATATTAGTAAATAATGATTATGAGTATAAGCTTTTAGTTGCCAATTCCTAGAAAATGAGTCAATTTTGGCCACAGAAAGTCAGTAGCGGTTTTCAAGGTTGAAGGACCATATAATGTGCAAAATTGATGAGCATGTAAAGTACTATCATAAGATTGTCAACCAAAAAAGAAGTATTACCAGAGGACTGAGGAAGTTTGTTCCTTGAGGCAGCCTGCTCTGAGTGGAAATACTGTGAAACATATCTTGAAGGAACAACTTGGCTGACTTCACTAGTAGGAAGCATATACTGATTTGATGGGAATGTAGCAGCAGCAGCAACAGCGCTCCTATCATGAGGCAAATTCGCCACTCCGTGACTAATTTGAATATTCCCAGATATATTTGGTTGCAATATGGAACCGGTTATTTGCACCTGAGAGTCAACCCGACCGCTGCCAAAAGTGTGACATATGCTTTAAAGAAATTCACATAAATGCAAAGAGGAAAAATAATTTGGGGGAGGGTTTTTACAGTTTACAGTGCTATGCGTCAACTACCTAAGAGAATTACAGGTTAAGAACTTCTGTCAACAATGCTTCAAGATTAGAAACATTGAACCAGCCAAGTCTTACCAATGTTTAAAGAGTAGTTATTGGTTAATCAAAGATTGACATAGTGTAGCCAGCTAAAGAGTTTGATGGGTACTTAAGTGGAATGGGTAAACCTCCCCCAGTACCTAGCTATTAAGGTGAGATAACTACCCCTCTTAAATACCCAGTAAAGCATTTCATAATACTTAATGTGGTACTCCCTCCGTTCCTTATTATAAGAGACATTTGATGCTTATGGCATGTTCCTATATATAAGAGACACTTAAAAGTTGTCTCTACTTTTTTGTGTTGATTTCCTATTTTACCCATATTTATTGTCTCCAACTCACACTCTCTCTTCCTCCCACTTCTCTTTCTTTCAATAATTTAATTGTTCTCTCTCATACTCTCTCTCCTTATTAATGAGGGCATTTTTGGAAAAAAAAATTATATTTTTTACACATTGATTGTTCTTAACTAATTTTAACTGTTTTTTTTATCAACGTAATTTGGTTATTCGTCTCTTATAATAAGGAACGGAGGGAGTACTTTGGAATCCCACGCTATCTAGATCTCTGTGAATTGGCCCTCTAAGAGAGCCGATGTCCCAGTGGTTATACTCTACACCACTTCACTTTCTTTCTCACCGGTCAAAGCCCCTCGCAAGCAGCCCTTTCCACATTGACTATGAGCTCCAATACTAATTGAGGATATTTAATTGAGATGAAAAATCCTCTGAAAAGCTAGCTATTGATGTGAGAGAACCACCCCCCCTAAATGCCCTATAGAGCATCTCATACTGTGGAACCTAGGCATATCATACTACCTAAGCCTCTGTGTGTTTTCTTTCTTTCTTTTTGTTTTTTTCCCTCTAGTTTCTTTACTGTTCAATGAGGAGGATCTTTTGTCCCCTGTGTTTGTCCTGTTCTATCTTATCATCAATAAACTTCCTTTTTCTATAAAAAAAAAATTGTTCCTAAACTGAATTTTTCCAGGAATTCCACAATTTCGATTCTCCCTAACACGAATTATTCATAGATTATATCCCCACATAGATTGATGAATAGGTTGAGAGATAACTAAAGAACCTTTCTGCCAAAAAGTTGAGAGAATTAAAGAAACAACCTAAAATTTTTTGCCTGTACTTCCATAAGTTCACACTTCAACTCAATCTTGTCATCAAGGGCTGGTTCACTAGTTCTGAGGGGAAGGTTCCCTTTTACAAGCACTTTTCCTTTTCTGCTTACCCTACTCTCCATTGAAGTGATGCATAACCTGTTTGATTTGATGTGAACAGTTCCACCAAAGTTGGTCAGTGGCTTTCTAATCACCGGAGAAGATATCAAGGCCCTATGGAATGTTGCATATCCATTTAGAATAGGTTGATCAACTGTGCCTCTACACTGTTAAATTGAGACATGACAAGAGTCACAACAGGTGCAAATAAATTATTTGAATAAAAAAATCATATAAAATTAAAATACCAGAGGTTCATGAATAACAAAAATGTAAGAAGTCATTGTCAACATTGCCCACCTCAAGCATGATATCAGCATTGCCATAAAGCCAACTGGCATAAGGAGTTAAAGCTGTTAATAACATCATCCCCCCATCAATTATGTCGACATCAACCTTGACTTCTTCAACATCTAAAATTTTCCAGTGTAAACCTTTAAGGTTTTCATCTAATTGAGTGTTCCAACCTTCGTTTCTATCCCTAGAAACTTTTTTGTCTATAGCATCATCAGTCATCACTTTATTCTTCTCCATCCAGTGTCCAGCCCAATCAACCAGATTTTTATCAAATCCTGCATCTTCACTTGACATGTTACTTTGCACAAAAGAAACAGGGATACTTCCTTGAACGAGTACATGCCCATTCTGGATCATAGGTTCAAATTTTGCATTGAAAAGAAAATGACAGGATGGGGTTAAAGAAGCAAGAACTTCTGCCCTTCCAAGATCAACTCCACCAATGGCACCATCCAGTAGCCTTACTTGCAAATCACATTCTGGTTTTGCTAAAGTCCCTCGAAGATCTCCTTCCATATGCAATATACCGCTAAATGGTGCCAATAATGGCTGCAAAGAATGAACGGCATCTGTTGTTGTAGATTCAATGACCTGAATTACAGTTGGGACCAGACTAACAGGAAAATTTAAGACAGCAAAATGAAGGTTGGTTTTTGGCCCTAACAAAGTCCCATCTGCATGGATGGTGGCATTATCCTTCTGGATAAAAAATTCCTCAAGGTGCAGACCATCATCATTACTGTAAGCACCAGTAGCCCAGAGACGCTGAGATTTATAGTCTCCCCACTCCCAGTTCTCACCTTGAAAGTCAACTTCAGCCTGAAATGCCATAGAATAAGAAAGCCAAAATTAAGGAAAGTGATCACGCTAACTTCAAAGGACATAAACAATGAAAATATTTTACCAGGGTATCTCCATTTCCACCACCACTAGCATCAATTGAGGCATGCCAGCGGCCTTTAAATTCAGATAAACCAGGCAGGTTCAAACCTTCAAGAACGTCATTCTTTGGAGCCTGATGCTCCCTAATCATCTGCAAGTGATAGGTACCCACACACACACACCCCAACAGATCAATCAATCAATACATAAAATGAAATCTACATGCAGCCACACTATTCATAAGTTATGAATAGCTTCGTTAAAAGCACAAAACCTATAGTATAGCTCTTTATTAATAACACTAAGAGACAATTGATGTCTATAATGAGACTCAGTAGTTATTAACTTCATGATGCGTTTATGAGCATAAACTCACACGCAATGGATAGTAACTTTTGAAAGGAAAATACAGTATAACGACTCCTTGACAATACCTCAAGCAGTTCTTGTAGGTTGTCAGCATATAATCCCACTGACTGCAAACTTTGAATGAATAGATCCTGTATATAAGACGAAGCATCAGTGGAAGAATTTATATGGGACAAACTATACATGTACTGTGAAGGAAGCAACAAAAACCGTTACACCATTATTCTTAAATTCATAGTCAAAACCAGATAAAATGTTCCTTGCAATGTTTCTTACGTTTCTCACATTTACGAGAACCGGATAAAGTGGTAACTAGACAACTGGATTCATAAACAAAACATCTTGATTAACAGAGCCACATCGAGATTCAGTTGGTTAACTGTGTGTGCGTGTGTGTGCACAGGGCTCCTACACAGAGCATAAGACAACCTTTGAACTTGAACAGACAGCAGGGTCCATACTCCGAGAAAAAAACCTTGTAAGAGGAAGCACCTCTGCAACCTCAGCTCTAGGAACCTCAAGTTTCATTCTCCACCTTCCCAATGAGGATATGACACTATTAAGATGCATCGACATTGGCTTTCTAAGAAAGCCACCCCCTTTTACATCAACAGGGCTATGAACGCCAGGCAACACATATTCACCTTGAACTTCATAACGGCTGTAGTTTTGTTCCAGAACAGTTTTTTCCAAAGTGATCTGAACAATAGTACGTGAGCATACAATTAGTATCAAACACAAACATTATGCTTATTACATTTGCCCAGAAGGACAATGTAAAATCTGTTGAAGTCTACATCAAAATTGTATGATCCAAGAAACAAAGTCATAAAAGATATCATATCAGAGACAATTTCATCACAGCTAGGATGGCATTATAATGACAAAGAAGTTGATCACATTACATATAAAGCCTAAAAGAATATCTAAAACCTAATGTCTGCAAGCTTAAGATCAATCAGAGTAAAGTCATCAAACAGCACAGTAAAGTAAACGCAATTTTTGAGAAGAGTAAGCTCCTGTTAAGATCAGAATTTTTTTTTTCAGCAAAGAGTTCCTTTTTTAAAGAAAAACCGCTTCCAGAAAAGCTAAAACTTTTAACATGAAAGCAGCAGCACAAAAAAGCAGTTCAAGATTTTTATACTAACTTGAAATTTTTTTTACCTTTTTGGAAGACTTCTTTACAACAAAAAATTTAGTTTTGCAATTAAATAATAAATTCATCTTAGCAGACATAAAAAAGATATAAATATGTATCTTAAGCACTTCACAACTACAGAACCATATGGGTTGAATATGTAAGCTGATTCTACTTCTTAGATGTCTGGCTTATTCATAGGTGAAGTAAAATTTAGTACAAGTGCAATGAACCTAGATACTTAAATCCACATTATGCATAAAGACACTACAAGATACACTATTCTAACACTCCCTCTCAAGATGACGTATATAAATCACATGCACAAAGCTTGTTACAGATTTAGTTGATTTGAAGATCCTTGAGAGATTTAGCAAACGTATATACTAGGATTCTGCCTCCCGGAGCCTTCCAAAGATGACAACAGGGCGCATATTCTAAGAGGATAAAATAACAAGACCAGGGAGATTCTCACTTCAGCAGAAAAAACAAAAACAAAAAGCATGTAAAGAGGTTTGCAATTTGTGTCAAATGATTTTCAAACAGAAGAAATACAGAGTGGTCAATACTCAATAGAGTTAGTCTGATGAACACAGGTATTCGTACACAAACTGATGAACACAGGTATACATACAGAAGGTATTCATCATCAACTCCCAGCCATGCTAAATAAATGTTTAGGTGCAAACAAATAAAAGGTTGGGCTTAGGATCTCACAACATCTCCACTCCATCTTGCTGCCATATCAAGGGCTTCACCAAACACACCACTGAATTTTGGCTTAAGGACAGATAGGACACCATGTCCTCTTCTTTTCTGAAAATTAAGCTGAATTTCTGCCTGAAATCAAACATGCAACCAGCTGAAAAAAATCATTTATTTCATTTCATGACCTTATCATCAAACAATATCCAGGAAGAACTGAACAGCAGATGGGAGGAGGAAAAAGAAGGGCAAGCAAAGAAAGCTTAAACATCATATGTTGTACAATAAATAAACTAGATTATCTCAAATAACATAATTCAACTCAGTAGCCCATTATACTTTATTTTGGCCAACATATATTAATGGTTGATCCGTGATCCTCATCAAAATGAACTGATTTAGCTAACACCAAGAGTTACATCAAGTTAACAGGAGCAAACTCAAAATTTCAACATGAATTACTCAAAGTAACGCATGAAAAATTTATCAAATAGAGGACTACCATTGGATAAGAGCAAACTATATCTCACTGTCATTAACCTCAGCACAGTAGCAGGTGCAAAATTATGCCCATTGGTGATTTTAGAAAAACAATAATCTTGCTTACAAGGCCTATATTGCAAGCCACCGAAAAAATTAATTCAACTAGCAAGATACCAATTTCACACCCAAGCAGATAACAAAAATTGATTTTAGAGCAAACTATATCTCACTGTCATTAACCTCAGCACAGTAGCAGGTGCAAAATTATGCCCATTGGTGATTTTAGAAAAACAATAATCTTGCTTACAAGGCCTATATTGCAAGCCACCGAAAAAATTAATTCAACTAGCAAGATACCAATTTCACACCCAAGCAGATAACAAAAATTGATTTTGACATTTGAGAGATACGGCCATCTTCATTATGATTCAAATATCCATGAAATAATACATAATAAGAGGGACAAAAAAGATAGTTAATGCTAAAAATATTCCACATTATTCAATCTAGTTGAATTAGTTTATTAGGTATTAGATGTAATCTTCGTTGTTCCTTATTTTGCAATAGCCGCATTTCTAGTATGGCAAGCTTTACATAGCCTATGGGGCCATAAGACAAGTATAACTAACAAAATGTTATGTAAGGGACTACTTGTGGAGGGTTCTCTCTCTGTATATATTCTGCTCAGTGGAAACATCATCACGTAACCAGCAATATGCCTTACCTTTTCTATGATTCCCCTGAGAGAAGCAAGCTCCAACTCATCAAGTGGAAAATGCCGTACCTACAAGTATGGCCCACAAAAACAGGGAAGAGAGAGATTCTGAATGCCACATCTTGGTCCGTGGTAGTGTGACCCAAAATTTTCAAGCAAAGAAATAAGAATCTGGATCCAAGCACTGGACCCTAAATACAGGTACCTCTAAGTTAGCTGAACGAAGTGGCTGAAAACAAATGTTAGTCTTCAGTTGCCCCTTCTGAAGGGAAATGGACAGCAGTTTTCCAAGATTTAGGCCATCTTCACGACTGACCTGCAATGGCCCAACAAACTCCGCTGCAAGACTTTCATCAGGCCTACCAGAAGCCTCCAACTGTGCTCCAAGAAAACTTGTAAGCTAAAACAGATTTATGCATTATAAACATTCAAAAAATTTTAGGCAGGAGCACTAAGGTAATCAACATTCCATCTGATCTTGTAAGGCCAATCACCAATGCACTTGGTTGGTTCATAGGCAGTTAGAAGCATAAGAAGAAGAGGGAAACAACAGTACAACTATTGACCAAATAACTCCATCATGTTCACAATGGAATGAGGTGCCAGCACTAATTGATTATGCATATTATATAGAAACCTTAGCTACAATTTTACCTTTATAGTGAAAGTATCAAATCTATTATATTTAATATCTATATATATGTACATTATATCTCGAGATAGGAAGCTACAATTTTGCGCTCAACAAGATAAAAACTATTCAAGAAAGTAAGAATCAATGCATACCTTGATATGCTTTGGAGAAACACTCACAAACCCAGATAATTGAGGTGCCAGCATTAATTGATTAAGTTTGAAACCAGATATTAGAACATTGCCAACAAGACTATCTTGGCTTCTTTCCTCCAATGCTAGCACTTGCCGCCCTTTCTTCACAGAAGTTTGTTCAGTGGTACTGCTTCCAGGTTTTGAAACCCTTCCCTGAAACTTAATCTTTCCGGTTGTTTTCAAATACAATGGCCTTGGAGAATCAAATGAAAGAGCAGATCCCAAACTAAACATTTCAAAATCACGCATACGCAAATCCAAGTCAACTCCATCAATATTAAATGGAATGGTTCTAGCTGCAGAAAATTCACTTCTCTCAGGAGAAAAACCATCAACATCTGATGTTTGAACTCTCATAAACAAATCAAATGCAGCTGAAGAGGAATCAACAGTTACAGAATCATGTGATATAAAGATATCTCCTCTGGCATTGTTGAATGACCCTTCTGCTTTAGGTGCAGTCCATTTTATATCGAACCTTCTGCTTTAAAAATAATTAAGAAAATAATCGATAAAATCCAAGTTGAACTATAAGATACAAAGGTGAAAAGGCAAAAGCAGATTGTTATGATAGCCAACGATATTGTTGGATGCTAATCAATAAAAACTGATTACCCAGAAGAGAAGGGTTAATCTTACGGTTTTAAAAGAGATCCTGACAATTTTGTTTCTCCATTTATATTGCCCAATTTGAACGGCATCAAACGATGATAGCTAGGTATATAACGAAGCATAATTTTGTCAAATGGCAAGCTTCCAGAGAAATTCACATCTATTGCTGCCTCATCCTCGTCACCCTAAAAGAAAAAATAGTATATATTCTTAAGAGAACTGAAATTTACACTCTATATGGCCAAATGGCCGAAACCCCTTAACTCTTATTTCATAAGTGTGAGAATTACTACATTTTGGTCTGTGAGCATATATTACTTTCCTGTGCCATACAGCATCACCTAAACCTTGTTAAGGATCACAAATACCCTTAATAAACTTAGAACGGGGAGACAATGCAGATAATTTTAACAGATTTTCGAGCTTCTAATTACAAAGAAATCTTCAGGTGAGTATATATAACAATGATCCTACAGTAAATGAGGATGCCAATGATTCCAAGTTGTTCCACACGTGTGAATAAAGAAACAAATGAAAAGAGATGGAAAAATCCAAAACCCAGGTATTCTCTCTCAAAGCTAAGCAAAAACAGATAGGCTTTTTGTCAGCCAGTTCTTTACCTCTGGGCATACCCAAACATTTCCTGCCCCACGAATTTCACCACCATCTAGAAGGCTTGCCCTTATTCCATATAAATCAGCAATCTATTATTTACAGAGAAAGTATTAACAAAATATAACATGTCAATTCTGCAGGGAATCACTACTCTTAATGTGCTTTCTAGAAGGTTCATCCCTGTCAACTTACACTATTATCAGTGTCAAAAGTAAAATTGGCAGATACATATGAAAATGGAATACGATCACAAGCCGCCAATGCGCCAGCTTCTTTACTGATAGCAAGTGCTTCAGATGCTGCAGATGCAGGAGTGTCAACATTTATATGAGAGAAGGTCCTTGAAACCATTCCACTACCTACAAATACAGGAGCATACAGTGGGCCTTGACAATTGAAAACAGCAGTTACTGAACCCGCCAGCTGAAATCAATAAACCGTTTATAAGAAAAGAAGATGCAGGGATTGATATTGATTAATATAACATTTTTTTTTGGGAGGGAAAAAATAAAAAATTGATACAATTTCACTCTTAGTAAGTCATGAATAGACAGCAAGAATGAAACATCCAAGCTGGTCTTTTACATTAAAAAAACAACTGAATTATTAGATATCAAGAACAGCCCAGTAGCAGGAACAGGAACTGCGCATCAAAATTGAAAACGGAAGAGAATAAGTCTAGTTCATATGTTGAAGATACACTTGAAAAATCAGCAGATATTGAAGAGCATGAAGATGAAACTGATTCCATAAGCACAGAACTTGGTCTTAAAATTAATGAGCTAAAATCAATAAACTTACAGGAAACAAGAGAGATCTCATCTTAAAAGTTCTCATCAAGGCATTTAGTTCAACAACAGGAACCTGGTCATTCAAGATGCAAAGCATTAAAATATAGATGAAACAACTCAGCCTATCCATCACGAATTGACGAAGGCACGGAATATGAGCCTAAAGGAGAGATAACACTGAGAGAAATATACAAAGCAAATTTAATGAGTAATAAAGCATAAAGAGCCTCAATTTTGGAGCTATACAAGAACATAGGTTTCTTATATTTGAATAGTATTTGAAAATTGAATCGTTTTAAGAATACAGCTTTACAAAGACTCTTGGAATCACCAGTGAAATATTATACCACAACATTTAACTTTGAACAAGCAAGTTCCAAGAGAGGTGAGGTAAACCAATGAACAGTTAGAGAAAGTATAAATCGTATTTTATCAGAGCACTTGTGCACAAGAAAATATACCTGGCACATAAGATGAATTTCTCCTTCCTCAGGATGGATGCCAATATCTCCTGATGCTTCTAGAGGAATGCTTCCAAACCATCCACTAGCGTTGTGTAAAAATATTCTTTGACCACGAAAAAGTAAACTTGCTGAAATGTTCTGCAAAACAGACACAATACAGAATAAAAAGTAATAATTTAAGCTCACCCAATGATGTAGTCAATACAGTCAACAAAATAATATGCCTTAGGCCTAATGCCTGAAATGAATGAAATAGCAGGCATCAATAATTATGCATCTATTCCATGCTTGAGGGAAATGAAATAGGTATTAAATCCAACTTTTGAAATAGTCATTGAGTAAACTTATAAGTGAAAATTCAAATGTCAAAAAAGGAAAGGAAAGAGCAACACATTCTAACACAAATGAAAATAGGACATACAGAAAACCATGATGGAGCATCCGATAATTGGAAATCCGCCCCCGTTAAATCAAGTCGTCCATGAAGGTTTGGAAATGTTTCACCTCTCGACATGCATAGGCGAACCTAAAATAAGGACCAAAAGAATAATTTAACATTTATTATTCTGCATATAATACATGCAAAAGATCAATCTGAACATAAGATTTAGATAGTTCCAAAATATTGATTAAATGTTGGTTCATATGAAAGATCATATAGCTTAGTCCATAACAATTGGCCACATGGCTGGATTTATTTATTTGTGGGAATAGTTGTAAAAAGTTCATAACCACACCAAAGCAACAAATCTACCTCCAGGAGGTATATATGCATTGTCAAAGTCAGCTGAAAATTCAATCCATGAAAGTGTGATGTATAAAATTGAAAATAATTAAAGAAAGACATCATAATATGAAGTTTAATTGCCAAAAATCAGATGAATAGATGATAAGGCTCCAGAGGGCTTTAGCCATGCAGACAACAATTCCAAGCAAAACACAGGAAAATATCCACTAGATTAAAGCATAACCTAGTTGAACCAAAATATCATGTTGGGACCAACCAATTTATTCAGATATCGAGATTTTTGTTTGAGTATCGAAAGAAGAAATCCATCATTTCATGGACAAAAAATATCACAATAATTCATCAAAAGTTTTCAGGTCAGCTCTCTAAGCCTACGTCATAACAACTTATGGTTCCAATTCAGGCAATTTTTCGATTTGTATCTCTATTATTAATAATTAGAGCAAGCGGAAATCTGCCATCTTCACTCTTTGACCCTAATGATTCAACAACAATTCCATATTTTATTATCATATTTATAAAATTAATTTTTTGACAATTGCATCCCATTGTCAGCCTCCCCACCTTCATTTCCTGCCACCCTTATCTCCATGGCTATTCCTTTATCGTCACATCCTCTCTTAACCTCATTATTATGCGCTGTCAGAAGTTATTTTCTTTGGATACCAGAATTTTATAAAGAAAAGATAGAAAAAATTAAACACTAAATGATCCTCAAGCCAAACACTGCAAAAAGCTTAACTGTCAGAAATCATCAGTAAAACTATTGACCGCCAGTACCTACTAGCTTAAGCTTCTAGATTGAAATAATCCCAGACATGGTGTCAAAGCCTTTACCATCTAGTGGCCAAGAGTTTGATTCTTGCCAGTTCACAAGGCATGATAGACTTGTGCCTTGTGCACACATTAAACCAGAAGACTTTTGCACGGCATCAGATATTATAATAAAAAATATTCATGGAACTTTACTTAATTTCTATATTGAGGGCGTTCTAGTCACACATAAATAATATGTGTGTGACCATTTAGTTGTGAACACGGAAAAGCAACCAGCCACAAGTATCCTCCAAACCCCACACACACACACGCGCGCACACACAAGTAAATGCTGCATCAGTTATTAAAATGCAACATTCCATTTTGTCATAGCAATTTGGGCAAGAAATTTTTTTTAAAAGTATGACTTGATGCCATTTTACTGAACTTTCAAACTAAAATTAGATAAGCACCTCACCGCTGGCCCTCCCCTTAGACCATGTGATTGGAATTTCTAGGATCCTTTCAAATAGCTGCAAATATCAGGCCAGACACATTGATATAAGCAAACCGTATATTTAAATGACAAAGCGGAAACATGGTCAAGTTTCATTACTCTAAACCTTACCGAGACAAACAGATTATCAATTTTTACATTAGCATGCCATTGCTGTTCAATAGTGTCCACAAAGATATTAGCAGACAACCAGCCACCATCTTCAGACATAATATCTGATCTCCATGTCTTACAATTACCATCAAGTTGAACATGCAGACGGCTATAGCAGTTTTGGAACTTCACGTGCCCGTTGACATTTTCTATCTCCCTGAAAATACAAAGCAGAAGATACTTGAATTGATGCAGACCAGCACTTTACTATAAGAACTTTATTTCTAAGTATAAACCATCTTTTTATTAAGTGGAACCACTACAGCAGCAACTAATCTGAGCATACACTCTATAATCTACAAAATCATACTTAGAAAAATTGTATACACCTTTTATCTTACATTTATTAAGAAGATTATATACTTGACAAGAAACTTTATAAAATATACATGTTTGTTCTCATTAAAGCTACAGCAGTGGCAATAAAAATCAACACCAAGAGAATCCGCTGCAATAACATGATTGACCTAAGATAAGAATGTCTCTGGTGTAGTAAAGGAAACATTTTAAGTGAAATATTTTGCAGTTGAATTAACAGTAACTGCAGTCTGCAGCTGTATTTGTCATTTCTATAATAATTTCTTTAAAAAAAAAAGACAAATAAAAACTTCTACATTTAATAAGATTTCAGAAAATGAAAACAAATTATAAGATTTACGCACTACCAATGCAACTACTTCTCTCCGTTATAATTATGACCAAGCCCTAGAAACAATACAATATGAAGTTTACTCTCCAAGTTGTGATAAGATTACAAGAATTAATTCATTGCTCAACATGAAATAGAGCACCGAGACTTTACACTAGTTTCAATAAAAACGTTATAAGTTTAACAGAACCAGAAATGATGTATCCAAATAGATAAACAAAAATTAAATAAGGCTATCTTCTTATGAATCCTCAGACTAAGAACATGCATAACCCATGCATACATGATGTATACAAGGAGAACCGCGGACTGAAAGAAGATCTAAACAATAAATTCTTGAAAGAAGCACACAGAAGTAACCGAAAAAACAGTGGTTACGTCACGAGGATTTGAACACCCAAAGTCAGGGACCCTTGATTTCTATCAATCACAATACTACAATAGATTATGAATCTTACACACCTCTGGCCTCTGTTAACATCATGATTAAATTTCTTCAAATGCCAATAAGGATATCTTATCAAACATGTTAACTGTCAATCCACGTCCTTAAAGCTTTGTTAATTACCTCTATAATACCATTAAAAAGATAAATTTAGCTAAACTCCCCTAATTACCTAAATAATATTTAAAATTTTGAGGTGGTGGAGACCTAGTTTGTTCCCCATCACTTCAGACTAGCCAATTAATAAATGATAAAATGTGGCTCTCACCTAGCTTCCCTGTCACCGTATGCAAGTAGCATCACTGTAGCATCTCTGATATGAACAGAATCAAGTGTAACTGAAAAAAACCCTGTGTCTTCGGAACGACGAAAATCAGCCATACCAACATGCTCATAAACACTATCTTCAACTTCGAGGCCCATGTGAGACTTGAATTTTTTAATAGAACCAGAGAGACAGCAAAATAAGAACTCCATAGATCTAAAGAATAAGTTTGAACCAAATTTCATAAAAATGAGATCAATTGGAAATTGAAGATATGTTTCCAGATGAGGCCTAGGGTTCGTAAAGACTGAATCTTCAGATGACAAATTTCTTTGGCCCTTGGACTTAACATTAATTTGACTATGAGCAACATGAGGTCCCAACTTCTCCTCTTTGGCCAAATAACTATAAGTATTTGCAGGCTCTGCAACATCCCCATGAGATTGTAAATTTTCAAACTTACGAACTCCTGTCTGCAACACTGGATCCTGAACAAGTTTTGGAGAATCTGAATGCACATTAACATTTGCATTTAGAGAAGGAGTCCTAACACCATGATCTCCGACCTCCGTTACTCTTCTTCTATCATCATTTCTTGTTTCATCACCACTGATAACATATTTTGCATTATTTTCAACATCGCTCTTCACCAGAAAAGTATCCTGGTTCGCAAAATCAGAACTACCTGGTGGCGATATAGTCTCCACAGACTCCTTGTGTAATTGACCTTGAAAGTAAGTATGAGCTGCTAACGAACTCCGTTCAAGAATCTTTATTTTCATAGCAACAACAGAGGCAGTACTACCACTCCCGTTGACCTTATTCTTCAACTTGGGAGTCCTACGTCTTTGCATTTCTCTAGGCCGAACTTGAAGCCCTGAACTTGGAAATTTCACACCAAATGATCTTTCCAAATCCGCATGTTTTATGTCATAATCAATACCTGAGTCCATGCAATGACGGTCATGCTTCCCCTGATTCAGGCAATAGACGGATTCGGACTTTGATTCTGCTGATTGAGCAGCAATCGCCTCCGAAGCATCACCCTCAGATAGAGTAGAAATCCTCTCAGAAACTATGTAACCCATCTCTGCAGCTTTTCTTGCTGCTTCATCCCTTTCTTTTGCCCACCGAAAAGCTGCTTCCTCTCTTGCAAGCCTCCTAATTCTGGTACGATGATCAATCCCTTCCTCGGTTGAAAAGTGCCTCCGCATGCCACCTTCAGATGATGGAATTCCTAACCAAGTATAGTCCTTCTTTTGCACTACTAGGACACTTGGGCGCGACAAAACTGCATCAATAACCAGCTCTCCCCTCCTTAGACTTGCAAAAGGATGAAGACGAAGTTGAACTATGGGAACCTCACCGCAAGAAAATTCTTCCTCATGTGGCCCAACTGAACATGACTCCAATGTAATGCTAAATGGTGAGATTCTTCTAACCTTGCCAAACTCAAGCCTACGCTGAATGCGTGCACTGATTGCAGAGCAAACAGAAGGCAATAGTTTAGCTTCAATAAAACCCTTAGATTTACCCTGCCCATACCATGCCAATAGACATATCCCAAAGATAATAGCTGTATAAACAGAGGCCCTAATTAAAAGCAACCCTTTATTCCACAAAGAGGTCAAATAACTCTCCAGAGCCTTGCCTGGAGGAAATGGTTTCTTGAAGCATTTCAACCTCGACTGATTTTTTGAGACAAGGTCTCTCCTCATTGACTCCACATTTCCCCAGCAAAAGCGCGAGAAACTGAAAACTTGGTTCACCGGCCGACTTTGTTGAGCAGATATAATGCATCTGCGAATATCCCTTTTCGGCAACAAAATTTTGTTTAAATAAAAAATCTCCCTATTGCTGCCGATAAGTTCTAAAGAGCCATAAAGAGGAATCCCCAGAAAGAAGCTGTGATTTTTCACGTTCATCATCTTCTCTTACATCCACCGAACTGTTTGTGGGTCATTTGTCAGGGCACATGAAGCTGTTCTTCTTAGTCCCTCAGTAGTTTGGAAGACTCCAGAGCACTCTAAACATTCAGAGCCTGTCCTGCGGGAATCAGAGCAAAGTGCTCAACCCTGATGGACTGATCTGGAAGATACAAATGAAGTTGAGTTTGAGATTCTGTTTGTTGAGTTTCGTTCTTTGGGTGTGGGACTCTGATTCGGAGTCTCGACGGGAAGGGAGGAAACTTCGGCTAGTTTCTTGCATTGTTTATCAGGCTCTAAAAGAAGGAAGAAAGTGGAAGCATATTTGATTTCTTGGGTTAAAGGAAATGCTTAAGTAGAACCTTCAAAATGACGATAATGAAGCTTACTGTTGTCACGGCGGATGTTGCCTGGATTCTAGCAACATCCTCTCCATGACAGTTCGCGTTAGGCACGCCCAAAAACTGCGCGCTCTTTACTAAACGCTTCGTTAGGTTTCATACGAAGCTTCAGAACGAGGGAAACTTTCTTGTAAAAGAACTTATGGCCTATTGCTTCTTTGCTGACTTCTTTAACGATCCATGACAGTTCGCGTCGGGCGCGCCCAAAAAGGGCGCGCTTTAGGGCCTTCTTAACAAAATAGTGACCGTTGAAGGTTTCTCGAAATTTTAAAAAATGTCAATTAAAAACCCATGTTTTGTCTTTTTTTTGGCTTATTAAAAACCCATACTGACTTGGCAAAATCTTGGTTGAAATTTATTCCCATTGAGCTCTCGTAATTTCCGGCATGTATATAAGGTTCTTTTTAATAAGGCTTTTATCTTTTAGACATCCATAATTAATACGCTAAAAAAAAAAATTCTAATTCAAGACTCTTCGCAATGAGATTCCACAATTTTCAGCAGTATACGTAAAGTTTTTCAAATTAAGCTGTCATTAAAAATCAAAGTGGCAAAAATGTTTAGCTGAAAACATTTTCAACTGAATCTCCATGACTTCCGAATATGGGTCAGTTTTCCCGATTGAGCTCTCATCCTTTAAAAGCTAAGAATCATCACGACAAAAATGCCAAATTAAATTACCTTGGTTGTCCATTGGCATTTTTTTTTTCTTTCCAAAATGGAATCTTATCGAGTATTTTCATATTTTGGAGCTTTTGACGATCATTATCTTGCTTAAAAAAGTCCCAAGTTATGGTCGTGTGAATCATAACCACCGTACTTCACACACATTCAGAATGTGATCCCCCGTCACCTTTTACGTTGCACTCGAGGGATTTGGCTACTGTTATTCATGCTTCAGCAGGACGAATCACGCAGGCTATGTTTAAGAAGGAATAATTTAATCTTCTCTGGCACCGTTCACTTCCATACTCCACAGTGTGTCGTCGGGCCTCTGTTTTCTTCCTCAAGCCTCTATGCCGACTCAAACGGAGCATCTTTCATCCTCTCCTCCATCCCGATTCATGCAGCTTGGCGTTGGATGCTCACCAAATTAAGAACAATGGTTCGACAGCAGCCTTGGCTACGTATGCGCATCACACCGCTCTTCTAATCAAACACCACATCAACACGGTCTAAAAGATTGGGAGAATTTACAAGGTCTACAGCACAACTCCTCTTAGAACGCAGAACACCAAGAGGTGATCAGTCATGAGGATAAACGAACTAAAGATGCACAGCTATGAAGTTCGACTACATCTTTGGCAGGAAGGCATGTCCGTAACAGTTAATAACTGGAAGTTTCAAGAGAGGGGAAAAAACAGAGGAATACTTCTCAAGTCCATAGCAATATGAATGCAAGTCAAACAAGCGTAAGGAGCCCGTTGTTTATTCGGCATCATGGTATGAACAACAATACACATTCCTGTATCAATGTTAACAAACGGGTTTCTTTTACCGCACTGGTTGCTGATTATAATGGCTCTTCTCTTTTTTCTTAGCGGCAGCAAGCCTTGCGCTCCTTGCGGCAGCCTCTTGAGCTGCAGCTCTTGCAGCAGCATCCATTTCTTTGTTAGATTTCTTCTTCTTTGCAGAAGCAACTTTCTTGAGACGCTCTTTCACATCAACAGTGGACTTATCATCCCCAGCATTTTCTGCGCCAGCAGCCTCGTCAGGCACATTATTTGTATCTGCCCCGTCGAGATGATCCTGAGATTCTTTCACCTCCTTGGAGGCTTTATCCTTCTTTTTCTTCTTCTTGGCACTCTTTGACTCCGCAGTGCTATTTTCCTTCTTCTCTCCATCTCCAACAGCCTCAGCATCTTCATTACTTTGTGGGGCACCTGCAAATGCAATTTGATATATGTTGCTTGAGCAGAATTCTGCTGTTAGCTTCTTTGACATTCATATTCTCTTTTCTTCCACAAAAGTTTTAATAGAAAAATAATTTCTGGCTGAATAAAAACCCTAATAGGCTTTAAAAAAAATATAGAATAGGGGGGAAGCTTCGACCAAAAATATTATATTTGCATGCGGAAGATGCATAAGTAAAGAAAGCATACCATAAATATTTACAAAATATTCCCTGAAATATACACTATGTCGCAAGTTTGTCATGGTTACCTTGCGAATCATTTTGACTACTGCTTTCTTTTTGCGCAACTCCAAAATCAGCCAGAAGAGCCTCAAGCTCTGCAAGTTCCTTTTTCTTCCTTTCTTTTTTGGAAAGTTGTCGTTCTGCCTCCTTTGGTGCCACAGAAACTTGAGTAGGCTTCCTAACCTCAGGTTCAGGGTTCAAGGACTGTTCTGGCTCATGATCGTGCTCTTCCTCCGCATCATCATCCCCTTCACCTAAAATATCTTCCTCACTCTCACTATCCTGAAATCATAAATGAATTAAAAGAGTATCAAATCCACACTTATGCAAGACATTTTCCAGCCAATTTAACCGATTAGTTGATAACAAGCAAACAAATTAACAATTAATTTTCTGCCCATCACCCACATGAGCTTTGAGCTAGTTTAAACAGTTAGAGTCGGGTCAATTCTAAGCTTATTTTTGTTATTCAAGGGATCATATTTATCCACGCCATAGAAACAAGGCAAGTCCATAGGTGCTCAAAAAGAAAATTTTCCACTTTGTCCAAGATATAGCACAACTTATTTGTCCAAAAAAAAAAACACAAGCATCGTAAAGTCCCAGTATGTGTAGGAAGACAAACTCAATTTTACTTCTTCCCCATGCCACATAATGGACGTAACTCCTTTGCAGGATTCAACATCTAACTTCAGATATACACAATACATAAAATCAAAAGTTAATTAGTTTTTTGCCAACAAAACGATAATTAAAGTTGATTCATATGGAATCAATTTCCATACTTATAATGCTCAAAATCGTTTGAATTTTCCAACCATTCCCCACTTCATTACATTTGTATCTAAGCTCCCAAAGCCTCTCATGCACTCAAGCCATAAAAAGGAATTGGCCCATTCAATCATGTTGACGGGCTCATATTCGCCAAAACTATGCCCCGTTTGACAAGCAACAGTGTAATAAAACCCCTAACATCTACTCTTGCTTTCATCATGTATTGTCAAACAAAGGCTTCATTGATATAACTATACACCATGATAACGTATAATATCTCCAAAGCATTTAAAAAGAGACGTGAGACAAATAATGACAACAAAAGGAATGAATCATATTTTGATAGAAAGAATCAATCATCTACATTTTAAAGGTTTAGTGAAGTTAACTAAATAGGAACCGCATCAGTCCCGCAAACAAGAATGTCACTCAATCACAACTTTAATAACAAAGAGCGTCACATTCAAACTACGGTGACATCATGAACGGTGATAAAAACAATAAAATCCAACCTCCAAAATGCTTGGTTTCTCCTCACTCTGCTGTGGCTCAGAAACGCCCCAGACAGACTGAAGCGGGGCAGTGGTGGAATAGTAGTCGTCGTCGTCGTCATCAACATCGGCCCAAGATTTCGCATTCAGTGGAGTGGGAGCCCAGAACACCTGAGGGTCATGTTCCTTAGATTGAACCTGAGATTTAGACGACCCTTTGCTCTTGTGCTCCTTATCGGATTTCTTCTTCTTTTTAAGAGTATCGAGTGCAGCAAAGACGTTTGTGTTTTTTATCATCAACGAACCTTCGTCTCTCCTGCTTCCGCCTCCCACCATTTGTCTATATAGACAGATCAACCACAAGCACACTGATGAAAAATTGCCCAAAATAGTAAGAGATACGTATAACTCTTGAAAATAGGAGGTCCAGAGTTCAAACTTATCGCGGTAATCTCCAGAGTCGTCGTTGGAGATGGGGGAAAAAAATTCCTGAAAGTAATGTATTTTGCCGAAATAAGATCAAACAACCAAATCGGAAATGCTAATATGCTATGAAAATCTGAAAAGCTTCTTTAGCACTAAAAATAATGCCAATTCTTTTTATTAAGGGCTCTTATAGATCTGATATTCAGCGACAGGTAATATTCCCGATAGAAACTAATTCGGATCAGGGCTACGGCTGACAAATTCAGAGGGATGCGCGGAACAAGTTGGAGATGCAAGATAGGTTCAATTATCTCTTATAACGGTGGCGACTGAAGAGAATGAGTGAGCCACAGGCGACGGAGCAACGGTGCTAGGCCTTCCGTTTCTGAGAACTAGGGTTATAATGGACGATGACAAAGAACACACGGAAGAAAGGTTATATAGAAGAGGTCAGGGATTTTTTTCAAAAAAAGAAAAATTGGGAGGCTAAATATAACCCAGTGGATGTAAATTTTCTTTCTTTCTTTCTTTCTTTTTTTTTATTTTTAACATTTATCAACCCTCTTTCGATTTTGGTCCAAAAAAATGAAAAACTCTTTCCCTGACCTCCCCAGACTGAATTTGACGGGCTTGTGGGCCAAAAAACAGCCTCTTTCACGCATCTCCCTAGGCTGAATTTAGCGCGGTTAATTCAGGTTTGTTTTTTGGCCGAAGCTTAATTCAGTTAAACATTTTAAAAGTTTTATTTAACATTTATATGGTAATTTCGGCTCTTCAGCCTTAAAAAATTTATTTTTCATATTAATTTTTTTGCCAACGTATTTTTCATATTAATTATGATTATTAGATATATTACTAATATATTCCACAAAGCCTGCAGAATAAGTCGATTACCATTTGTAAATGTTATGACTTGTCAGGATGTTTATATTTTATATTAATTATGTATATTAATTTATTTTTTTGCCAATAATCATGCATATTTAATCATTAATTAACTAATTAATAAATTACAAATGCATAAAAGGTAATTCGACATAGAATTTCTTATAATAATATAAAAACTGCACCTTGTTTGGTTTCTATCAAATTCAAATACATGAATTGTAGGGGGGAGGGGAATTCAAATGCATGAAAATCACTATAATTTCTCTAAAATTACATATTATCTGAAAAAAGTTCTCCTCTGCCATATATCCCGTTAATTGAGTGAAAGTATTGCATAAACAAGAATGCAATCCAAGACTAGTAGAAATCTAGGCCCCATAGCCAGGATAAAGTCTCGAGCAATGTTTGATATTGCAATTTGATTTGATGTTACGAAAAAGAGTTGATTTATTAAGTAAACTTTGATCCTAGTGAGTTTACAGGAACCAACTCACTTAAATTTTCTTGTATAAAAAAAAAATGATTTGATGTTACTGTCATCCTTCATCTCTGTTTCTCTTCTCGAAAAAACCGTCAGAGTTTGTTAGATTGTAAGCTCACTTGATGGCTCAAACTTGATTTAAATAGAGAGGATATAAGAGCTAACGTTTGAGTCCGCCACCAATCAAGATCACTATTTTTTTTTTTTAATATAAAGGTAAGAGTAAGGCGAGAAGACAAGAAGCAAGGCTGAGAGAAAGATTAGTCTCCTAGGTCCTAGTGAAGCATCTCTCCTAGTGCTCCAGGATGGAAGACTTGCAGTCCAGTCGTGTCTCGGAGTGCTTGTTTCGCCCGGGTGTCTGCCGTCTACTATTTCCAGATCAACCTGCCATGCCCTTCCAAACATATGCTGAACTTCAGCTATGACGCGCCGGTCAGATTGGGACTCCGGATTGTCGCTCCGAATTGTGTTGATTGCTTTGACAGAATCATTCCTCAGAACAAGTTTCCTTGTGCCACTGTCCCAAGCTCGTTTTAACCCCCACCAAGCACGCCTATATTTCAGCAGCAAGGGCGCTTCCCCCTTGAAGTCTTTGTAGCTACTAATGCAATCCCGAACCAACTGAGATGCATAATATACCTTGCTGATGTTAATAGCAGCTTCACAATACTAATTGAGATGATTCTGTAGGATGCTTTCACTGGATCGCAAAATTTACATTCTCCGTAGCCGGAATCGAGTCAAGAAATGCAAACGCAAGCAAATAGGTACAGAATCGGCCATTCCATCATCTTACAATTTTCCATATTACCAAAAACAAAACAAAACTGTCTTACAACTCATAATTAGCTAACCCATGAGCAATTCATAGCTTATTTATGTTACACATATTCTTATATACGTTGCACAACCTTCGCACCTTCCAATAAGATGAACACTGAATTGAACCAAATTACCAGTGCTAAAGATATAGAAGTCTCAAATTTAGCCACAGAAAATCCATCCCTCAATTAACTTCTCTTGTATTTAACTCATAATTATTAACCACTTCTATAATCAGTTTGTTTTTTCCCATGTTTCCAGGTGTGGGTACGAATATTGCCAATAAACTTTATCAATAAAATAATTACAAAATCGCAAATGAACACAGATTATGCGCAATTCTTCTACTTGGTAACCTTGTTACATAAATCAATACATACAGGCATCAAATTTCACAGATCCGGGGGGGGGGGGGGATTAAAACTCTGCAGGCATGGATGTAAATATCAAGGAAGAAATATTAATGAAATGCAGAAGACTCATCACCAATAAGAAGGTCGTCGCCTGTGTCTTCATTTTCTCTTGTATCTTTAGGATGACTATGCCACAAAAAATAGGAAAACCATGAGAAAAAATATTAATACAAAGAATATCTTGATCATCAGCCACCTATTAGAAGATATACTGTTCAGATATTTTAGCAAAGCCCCCTGTGCCCCTTCTACATTTGCCAACGTATCGTCCATGTTCTCATCAATCCTGTAATTAAGGACCTTAAACCCTTAGTCTAAATACAAATGCCAGATTTAAAATAAACGAATAAATAAATCATGCAAACGATAACAAATTCAAACGGCTAGCAATCAAATAAAAGAACACATATGCAACCATCGATAGTCAGTCAAAAGAAAAATGACAGTAGGATAGGATTTCCCCCTTTTAGGAATCATGCGCATCAATATCATGAAGGTTTACAGGAGATAAAACAGCTGCGATATCGCTGCCTTCTCAAGATTGTCGTCAGGGTTCGATCAAACAAATGGGAAAAAATTGACAAAATAATGCAGTCAACAAATTCCCAAGAACTAATTAATTGGGATAAAATTATTAGTTAGAAGTGATTTGAAATTTTGAAGGTTAAAATGGAAGATCAAACCGTTCCACAAGCAATAAAGTTCATATATTTAGGATCAATTATACAAAAAGATGGTAAAATTGATGGAAATGTTAATCATATAATTCAAACTAGGTGGTTTAAGGGGAGAAGGGCTATCGGAGTTATTTGTGATCAAAAAGTGGCTAATAAGATAAAAGAGAGGTTTTATCACATTGTTATAAGACCAATAATACTAATGGTAGTGAATGTTGACCTTTGAAAGGATGACATGATAAAATGGGCGTGGCCGAGACAAAAATGTTGAGATGAATGTGTAATCATACAATACAAGAAAAGATTCATAATGAGCATATATGGGAAAGCGTTGTAGCATTTATTGAAGAAAAATGATAGAAAGTTGTTTGAGGTGGTTCGAACACGTTCAATGTACCAATGAGAAGAGTAGATCAAGCAGTATGTTGAGAACAGCCCATGGATCTCTAGTTCAATTACCAAGCAAAGTTGAAGCAATTAGCCATTAGTAAATATAATTAAAATGAAAATAGTTAAGTTGTATATTTTGTTTTGATAAGTTAATATATAGATATAAGGTGGTATTAAAAAATTACTACGATAAGCTATAGACTAATTAAATATACACTAAAAACCCCCCGGGGGACCTGCCCAATCTGGTCAAACTAACATGATCAACACTTCAACAACAAAACAAAAACAGTCTCATAATAGAACCAGACCAGTTCCCTGATCAGTACCAGCCAAGACACTCCGGTCCCCTGAACTCTTCCAGCAGTCATATGCGAGTTAGAGTTGCCTATAGTGATTTCACATATCACTTGTTTAAACTTTCCCATCCAATCGTAGGATACGTATGAAGTAAGTCCCTTGGAATTGCAACAGTAATGAGATTTTAAGAATACCTTCCATTTTCTTGGTACTAAAACAAATATTACTTAAAAGTTACCAACGGTTTACTAAGAAATTCGTAAAACAAGACATTCATACAGCAAGATAAAGGACCTAATAATCAATACGCACTAAGCTGTAAAATTTCAATTATCTCTCTCAGCAACTACATTATTAAGCTATACTTCTCTCAAAGCCCAGAAATTTACAAAGACGCCAAGGCAATCTACATACAATGCAGCTTGCATCCAAGTTCACTTAATAGGGCTTAGCCTCATTCCCTAATGCGAATAATTACTTAATATTCAAGTGACATTAAACATTATAGTATCCCAGTTTGCATATCATACAGGAAAATAAAGAGATTAAAAAAAAAAAAAGCAGATATTTATACAGCGCACTAGTGAGGTGAGTAAAAACCTGATGGCAATCTCCCCTTGCTGGGAGACAAGTGTAGCCAATTGATTAAAAATGCTGCTCAACTCATGAATAGTGGACTCAACATTCTGAAGAGCTTCGGCTCTGCTCTGCATATATGTGTCCTGCAATGGAACCATTTGTTGCTGCTGCTGCTGCTGCACCAGCAACGGTTGACTCTCCCCATCCACTTGCTTCCTGTGATTTTTTTCAAGAAAATAATATTAATAACAGGCTGATCTGAGAGCATGCCAATGAACAAGCCAATTTGTGCATTTCCATTAGATCTGAGATGTCCCAAAAAAATTGCAATGGAAAAACATAGCAATTCAATATTCTTACTCAAATGCATAGCCGAAAGCTAACAAAGAAAACATACAGACGTATTTGTAACTACAGCCAATCAATAATCAATAAATAGGCGTAACTTACTTTGGAAACAACTGAGATGTAGATGCTGACCCACTGGCCCATGGGGGTGCAGGGGCATTGGCAGCTGACTTTGCAGCCAAGGGACGTTGACGAACAAAAGGATTTGCAGCTTCCTTAGAAGCAGTGGAAGAAAACAACTGTCTTCTATTCTCATGTACCTTCAAGTTCTTCATAATACAGTAAGACTAAATCATTAGTCAAAGCAGCGAAGATGTAAAATGCGAATAAGTTCAAAAAAGCACCAAAATAAAATAAAATAACATTAAAATAAAAACACCACTTTTTTCCGATTGACACACCTAAGTGCATCAATATCATAACATACCTCTGTTCGCATGGTAAGGACTTCTTTAAACTCTTTTGTGGTACTCATCAATCGGGTTTTAAGGTCATCCACCACTGTGGTTGAATGACTAGTTGTGTCACTAGAAATATTTCCGCTGTCATTTCTAGCGTTGCTGATTAGCTGCAGTTCCACAACGGCAGAGTTCAATGCAGTGATATCTTGCTTAATAACTGCTGTGAGCTCCTGGATTTCCATGGTGGGGTCATCGAAAACCGACGTCCTTTTTGCCACTACAAATTAAAGTGAATGCAAAATAAGTCGTCATCTTCTGCACGCTATTCTCAAAAATTGCTTGAAAGAGCATTCAAACTGACATTCTTCCCCTAAACTAACTAAAAATGTTCACACTCCTTTTCTTTTACGGTGGGGAAATTAACAAAACAATAATGATCACCCAGCACAAACACAAATCTGAAAATATATTATGACAGTTTATTTATCGATTCAATTCGTTATACATTGAGCACGAGGACCCAGTCCATGTGTCGGCCTGCGGCCCATGTAGATGAAAAAATGCATGAAGGTATAAACAGCTTACAATAAACATTTCCCTGGAAACTGAAATCAATTACTTACACTTGGCCAGCTTAGCAAGTTTCTGTGATGTCTGATGTATTCCATAACCAATCTTGGAAGCCCTCCTATTGAATTCTGACTGAATTGCTATCGCTGACCGCTGTTCCTCCGATCTTGAACTACTGCTTGGCCCGTTTGATCCTGATCCGAACGACACTGATTTCTTTAGCCTCTCTGCTATACTCTGAAACTCCTGTGTCCGATCCCTAAACGATGATTGCGCCGATTTGACAGGCATTTTCCTAGCCCACCGTAGAAACCGGAAATTGAAAGAAGCAGATGCAATTACCAATTGACTCTCAGAGATCCGCAGACCCAGCACCGTCAAACCAAGTTTATTCAGGCAGGGATCGAGGAATAACGATCAAAGCGAACCCTAGATCTGATCTAAAAGTGCCAAGAATACAGCAGCAACTGCAAATTTGAATTCGGCTGATGCTCAAAGCCAAATTGAAAGCAGATGACAGAAAGATCGAAGAAGGAGCGCCTTGCAACGAATCTGACGGGATATGTTATTCATCCGGCGCCAAGAAGAGAAAAAAGGGAATGGTTCTACCCGCGCACCGTTCTTGGAATTGGGCTTCGCCTTAAATTGCAATTAAGCTCATAGTGCCGTCGCCACGTACTGACGTCGTTATTTTATTTTCATATTTATTTATTATTTATGTACTTTTTAGATTGATAGATTGATGTTACTTTTTTTTTTTGGAAAATTACACTCAGTTTTTACATGAGATAATTAATTTAGAAAAAATTTCTAAAAATTTCGAAATGATTTCTAAATCTCCAAGAACCTATGTGTAATAAATTATAATTGTAAAATTACTTATTTACTCCCATTAATTTTATTGCAGCAATTTATTTACAATCTCAGCGGTGGCTGTTGACAACCCGAAGAGAAATGCTTGACGACCTTGACAGTGCTCTTGACAACTCACTCTGTGAGATACCAGGAGCAGTGCCGAGGTTGTTAAGTATTTCTCCTCGAGTTGTCAACAGCCAACACTGAGGTTGTAAATAAATTGCATTGGGTTCAAATTAATAGGAGGTAATAGGTAATTTCATAATTACAATTTATTACACACAGGTCCTTAGGGATTTAGGAATCATTTCGGGATTTTCAGAGACTTTTTCTGAATTAATTATCTTCTATGAGACCTGAGTGTAATTTTTCCTTTTTTTTGTGTGAATTGTGGATTTTTTTTTTGGCCTGCCTTCAAAAATTAAAAAAATAAATTACATTGTCATGTTCCCCCCTTACATCACAAATTGATACGAGTAATTCAATTCAATAAATCGATTAAATATGGGAAACACTAAAGTGAATGTTCGGTTTCCCTTTGCTTTTGGTCAGAAAATGTTTGGTTTTCCTGAAAGTATTTTATCACATATTGAGGTAAAAAAAGTTTTATATTTTTATTTTGTATGTGGTGAAATTATTTTTAAAATTTTAATTTGATTTTTATCTAAACACTCCAAAATAAAAAAGCAGAATAAACATAATACTAAAAAGCAATGAAAAAAAAACCGGACCGGACCGGCCGGTTCGACCGGAAAACCGGTGAACCGGTCTCTGGTCCGGTCTGGTTTAGATCCTAAACCGGTCAATGATCAGACCGGTATAAAACCGGTCTAACCGTTAAAAAACCGGGAAAACCGGGTAACCCGGGTTACCGGTTTAATTTTTTTTTAACCTTCCCCTTTCGAGAACCGCGTCGTTTTATTTATTTAGAAAGAAAAAAAAAATTAAAATAGCAACGGGCAGCCTCTCGTAATCCTCCGATAGTTCATTTCTTCTCTTTCCCTCCCCCAAATCTGAAATCAAAAATCCCTAGCCTCTCATCTTCAATCCTCAATCTTCACCGCGTCGCGCCGTCGCCCAAATCACTGAATTGCTAGCCATGGTTTTCTTCTCTGTCATGGTAGCGGGCTGCCCAAATCCTTCAATCGCTGTTCTATTTTTCTCTTCTTCGATCTCGTCGCACGTCGCCTTGTTCTTCAAGGTCGCAGATTTGCAGTTCTTCTTTTTTTTTTGCTTCTATGCTTTTGTTTTCATTCAGTTAAATATGCTCTGGGTCGCTGGAATTACTATTATGTAGGATCTGAAAAACTTTGAGTATAATAGAATCAAAAGGCATTCACACTTAGAGTGCAGCGTGGGATCTAAAACACCAAATGTAGCTCAATCGATTACTGGAAGTTGTGGGTCTTTGCTGTGTTCTTTTCTTTTCTTTTTTCTTTTTTCTTTTTTTTTGCAATCACAAGTCTCTACCTAATCAGAATTACCCATATATTCAATACATCGATACTCTATATTTAAGTTCTTAGATTTTTATAATTGAAGATAACTAAAGGTAAAATTTTCATGAATTAATCTGAGATAATATTTTATTTATTTGTGTCGGTTGAGCTGTATGCCTTCCTTCATAAATGTTAAACCAATTTCTTGAATCACAAGGTCTATAGATGATGGCCAGAAAATTCGAAAAGCTTTCTAAAATAGAATAAATTATTTCATCAAATAAATAATTAATCAATAGAAGCTTCCCTGCTTGGAATTAATTAGATCCCAAAGCTTCTTGGATTCTATTTATTAATGTTAATTTGGTACAATTAAACATTTAAATTATTTCTGTAGTTTTTTGTATTTTATTGAGTGATTATTATTTATGAATGTTATTTTATTTTATTATTGCCAATTAAATTGTATTATTTTAATATGACCGGTCCGACCCCGGTCCGACCCCGGTCCGACCATTAACCCTTAACCCACTGTCTCGACCGGTTCAATATCCGGTCCGGTTTTTTGTTCCTTGCTAAAAAGTGAAAATACAGTTATTTCACATCAAGTTCAATATTAGACTCATAATCGGAGTAAAAATTCATGTGCGACCATTCAAATCGAGGACGGTTGAGGGGAAAAAACAAATTATTCACAAGTTCCAGGTGAAAACAAAAGATTCGCCCGAATTGAACTGTGTTATCTGTTTGGAAAAAAAACGTAGAGGAGGTGAATTTTATAATAATGCAAAAAGTGGTGATATACAGACAAAAGCTAAATAAAATCTGTTTCTGATTTTCTTATTTAAACATGGACGACGTAAATTTTGATGATAAAAAAAGTGTTTGGATAAAAATAAGCTCATACAAAATAAACATGTAAGAAAAATTTTATTATGATTTGTGTGAAAGTATTTTTTTTAAAAAATATTTTTTGCGGCTAATTTCAAACATCCTTGAACTGTGATGAATTGGGGAAAAGGGATTTTTCTTTTACATTTGCAAGAGATTGGCATCAATATGTTGTTTTTTTATTAAAATTATCTCAATGCAACTTCAAAATTATCTTTCACAATTTGTAATTAATGTGATCGTGTTTTAATTTTTAATTAAACATTCCTTCCTAGTGGACCCTTTCTCCCAATTTTTTTTTTTTTAAATTCATGGGACACTTTTCTTTAATTCTATATACTTTGCAAATGTTATGTATATGGATACCCTAATATACATTTTTTTTACCAGTAAAGTTTTTACTATGATATTTTTTCCTTGATCTTATTCTCTCTTTTTTCATGTGAAGGTAACTACTGACCAATAAACTTCTTCACGTCTTCCTCATGCGTTCGTGAAGAACTCGTTGCTTTCAGCAGACCGCAAAGGACGCAACCGTTACTCTAATTAGTTTTTCCCCCTCCCTCGAAATTAAACCCCAGAGATCATTTGAATTTGAAAACTGTCAAATATTAATCACAATTCTAAATATAAAAACTAGTTGATTAATTTAAATAGATTCAGAAAATAAATTTAGTTAGTTAGTTATAATAGACAGGTATTGTATTTCTTAAAATATCTTTATTAATCAAATAGAACTACTATTATTATAAAAACTATCTTAAGAAAGATAAATAAATACGAGAAACAAAATAACTTAGAGTCTTATATTTAAAATAAAAATAAAAATCAAATAAAATATTATATTAAAAACCTGAGATATTAGTAGCAAGACATAATGACTAAAATGTAATTTTACAACACCGATGCAATTACAATGTTGTCGTTTGAAAAAAAAAGAAATCTCAACTCAGCCCAGTTGTCAGAGCTCAAACTTTTTGAGATTTTTTCCAGCATTTATAATGTAATTCACAGCTCTTTTATGAGACTTATGATTTTAATGATGCCATTATTTATTCCATGTCTTCCAATTTTTTAAATTGAGATTTTTTTTAATATTTTTAACATGATTGTTGATTTTTATAATAATATTTACAATTTTATCAATGTTATTAATTATATTATTAAATTTTCAATACATATTTTAATCTAATTAAATAAATACATATTAAATATAAGACTTATTTTATAGTTATTGTAAAATAAATTTTACCTTTAAAACCGGAAAAATACACAATGTTATAATTGTTGAAAAATGGGTGAGTTAGAGATGTCAAAGTTGATCAAATTAATAAAATTATGAATATAGTATTGTAAGAGTTACCACTTATTTTTTAAGCGTCAGAACAAAATTTCAATTTAAAAATTTTAAAAACATATTATGAATAATATTAATAAAATTACGATAGTGGTTGGTTATTACACTTTAAGTTGTTAACGATCTTTTTTTTAATTGTTAATATATAGAAGAGAAAAAGGTAAGAGCAAGTAGTAATTAAACAAGTGAAATATCTTGTAATGAGGTTCTTGACTACATATTAATTTGATAATTTTAATAGCTTTTTTATATTCAATTTTCTTAGGTAGGATTTTATTACAATTTTTTTTGACATTTTGGAGTTATTGAAATGAGTTAATATAATTTTTGAGTTCTCAAATTTGATCTTATTTCTGTCTTGATATCTGAAATTTTAATAACAGGTTTTAGTTTATTAAATTGATTTTTATTTAAAATATTAATTCTTATAATTTAATAAATACTCGAACCTTTTGTGAATTAAAATCAAAACAAAAGTACATTTAAGAAGCCAAATATTATATTTTTTCTTTGAAATTCAACTATATTAACCCTATGAAATTCCATTATCATTTTTTTAAAATCTAACAAAAGTTATTCCGACACGTAATAAAACCCTCAAGAAATTTCGTATATGCAACTATTAATTATTTCCGTTTAATATTTTTGTTGGCTATTTTCGATTTAAATCTTTTCTAGAGAAATTAGAAGAAACCCTAGACGGAGACAATTGTGATTTTTTTGGTCGGAAAACAATAGCGAAATCGAATTATGTGGAAAACTTGTTCCCAAATCGGGATTTTGTTAGGGTTTCAAATGGCGTAGATGAGACTCGTGCATTCATCCATGATTCGTGTTCGTGATCTCCATGATCTGTTGGATGAATCGAATGTTTCTTGGTACATCATTTGAGGTAAGTATGCGAAGTGCTCTCATTTCGTGGTTAATTTTTCTGGCATTATGAAATGAAATTCGCCCAGTACCCAGGAGATTGGCGTGATCTTAGTTACTGGGCTAGTCGAGGAATGATTTATTTTCGTCGGTTTGGTGTAACAGATCTGAAGAACGTGAAAAGGCATGTGTGATGGAATGTGAAATTTGGGAGATTTTTGTCTGGGTGTCCCTTCTGTGGATTGTTGATGGAAAATAGATCAGAGAATTCCTATGGGAGTCTGATCCCCAAAAAATCGAGAACTTTGGATCTTAAAAGTTTGTATAAATCAAAAGAGACGAAGGAGACTCTAAACAAGAACTTAAAGAGGAAGGGTATTACTCCCAGGGTTGATGATGAGAAGAGGAACGAGAAGAAGAAGTCTAGGAAGGAAGTGTCTTTAAGGAGCTTAGAAAATGCTGACAGTGGGGCCAAAAAGATTGTTGATGAACAACGTCAAGTAGAGCAAAGTTCAGGTAAACAGGATTTGCGTGAACTGAAGTTCGGGCTGAGTCAGAGATTGTGTGACACTAGTGATTTAAATAGAGTTTCACTTAGTCTAGATGATGCTGCCGTTCATATTCCAAAGCGAAAAAGGGGTTTTGTGGGGAGGAAGAAATTTGCAGTTAGTCAAGGACCGATTCTGGTAGGGCAGAATGACTGTAAAAGTGGTCATGGTGATCTGATGACTAATCTAAGTGCTGATGACTTGGATGGGAGGACCGAATCACCTCCAAACAGAAAGAGGAATTTTGATGAATCTAAGGAAAACAGGAGTAGTGATTTGAATTTAGTTAAGAATTTCAAGGAGAACGAAGACCCTGCCTGTTGTTCTGTTGTAAATAATGGTGATGATTCTTTGAAGAGGTCAAGGAGGGAGCAAGACGTTTTAATTCTCGATAATACGTGCCTTTCCAAGCAGGCTGATGCTTCAGTCAATATTAGTAAAATATCTGATGAACTACAGGAAGATGAGGAGGAGAATCTCGAGGAGAATGCAGCAAGGATGCTATCTTCAAGATTTGATCCCAGTTGTACAGGGTTTTCCTCTGGTAGCAAGTCTTCCACTTTACCAGCAGCAAATGGTTTACCCTTTTCGCTATCTTCTGATCAAAATCATGTTTTTCATGAGGTGAAGTCTTTGTCAGATGCTGAATTGGGATCTGCTGATACTGCTTCTAGGGTCTTGAGGCCAAGGAATCAACATAAAGAAAAAGGTAACTCTAGGAAGAGGCGCCATTTTTATGAAATTTTCTTGGGTGATTTGGATGCATATTGGGTATTGAACCGGAGAATTAAGGTTTTTTGGCCTCTAGATCAAAGCTGGTATGATGGACTTATCAATGACTATGACAAAGAAAAAATGCTTCACCATATCAAATATGATGATCGTGATGAAGAATGGATTGATCTTCAAACTGAAAGGTTCAAACTCCTGTTACTTCCCAGTGAAGTGCCAAGAAAGGTTGTGGGAAAAAGAGCTGTAATGAGAAGCAAAAGATCTGACGAGCAAAGGAGAAGCAAGCCTAGACAAGAAAGACGAAGAGAACTGACTACAAAGAATGACAACTGTGATGGAAACTGTATGGATTCTGAGCCTATAATTTCTTGGCTGGCTCGAACTTCTCGTCGGGTTAAATCCTCTTTCCATGGCATGAAGAAACAGAAAAATTCTGCTACAGTTTTGAATTCAGCCCCAACCTTGTATGAGGAACCTGCTGGAGTACAGGGATGTTCAGAGAAGAGTTTCTGGGAAGGTGGTGGAAGTAACCTTCCCAGCGATTCCGTATTGCAAGATAAATTAGGTAATAGCTATAGTGAGAATTCCTCATTGCCTAGGGCTGCTTGCCCTAAAGATGGCAAGACACCTATTGTATACTTTAGAAGGCGATTTCGCAGGTCCCCTCCTATGTGTCCTGTGTCTGAAGAGAAAAAAGTTACAGTAATCGCACCTGGTTCCAGTTACTTTAACCCTGTTTTTGGCCGGGCTGGTGAAGTAAAAGAAGCAGATGATAGGAGCTTTGAGATTGATGGGCCTTTGCAGTTCACTTACAGTGCAGGGGTATTGAAAATATGTTTTCTTGACACACAGTCAGCAGCATTCAAATTTGACTTTAACTTTCCAGTGCATTTGGTGATAAACAGCTCATTTGAATGGCAAAATTTGCAGTTACTTCATACTGCAGTGCTGCTGCAGCATGGTACTCTGATGGTGAAGTGGCCAAGAGTTCATCTGGAGATGCTTTTTGTGGATAATGTGGTTGGGTTGAGATTTCTGTTATTTGAAGGTTGCTTGAAGATGGCCGCATCCTTTGTCTTTCTGGTCCTTAGGGTATTTCATCAACCTGCTGACCAAGGGATGTATTTGGACTTGCAGTTGCCAGTTACATCTATAAGATTCAAGTTTTCATGTTTATACGACTTAAAGAAGCAGCTTGTGTTTGCATTTTATAACTTCTCCAGAGTGAAGAATTCAAATGGATGTACCTAGATTCTAAACTCAAGAGTCGTTGTCTGCTCAGTAAGCAGCTCCATATCTCCGAATGCACATTTGATAATGTCCAGGCCCTTCAAAATGGATCAAGCCGGTTCTCTATTACTTCTACTGGCAAGTCATCCTCATTCAAGGTACCTCCTTGTACTGTGCCCCTCCTTCGTTAAGAATTTAACCAGAATAGCTATCTACATATTTGTTGTATGTTTGTATTTAATTTTAGAAAAATGAATAATGCAACTTTATCTCTATCTCTGTTTAAATTTTCTTGAAATTGCATCAAGGCTTTTATAGGTCAATGTTAATTGACTCTTGTTGGATATTTCATTATCCTTCTTGGTGCTGGATTAACTTTTATAACTTGTGCTACAGGTCATGCAGAAGAGAACTAGGCAAGGAATTAATATGATGGGTATTTCTAAAGAGTCCACCAAAGTCCGTGCTAATCACTGTTTTGATTCTGCCAATCAGAAGCTTCCTCCATTTGCTCTTTCTTTTGCTGCTGCGCCTACATTTTTTATTAGTTTGCACCTTAAGCTGCTGATGGAGCGATCTGTAGCTCATCTAAGCTTTTGTGATCACATGCCACTTGCTGATCAAGAAAGCTCTGGTCTCATGACGGATGGCTGCTGTGGCCTTGATGATTACTCTAACGGGAATTCCAAAATTAATCTGAAGCAAAACATGATGGTTTGGTCAAAAGATGACTCTTTTGTTGAACCTGAGTTGGTAATTGGTTCTTCTGTTTGCTGTGATGGAGTTCTTCCTCAAAGCGGTCAGAATATTGCTCTTAATAGTGCTGGAACTTCTAGTTCTTATGGTTCTGAGAGGCTTAGTACTATTCAGTTATCAGAGGAGAAATCCCATTATTTTAGGTCAGAACATTGCCCTTTACCCTCCAGTTCTTTGATTGGTGAGGATAAGGTTGGAGATTTGTCCCTTTCTTTTGCGGGTGATCTCAGTATCCAATTACCTTCAGCTGACCGTATTGATAAATCTATGGAGTGTGACTTGCATGATGCTCAGCACTCTTCTGATTTGTCTTGGAATATAAATGGAGGTTTCATTCCAAGCCCTAATCCAACTGCACCCAGAAGTTCTTGGCACAGGAACAGAAATAGCTCTTCATCATTTGGGTTATCATCTCATGGGTGGTCAGACGGAAAGGCTGACACTCTTCACAATGGTTTTAGTAATGGACCCAAGAAGCCTCGAACACAAGTGTCATATTCTTTGCCTTTTCATGGGTATGATTGTAGTTCAAGGGACAAAAGCCATAATCAGAAAGGGTTTCCTCACAAACGAATTAGAAAAGCAAATGAGAGAAAGTCATCTGATGTTGCTGGAAGCATTGAAAAGAATTTTGATTCTTTATATTGTGATGCAAATGTGCTGATTACCCTTGGTGAGAAGGGTTGGAGAGAATCTGGTGCGCAGGTTGTGTTAGAGCTTTTTGATCATAATGAGTGGAAACTTTCTGTAAAACTTTCTGGGATTACAAGGTATTCATATAAAGCCCATCAGTTTTTTCAGCCTGGATCAACAAATCGTTACACACATGCTATGATGTGGAAAGGAGGTAAGAATTGGGTACTGGAATTTACTGAGAGGAGTCAGTGGGCTCTCTTCAAGGAGATGCATCAGGAATGCTATAATCGGAACATACGTGCTGCTTCAGTAAAAAATATACCTATTCCTGGTGTTCGCTTCTTAAAAGAGAATGACAACAATGGAACTGAAGTTGCATTTGTTCGTAGTTCTAGGTATTTCCATCAGGTTGAAACAGATGTTGAGATGGCTTTGGATCCATTACGTGTCTTGTATGACATGGATAGTGAGGATGAGAAGTGGTTTTTTGACATTCGAAATTCTAAAAAAGACAACAGTGAATGTGAAGGTATATCTGAAGAAATTTTTGAGAAGACAATGGACATGTTTGAAAAGGCTGCATATGCCCAACAACGTGTTGAGTTTTCTACAAATGAAATAGAGGAGCTCATACCTGATATTAGGCCCTTGTATGTTGTCCATACTATCTATGAGCATTGGCAGCAGAGAAGAAAGAAGAAGGGAATGGCTTTGATTCGACATTTCCAGGTACTCTCTAAACTATCCTTATTAATCAGGCACTGGCATTTTATTTTAAATTTTAAGAATATCCCACATAATGTGATATGCTTTGCTTGTAAAGATGAATAGGGAATGGAAGTCGGAGGAGAGAGATGAAACAGAAGTTGTCATTATGTGCTTGATCAATACTTAGCTTTGTTACTTAACTCATTTATGTTTTGCCCCCTTTCAAAGCTAAGGCTAAACTGTTCAAGCTATTGCTGAGTGTAGCATCTTAATAGATGGTCTTTTTTAAGCCTTTTTTAAAGGACAGTAGATTTTATAAGTTGTTGTGGATTCCATGTGAAAGTATCTAGATTATTGGGCGCTTATTGATGGTTATGTGATTGTTTAAAACTATCTTTTTAAATGTGATTTCCAGTCTTAATCAACTGTAGGGTGTTCTTGAAACTCATTGCTGCTTTGCCATTTATGTTTTGGGGACAAGGAACTTATTCCTATCCTCCAGCACAAACGCAGGCATGATGCAAAATTCGCTAATCTCTTGAAAATCTGGGGTAGTGGAAATGACTTATCCTTTAGTTCTGGCAATTCTAACTTTATAAAATTAATATAAAAATGGGCATATTCACTATGAAGAATTATTTTCCCTAAAGCACAGTGTCAGGTGTGAAACACTCTTACACAACTTTCTTACACTGGAGTTTTAATAAACAAATAGATAGCAAATGATCAAAGTAACTAGGAAAAATTGGAAATAAAATATTTCTGTGATAAATGTTGGTTTTGTAGTGCATCATCATTTCTCCGTCATGACCTGCGTGGCAGATCTCTAAGGTCATGTTTGTTTGGATGAAGCCATTTTTAAAGGAAATGCAGAGGGGGAGGCTTTCGTGAATAGTGATTTTTCGGCTAGAAATATGCTTGCTAAATTTTCTGTCCCTTTTTCTGTTTTGCGTTGGAAGCTTGGTATGAAGCAACTAAAAGAAAGAAGGGAGTCAAAGTGACCAAATGACATGAATACCTTCCATTAAAATGCCCAAATTGAGTTTTCAAAATGATAGGGCATTATTTTGGTATAACTAGAAGGCTAACATTTTTAAGAGAAATGGCGTTTAGATTTTTATTAAATAATACTTATTTTTTAAACTTTAAACATTGAAATATTTTAGATTAAGAAGGGGCAATCAGTTGACATTTTTTGTTACAAATCAGATCAAAGTTAGCAATACGTTTTTTGTTTTTTGTTTTTTGGTTGGAAGAACCTTGTCTTAGCTAAAGTGAAGGAAGCTTGGTTCTCTTGTATGAGGGAGGCACCAGTTCTTTAGTAACTTAAATAATGGGTACCAAGCATATCAGGACAAGGAGTTCTCCATCCATCTCCCTCTCATGGCAGTTTTTCATACATACCAAACATGACCTAATAGACTGCTAGCATCTTAATGGGTATCTGGTTAGCTGGTATATGTGATTTCTGAGTTGTTTAGAGGTTTTGCCGCAAGAATTAATGTAAGTCCCATGGAAGAGTGCTTTCTCCATATTTCTGTTTGGGAAAGAGTTGTTTTTTGGCTTCGGGTTTTGCAAGTGGTTTCTTTAGGGGGCATGAGATTGGAATTATTTTATGCGCAGAATTTTTGGTAGGATTCCTTATCCTCTGCTGTTGTTCTGTTTTTTCTTGCATTGGTGAAACTCTTTGTTCTTAAGGTTCGTTTTACTCCTCTCAACTAAAATTTACAAACTCTATTTTACTTTTTTCTCTTATTCTATTCTCATGATCTGCATATTCAATTATTAATTTCTTGAAATATGAGATCATAATTACTATTATCCGTTCAGCCTCCTCTGTGGGAAAGGTATCAACAACAATTGAAAGAGTGGGAAGTAGCTATTACCAAGAACAATATACGTAGTCCTAATGGCTGCCTGGATAAAGCTGCAACTTTGGAGAAGCCACCTATGTTTGCTTTCTGTTTGAAACCAAGGGGCTTAGAAGTGATGAACAAGGGATTAAAACAGCGATCACAAAAGAAATTTTCAGTCTCTGGGCATACACACAACTTTTTAGCAGATCAAGATGGTTTTCATACCTTTGGTAAGTATTTGATGAAATTGCTTATATTTGTGTTGTGGTTAATGAATGTTGCTTTTTTGTAACATGTGACTGTTGATCTGTCAGGAAGAAGACAGAACGGCTTTGCATTTGGTGATGAAAAGTTTTCTTACCCAGGCTATAATTATGATTCTTTGGATGATTCTCCATTGCCTCAGACATCACCAAGGGTATTCTCACCAAGGGGAGCTAGCAGCATGGCATATTACACAACAAGCAGAAATGGATTTGATAGAAATAATGTCTCCAAATTTCACCATAGCAAGTCAAAGAAATCTGGGTCGTTTATGTATCATAATGATTCGCAAATGATGGCTTCTTTCAACCAGAGAATGTCAGGAAAGAGAAATGGGGTTCATAGGTGGAATATGGGTTATGACGACTTGCCAAGCAACAGGGAGTGCCTATTGGATGGGCCTTATAGCCATGAGACTGAACAACTGGATGGTTCAGATCTTGAGGAGTTTAGGTTGCATGACCCCTCTGGTGCGGCTCAGCATGCTCATCGCATGGCTAAATTAAAGAGAGAGAGGGCGCAAAGGTTGCTCCACCGAGCAGATCTTGCAGTTCACAAGGCCGTGATTGCTCTCATGACAGCTGAAGCTGTGAAGGCTTCTGAGTGCTTGAACAGTGATGGGTAGACCACTGAATGGACTCGTTCAATTTGTGGCAAAAGAGGCGAAGTGCTAGGCTCGGCATTGTTTTTGCTAGACATAGGTCTAGTTTTTACTTCAAGGGTGGTGGATATTCCCGTAGTGAACTTCAACCAGGAGTGCTGAGAGCAGTGAGGCAGATGTGATTTTGTTGCTCTAATACGAGTTTTTTCCCCCCAGCTTTAGATCTGCTCAGTTCGGTAGGACCGATGCACTGATCTGCTCGAGGCCATGGAAATTTGGCTGCCCACTTTTTGTACAGATTTTTTTTCGCTCCTCTTCCTGCTCCTCCCCCACCCTCCCGGGACGAAAACTGAGTTTCAAATGTTAATATGTGAAGAGAAATTGGTCGAATAATGATACAACCATCCCTCTGAATGGAAAATCAGTGTTTGTGATGGATTAGGTGATAGTAAGCTCATCATTCGTATAACAGCGTGTAGCATTAGTACGTTATCCACTAAACTCGGTCAGTCAATCTTCCACCTATTCATCTTGTGTGTGTGTGGGGGGACCCTGCCCATGATCTCGGAGCTGCGCATATGAAAAATCATTTGCATTTTGGCCAAAAAAAAAAAGAGCAAGAAAAATATTTGTATAGTTTCCTCTGTCCATACTCCTAAGCCTAATGTGCCGGGGTTCTTATATGATGAATTGGCAATGACTTGGTGTACGGTACTTTGTCGACCCAGTGCGTACGCAATTGCTGGTATGACGTTGCTGTTTAATGCTTCTATTTCAACCAAGGACTTGAGGCTCTAGTTCAGTGAATCCACGACAGCACGCTGGGGGGGGGGGGGGGGGAATTACTTGCTAAATCATAGCCTTCTATTTTCGTGAATAGTACCGAATTTTTTTAAATTAAAGTTAAAGAAAGAAAAGTATAACAAAGAAGACAATAAAAGAATCAATAAACGGGGAAAATGGAATCTAATGACTAATGGTGCTGTGGCAGTTTGTTATTTGGTTTATCACTTCATCTTTTGGAGCAAAATGCCAATGAATTTGCATCCAATAAAATTAATCTCGAAGAATATAATGATATTTGATTATTGATTATTTATTTTAATTCCAGTTTAATAGAAATCTAAGATTGAAACTCTACTGAGAAAAAGGAAAATCAAATGAACTCTAAACTGCCATTCTAGTTTTGAAAATATTGTTTTGAAATCCCGTTTAATTTCGAGAAAAACCTCCCAACAAACAAATAAGTAATAAAAATGGTATGTACAAATTTAACCATTTTCAACGAAGTAATAAGTTGAAAATCCACTAATAGATTATTGAATTAGAAAAACATGATGAGATTTCCCCTACATCTTTTTTAAAAAAAATCCCATAAAAGAAATGAGGCCTCCTGGCTCCTGCGCAGTTGAGCTCAACGGTAATTAAATTACGCGCTACCGTTATTGCCGGCAGCTTTCCCTCCATCCCCATTTCTCGAAAATCGTCGTTCCTACCTTTATCATTCACATTCCTTCCAATTCTATCCTCTTCTATCTTGTTTCTTCTCTTATAATGGCTGCGCAACTGGGTATTCATCGTCAATGAATGAGCAGGTTCGTTTTCCATTAGCTTTTTCCTTCTCTGGCTTTTTTAGTGAGAAAATTATCAATAAACATTGACAAAAACAAGGAAAAGAGGAAAAAATAATGGTTGTGTTTCTTAAGATTGGTGAATTTCCCCGCCTTTTCATATCCGGAGATAGAAGAACAGAATGTTCAGGAAAATTTGAATGAAAGATGTGGTTCAACCAATTCAATGCTCATGTCTTGGAGGGCCTTTGATGTACTTCTGCATGGCAACCTGCATGATATGTTTGTAGATTGCAAAATATAAATCCTCTCAACTCTCCGCATAAAAGAAAAGTCTCCTGACTCTCATATTATCCATTTAATACAGTTCTTTTTGTAATATGGCTACTTGATAGACGATAATAACTTCGAGCTGTCGAACCTAGAAAGATGGGATCTCGGATGAAAGAAGATGGGAAAATCGAAAGAGAAATTCGAAGTCTCTCGAAACTTCCTGAAAATCGGAGATGTATCAACTGCAATAGTTTGGTATGAACCTCTCTTGTTTATTTCTTTAAATTTTTGGGCAATTCTCTCGAAAACAGAATTTGATCTCTTTCATAATAAGACATTTCTTATCTGTACCTGGATTGACATGCATTTCTGAATCAGGGACCACAATATGTCTGCACAACCTTTTGGACATTCGTCTGCACAAATTGCAGCGGAATTCAGTGCGTATTAACAGTTTACCTGTCTGTTTTACATCTTTCAAATTGCTGACTAGGTGCATGAAATGCAGACGAGAGTTTAACCACCGAGTAAAATCAGTATCAATGGCTAAATTTTCTGCAGAAGAAGTCACTGCTCTTCAGGCAGGCGGCAATGAAGTGAGAATGATCATCTATTTTTCTTCCAAAACCATAAATCTACCACTTATTAACTTTGTAATAAAATCTAACTCCACTTACAGAAAGCAAAGCAGAAATATTTTAAAGACTGGGATCCTCATCGTCATTCTTATCCCGATACCAAGTAAAACTTGATTTGCTAGTCTTGCTCGTTGATTTTGTATAGCACTGCATGCATTGTCTGCGTCTGTTTTAATTCATGTGGTCGCTTTCAGTAACATACCAAGACTTCGCGATTTTATCAAGTCAGTCTACGTGGATAGAAGATTCACCGGTGAAAGGACCCAAGATAATCTTCCCAGAGTCAGATTGGTAAGTTCTGGACTTTATATATACACAAGAAAAACAGAGTCCTCTTCGGTCTGATACTCATGGCACTTCAAATTGTATTTAGACACCAATCAGTTTGACGTGTTTTGTGTCCTTGTCAATATGTGCTTCTTGGACAATGACAGATGACAGAAAAATATTTTATTTTATTCCACTCAGAATGACAAGGAGGATTCCTACAATATCAGGAAGCTCAGTTTTTCCCGAAGCGAACGTTATGAAGATAGAAATGATATGCGTAGTCCTAGTTCACGAAACGAGGACAGGAGTTTCAAGTATTATTATGAGGACAGAAGAAGTCCTATAGCCTCGAGGAATGGGAACCACAGAAGAAATCCTGTGAAAATCGAGGTTGTTGATGATAGGTTCCGAGACAATGAATCTAGAAGTCGCAGGTTTTCAAGCACAGAATCAAAGGAAACAGCGGTTTCACCTGAAGTACAAAAGCATGTGGACAGAGGGAAGGTGTGTTCATCTTTCTTTTGAGCTGTTACTATTGAAATCATTTTCCCTTGCTAATTGCTATTATCTCTTTCTTCTAGTTCTGATTTCTTGTAATACCTTTTCTTGTTTTGTATTCCGCCCGATTATTCCGTTGTACTTGCTGTTTCAACTCGAACTGAAGTCTCTGTTGAACCTCAATTTCAGAAGGGTGCACCTGCCGGTGGAGAGGGATCCGTTAAGGAGAATCCTGCTGAACAGGAAAACCCAGAAACCCAGACTTTGACTGTCGTCACATCACGGGTTTCTGATTCTGCAACTGCACCGGAAGCTCAGTCTACATCTCAATCAAATGATGGAAGTGACTGGGCACCGTTTGAAACTTCCCTTGCAAAGGAGGCTTCTCAAACCCCAAACACACATACCTCGAAGTGTTCTACAACAGAGACAGCAACTAAACCTTTAGATGCTATAGAATTTTTACTCTCTGAATTGTCTGGTCCGTTGTATGCAACAGCCAGTAGTTTGTCTGATGTTCGCACTGCTGATAATGATACTCCAACTGCAAGAGTAGAAGATATCTCCGTGGATGTGGATTTAGCACCGCCGACGTCAGCAGGCCAGATAACCCCACTTCCCAACAACATTGGTGTTTGCTCGGTTACATCAACCAGTGATTCTGATCTGACGCAACCCTCAATAGCTGGTAGCTCAGCGACACAACCAATGAGTCCGTCAGTCAGAGATGTTCCTTCGCTTAATCAGGTGAGATATTCCTTAAAACTTTCTATTATCTGATAAAATGTTTGAGTTTTCGCGTCCGACAGTATTGAGAAGAAGTTGCAAAAGCGAACGATATGAAAGCCTGCAAGCGTATGCATTCTTGCCTGTTTGCCAGTACATGGCTGCTAATTATCTACATTTTTGTTATTATATACAGCCAGAAGTTGATCCTAAAGCGCAGGACCTTTCAAACTCTCTTATGGAACTATCTCTTGAACCCGCATCAAAACCTGCTCAAGGCACCAGATCTGATGTCAGATCCCATCCTAGGATAACCCAAACCAAGTCTATTGGAAGAAAGGAACTTCCAGCGGTAACAAAATGATGTGTTGTTCTTGTGCGTTGAAAAAATAATAATAAAAAGAGCCTTAACGCATGAATGAATTCTCTGCAGAATCTCTTTACTACTAGCTACTTACCAGGCCCTGCACCGCAAGCAGGCTGGCAGAATTTTCAGCCTCATTGTATGGGATACGGCTTGCAGTATTATTCTAATGCAGCAGTATGTTAGGCAACTCATTGAGTTTATATGTATTCTCTATTGATCTTAAACTTTTAAACCTATAGTACAGAGCTAATACGATTCTACATTTACAGCCAGTCTCGGCATTTCCCACTGCAACAAAGTCCACGAACCCATTTGATGCAACTGAGGGGAGACCTCGAGTCCTTGCATCTGCAGTACGTACAATATGAAGACTGATTTTGTGTGTAGATCTGATCTGTCCTTGCTTCTCGTTTCGTTGCATGCTTTGAAACCTTTATGAGTCAAATGCTTGTTTTATTTCCCTTAATGAGATATGAACTGTCTTTTGCATACATAAAAGAAATTGAGGGATAAATAGTCCTGGAGCTGGCAGTTGTGAATATTTTTATACCATATAGAGCCAAACGTAATAATATCCAGCTAACTGTATACCAAGTATAGCATGGAATCAATCCACATCTCGTTTTATTTCTGCTTTGAGGGTGTACGGTGAGATTCTGCAGTTAGGATGTTGTTTCTTGCACTTTATTAGATAATCATATTTATCTTGGAGAAAGCACGAGCTATTTAATGCTGTAAATCTGTATTGAAGTTGGAATTCAAATACAAAATCATATTTTCAGGCGAAAGTTATTTAAATGTTATCATGTGGAGTTTTTATTCACATGCAAACCATAAGAGACATTTAGAAAGTTCTTTTAAAATCTTGTTCAATTGGTTTGTTTTGGAAGGATGCTTATCATCTGTTGTTGGTTCTGTTTCCTTTTCATTCCTTTCACGAAATTGTTCCATGACATTAAAAAAGAGGTTTGATATTGAGAGACTACTTCAATGATATGTCTTGCGTAAGTAAAAGGTCGCTGGTGTAACAACTGAATTTCTCAAAACAACTATCTTAACCCTCAAAGGTGGTATTTGTCCACAGTTTCCTACCATGGCAAATTTGCGTGGTGCACAAACTGCTATGCCAACTGGAGCAGGATTAGTGCGCGCTTCAAGCGTGGGGGCTTTAGGGTCGATGGTACCTCAATCCCCAAATTATGCATCTTCAGTGCCTCCGCAATCTCCCTTCACTCCTGGATTTCCTTCTGGTATTGCCCTTGAGATTTTTTATTTTCTCTAAAATTTTCTTCTTCATCAGTTACAGTGTTGATTATTTTCGCTTTCAGGCGCATACTTTGAGCAAGTTAACAATAATATGCAAACTGCCAGGTACATCCCATTCTTCTTGTTTAAAATAACGGCTATAAGCGATGAAACATGCTCGATCCCCCCCCCCCCCCAAAAAACTATTTCCCAATATATGGTGGCCATATCAGAAAACACCATTTCTAAGTTATAAATAGCGTAACTTGCTTCAAAGGAGCAGGGATAAAAGCTTCCACTCTTTTCTCCTTGGCTTTTACGCTAAAGTAAAAGATATTCTTTTTACTAAAAAGGGGTAACCTATTTAGCAATAAAAAAGTTAGGGAAAACCATATTGAAGGTACCTATACTTTCTCTCAATTTTTAATTTGGTACTTATGTATTTTTTTCTTTTTAATTAAACATTTAATGTTATCTTTTTAGTAACATTAGCTCTTATAACTTTGTTCTATTGATATTTTTAGTCTCTACATAAGAATTAATGATGTTAATAGAGCAAAATTAAAGATTTAGTTAAGAACAAAAAATACATAGATATCAAATTGAAAATTATAAAAAAGTATAAGTATCTCCAATATGGTTTTTCCAAAAAGTTATTGATACGAGAAAAGAGAAGAAATAAGCAGTCACTATATGGGTCTAGTAGAAATGACTAATTCTCATAACATAGCAAATTAAAGTTTAAATTATATTAGGAGAAATGCTCAAATTTAATGTTGAATAGTTTTTCGAATAAGATTATCTCCAATAAAAATAGGAATGTGGTCACTATGCAATTTGGTTTACATGATGAATAGGCTCCATATGTAAAATCAAATCAAGACTTCTTTGGAAGATTAGAATGGGTTGTTTTCACCAGACCTTTCTACAAGTAGATCTCATCAGGATTTAAGTTGCACGATCCCGTGACTGCGCATTCCTGTTCATTATGAGAGTTTCCTGTAAGGCTGTAACAGCCACTGCCTAACTACAATAATTCAGCACTTACGTGAATTGAATCAAATTCTAATTGCTTGTTAATATTTTTCAGGCCTCGAAGGGCTGGCAGCTTCAATGGTGAAACAGCCTTCCAACATTCAACTGGAGGATATATGGCTCCCGGCTACTCTCTCAATTCTTTTCCGAAGACAGGAGGAAATCCATTTGGATAGCATGAAAATTGTTGGCATACTCAGACTTCTTTTGACCTCTCGGATTGCAGATTACTATGTGTGTGTGTGTGTGTGTGTGTTATATATGTATATTTGACATGTTGACAAGGGTACGACGGTCGACGGATAACAAGATGCTGGCCTGCGCGATAAAAATCTGTATATATTGGAATTTTCTGTTTATTTATGGTGAATGAACTCTTTTATTAGATTTCATCCATCTAAATTTTACCTTTTATTTATGGTGAATGAACTGGGCAAGCTGAGTAATTTAAAAGGAATAAAGCAGAACAATAATATTTTAGTTAAACATTAAAAATTAATAATTAAAAATAAATTTTCATTGCTCAAGTTAAATTTAAATAATTATTATTAAATATTAAGGTTATGAAAAAAAACAATTTTAGCCATATTGTTGTTTTGTACTATCTATTAAAGAAATATATTCGCGTTTATACTATAAATGGTAAAAAAAAATCAAGAGTAATTTTCCGGCCTTCACATATGGCACTCAACAATGTTCATCATTATCCCTTAATTAGTTTTGAAACAGAAACCTCAACCAATTAAAAAGCTATACTGTAAGAATAATGATAGTCTAAGCCGCTGTTAATTTACATAATTCCGCACTCTTTTTTTTTTTTTTTTTGGGTTCAAACCGTACTCAACGCTTTACCGTGAGGAGATACATGGATCTAGAGACAAGAAGCACGAAATATGATTGTGAAGTCTGACAAATAACAATAATTAATGGATGCAATGTATGTAAGATAATGATTCATGATTAAAATGTAAGCTCGTAAAGATGGCATTAAACCAAGTGGGGTGCCAATTCGTATATGTGTAACAGTAACCGTTCGTTTCAAAGAGAGAAATCATATTTGAGGAATGAGTCATGCTCCCAAATATGCAGAACTAGAGAGTGGAGGCTAGACAATGATTTTAGAGACCTGAAAGGCACAATTGGTAATCAATTTGGGTGATTATGATTGAAGAGAATGTATATGGGTTCCTTCATTCAAGTTCAAGGATATGATTAGTGTTCATCTTTAGATTTCACAAGTGCTTTTTCAGAATGTGTTATGAGCTCTTTGGTCTTTCCAACCTCTTACCTCTCCGGAGCTATATGCATGTTTTTATATAATTAAAAATTTTGAAATGAGAATGATGATAATGTTTATAATGCTTCATCTTTCATATTGATCAGACCATATTCCATGGTGAAGAATTGGGGTAAGTTTTAATATTCACTTTTATCCTTCTCCGTGCTAATAGCTAGGAACTAGGGGAGATCATTTGGTGGGAGAATATCTCAAAGAAAAAATCATATATACTCATGGTTATTGGTATCAATTAATATCATAATTATTTCCATTCAGCTTTATTGGATTAAAAGGAAAAAAAAAAAGGGGACACTGCTAATAATGGTAAATTCGTCTTGCTTTGTGCTTTTGGGCAAATTCGAAAAGCTGTGATGGTGTCATGATGCATGCCACCATTTAGCTCAGTGGACAAATTTAAACTCATTATCTCATAATGGAAAGTTATACTTCTTATCATGAAAATCAAGAATTTGCCTAATTGGCCAAAAACAAAAAACATCTCACTCAAAAAAAAAAAAACTACATGCCTAGGGAAACTTGCACACAAAATGAACAGACCATTTATATCGGTAATTAAGTTCTACGCATCCGTAGTCCGAGTATCCGTACGCTACTCATCAGAGAGCAAAACGCTATAAACCATTACTGCAAGCACCCCTTCACAGATAGAAATTCTATCAGAAAATACCAATATCGACAACGGATACCAACACTAGCAACAACATATACTGCTTCCAATCCTAAATATAACATCCACTTCGTATTTAGGACCGGAAATAGTCTTATTTTCATACCACATACAGAGGCAAGAAGCACCCAGAACACGCATGAAGCAATAATTATTTTAATTTATACACACTTGACGACTGTGTTCAGGGTTGCTCAGGGGTTTCTCGCGTCCAAATGGTAGAAAAAGGCTGACCCTTTGTCCAGCCCCTTAGCCTCAGAATCACAAACACAATCATTCCGCACAAAAACCCAAGAGCCGCACTGGAACCCACCAGCGAAACTGCCGTACAAATAAGCATCACAAAAGAATCTTGTTTAGTATTCATGTCCCTTGAAGCCATGGCTAGTTCAACCCCGGCAAATAATAGCAATACGCCTAATATCCCTACAGGAAACTGGTTTAAAATAAGAGCCAAAGAATTGCCCAGTACAAAACCCAGCACCAATTTGGCTGCACCAAGAAGAGCCACACAAGCCCCACTTCTTCCACCAAACTTGTATTGTCCTGCTAGTCCACCGGCTCCATGGCAGCAAGGCATAGCACCAAACCAACTTCCCGCCAAGTTCATCAGTCCCACTGTCACTGAAAGTGAAGTGGCTGAGAAATCCTTCCCTGGAAACAGATCTGAGGATAACTTGCAAACAGCTATCACAGAGTTCAAAATTGACAGTGGTAGTTGAGGAACTGCACCTTTGATGAATCCTTTCTTCCAAGCATGTTTAGATATTTTCACAACTTCTAAAGAGGCGGGTCCAAATTTGATTTCATGCACAACCGTAGGCCTTCTTATGAAGGCCAAAACAACCCCCAATACAAAAACTAAAAATGCAGAAGGAAGTGAGAATATCAGCTTTCTTACTCGGCTTGTCCTGTTTCTTCGAACTTCAACCCGTTGTTGGTGATCACCCAGATCGTAATTATCATCAGTACCTTCTCTAGTTTCACACCCATGATTCTCGCCAGCTCCGTTCACTATGACAATAAAGCAAACACATACAATGGCCAAAACCAAGCCATCCAAACCAAACCAGTGCCTATTTCCCAGAGATTTAGATTTGGGTAAGTCTTGCGTTGTCTTAACGTATTTAACAGCAGTCAGTGCAAAGGACAAACCTTGTGCTAGTTGAATTCCCCTGATGACGCTCAAAGGAATCAGCTTGTACACTTGCCGCATCAACCCCGTCACCCCCAATACCAGTAGGACCCCGCCGGTCAAAATTCCAGCTGCCATGATCTCCGGCACCCCGAAGTCGGTCTCCGAGAGGGCCTCGGCAGCGATGGACTTCATGGGCTGGACAGGCATGGGAACGCCATAGATGGCGCCGGTGATGACGTTGTAGATGCCGGTGAAAATCAATGTGGTGCCGAGGTTGAGGTTTCTGGCTAGAGCCAAGGCTAGCACGATGGGTATGTAAGTGCCAAGGTCCCCCATGGCTCCATTCAACTCGGCCCATTTTGAACGGAAAACCAAGTTTGTTTTCACTTTCTGAAAGACGACGGTGGAGCAGAAACCATTTTTTGAATCGGCGTGAACTGTGTGGGGGCAGACTTGGGCTGTTTCAAGGTCTGGAATTGAAGGGATTTCAGTCGCCATGGATGCTGTTAGAGGGATATTCAAGTGTGATGATAAATGCGGAGCAAGGGCTATTTATAAGGATAACTTGCTGAAGGAGTTTGGAAACAAGCTGCTTAACTAATTCATATATTTTCAGCTCAAAAAAAAAAAACTAATTCATATATTTAACATAGCGAAGTTGTATTTTATTAAAATTTGAATGTAAAACAAGATGGACAGAAGAGTACTAAATCTAAGTTAAGAAAAAAAAAAACTCAACCATTTAGAATATTAAATTGTTAAAAAAAATTAAAAGTAAATTATTTTTTGCAAATAAAATATTAAAATGCCTCTCATCTTATGATAATGTAAAGATGAAAAGAAGCTCCAAAAAAAATCATTTAAAAAGAATTCCAAAATTAAAGAATAGCTAGAGACACTGCTGAAGGGCAGCTTACACTCACAAGTCGAGTGCTTGAGCATGAGGATGGTGATAATAATAGTGTATGTGGAGCAGATCAGGTAGGCTCATATCATGGGGGAACAAGTTGATAGGCTTATTATGGTGCCAAAATGTTACTTAAGTGTGATGTCACCACATAATTTGGTTAATAATTAAAATCGTAATCATCCTTCCCATTGACTCGTATCGTTCCCACTTATGTGGCTGACCACAGACACTCTCATGAATAGCATTTGTGACCTAATCCAACTATTATACTCCTTTGATTTTTTATTTTGATATTAAATATAAGATCACAATCCATTTTGTTTTTTATATTTTTATATTTTTTTTTCAAGATAATACTTCTAATAATAATAGTTCTAACCAATACACTTGATTAACAGGAACATTTTAAAAAAGATAACACCAATTTATTACAAATAACTAATTTAATTTATTTTTTAAATTTACTCAAATTAATCAACTAATTTTTATATTTAAAACCGAAGACAGTACTAATTATAGTGCCTCCTATGTGTATGAAAATTAGCGTGTGCTTGTTCTTTTTCTTAATTTCTTCCTTTCTTATTTATTGGCGCCAAGAAAATTTGTGCGCTAGCTGCTTCAGACCAGAAACACTGTCAGCCGAGAGCACAATCACACTGTGCACTAAAGATGCACGGAATCTTAGGAGAAGGGGAACAAAAGGACATGCCAGATCCCAATCAAATTCAGTTGTCAATTCTTTTTTCTTCTTCTTCTTCTTTTTTTTTTAAATCATAAGTTGAAACTTCTAAAGACGTCACTTAATCGTTTTAATTAAACAAACACAAAAATCATCATAATTATCCGACATTCCATTATTTATTTATCTTTCCGTAGAATACTTAAAATATGAAGCTGACTTTTTGGAATAATACCTGAAGCCTGCACTAATTACTCAGGTAAAAAAGAAGAAGAATCTAACACTAATTATTCTCCTTTTTACTAGCATGCCAACTAATACATTTTCAGTTATAAATATAAGATTTATTTTATAATATAATTTTATTATAAAATATTATCTCTGGTTTTTAATATAAGATCTGGTTTGACTTTTATTTTGATCCTAAATATAAGATCTCAGTCCACTTTGTTTCTAATATTTATACATTTTTTCTCAAGGTAGTCCTTCTAATAATGATAGTTCTAGTGAACACACTTAATTAGCAAGGATATTTTAGAAAAGACAATACACATTTATTACAAATAACTAATTTAATTTATTTTCTTAATCTCATCAAATTAATTAATTAGTTGTTATAATTAGGACCGGAGGTAGTAAGTCTTATATTTAAAACGGGAAGAGTAATTTATTTTATCACCATCGCAAAGTGATGCCTTAAGCTGCGACTTAGACAAGATTTGCCCTACCACTAAGCGGGCAACTGACTGGCATTAGTTAATTATATTACGAAGCATGCTTTGTCCATGATCAAATTTGGCTGAAGTCTAGTTGCTATATTTATATATAAAGGTTATCGTTAGCTAACTTTATAATAATCTGTTGTGTAAACTTTATACATCACTCGAAAAATGGCGGAAATAGCCTTCGGAGTCGGAGAGATCAGCTGAGAGTGTACCGGTAATAAAAACAGTATGGGTAACTTTTGAGCCTCCCAACTGATTGTGTATAATATATAGTTTGAGCTTTACTTTGCACAGTTAAAATTTCAGTAACTAGGAAAGTAAATACCATGTGGATCCAGACCAGAACAAGGAGTAGAGTTCTCAAGGACGAATGGAGACCATTATTTTTCTTTTCACTCAGTTCTTAAATTAAAGAAACAGATACTAATAATCTAATATTATAATTGGGGTCGAACTCACACAACTTATTTATAAGAGAGCTTTCACGTCATTGAGCCATTGACATTTTTTTTTGTTTTTACTTTAATCCATAATTAAAGTGTAGCGTTGGCATTAGACCAAGGTGATTATGATGGCGAATTGATTGACCAATATGTATAAATAAAATATACTACCTCCTATCCTAATTATAAGAACTAGTAGGGGTGTTCATGGGACTGAATGGGACCGGGACAGGCCTGTCCCGGTCCCGTCTCGGTAAACAGGGACAGGACAGGGATTTTGTCCCGTGTCCCGTCAGGACCGGACGTCCCGCTTCCCCTTTTTTTTTAAAAAAAGATACCATAATTTTTTATATGAATTTTTTATGTTATAATACTTATTTTTTATTGGGCTTTTAAAGATAAAAACATTATAAAAAATATTATGCAGAAAACTTAATTATATAGCATAAAAAAGGTGTAAAAATAATACTATAAAAAAAATACCGTAAAAAAAATTATATAATGACTTTATGAATTATTTTATTGAGGAAGGAGATTTTGTTGAGATAATACTACAACTTAAGAGTTACAAATCACCATAAAAATAAAAGTTATTATTAATAAGTAAATTGAATAATCTAATAATAATTATTAATAAATAATTTTTAAAAGAAAAAAAAATCCCGGGACAGGACGACCCCGTCCCGCGTCCCATCCCGTCCCATTTTTGTCCCGTCCCGAAATTTTTTTTGTCCCGTCCCGTCCCGAGCTCACCGGGACCGAGACGGGACAAATTGAACACCCCTAAGAACTAGTTGACTAATTTGAGGAGATTAAAGAAAGAAGTTAAATTAGTTATTTGTTATAAATAGGTGTTATCTTTCCTAAAATATTCTTGTTAATCAAATATATTGGCTAGAACTATTACTGTTAGAAGAATTATCTTGAAAAGAAATATATAAATATTAGAAACAAAGTGGATTGATGTCTTATATTTAGAACCAAAATAAAAATTAAACGAGTTCCTACATTAAGTACCGGAAGTAGTATATTATATCTTTCATGATCAAGGACCATACTCCGTGGCGAAGAAAATGGGATAGATTTTAATATTAATTCTTGTCTCGTTCTTCAATAGTTTGAAGAGCTTTTTGGATACATACAGGAGGAATTAACACTGCTAATAATGGTTAGAACTTTCGTTTTCTCTTTTGGTCAAATTCCGAAAGATGCCACCATTCAGTGAACAAAACTTTGTCTCTCGTTCAATAATTAGTTATAAATTAAATAATATTATTCCAAAAGCGGATGCCTCAGTATATAGCTAATAATGGAAAGTTAGATTTTTGTTATTTATATATATATGTCGCCATGAATCAGCAACCCATACCTCCCAGGCACAGCAATGAGAAAAAGCCTTTTTCCTGGTTTTTTTTTTCCTTTGTTTGTTTATGTATATAATATCGAAACATGGTATTTTTTTTATTACATTTTTATATATAATTATGTATAGGGGTTATATTCATGAAAATCTTGCATCATTTCAAATATTATTAGAAATTGAATCCAATTAATAAATTCTCACATTCAACCCGCCAAAACAATTATAAAAAAAATATTTATGTAAATAATTTTACTACATCAAAATAATACCTTCTCTAGTATGATATATTAATATGTTGCTATGATATTTTAAACTCTTGTTTTCTACACTACTAGAAAAAAGACCTTTAACGTCGCAAACTAACGGCGGTTCAGCAGAAAAACGAAGTGGAAAAAAACGCGGTGGCATTTTTGTAAATAAGTTGAAAGGTTTATTACTTTCCACGGCGGTTCTTTAAAGAACCGCCGTGGAAAATATTTTTAACGGCGGTTCTTGTTAAAAACACTTTCCACGGCGGTTTTATTCAAAACCGCCGTGGAAAGTGTGTTCTTCTATCGCCGAAACCCGCTCGACTCCTCCACTTTCTTTCTCATTTCTTCAGTGCGCCGTGGTCCCCCTCTGCCCCACCACCGTGAAACTGCCATTACCGGCCATTCCCGCCTCTAGCCCACCGTTTAAACTCCTCCATTGAGCCCTTGGAGCCTTGCCGCCGTGCGCCGCACTCCGCCGTGGTCGACCGCGCCTCCCATTTCCGTCCGCCGCCGTCCGCCACTGAAAACCGGTCGTACCCTCCACTATCTAACCGAAGACCGGTCCGCCGCCGCCGTCCGCCGCCGCCTCACTTCGCGTTTGAAGCTTCTCTGCTCTGTGAGTATCCTCTTCTTTCATTCTTTTCAATTTTTCTTGGTTTGTTGAATGTTTTAGCCATGAAAATCTGTTATATATGAAATGGGTTGTTAGATTTACATTGTGGTTAGCTTCTATTGTTCATTTTGCATTTTTATGTGGTTGAACCGTTGATTGGTGTTAATTGGTAGGCATTAGATGTGAGAAAACCTTAATTCCTTTTTACATACTGTATTAGAAATATGTTAAAATGTTTGGAGTTGATTAATTGTGAAGTTTTTAATTTTTTTTATAATTTTTTGATATTTATTTCGAATTTTTGATAATTTTTTGTAATAAATATAAGAATTTAGTGATAAATAATCTGTTAGTTATTTTGTGTTTTTTTCCTTCGTTATGAATTTTGATTGATAGTAAAGTATTGTTTAAATAATCTGTAGAACAATGGATCGTAGTTGGATGAAAGCTAGGAGAATTAGCAAGGAATATGAGGATGGGGTTGAAAAATTTCTTGAGTTTGCTCAGAGAAATGCCCCTAGTAAAGGAGATGGATTGTACTATTGT